ATTGTGTTTGGATTGCTTGTTCCGAATAAGATTCCGGACGATTAACTTTTTATTGGTTGATATGCTTAAACTTTAGTGCGACATAAAACCCATCTCATTTATTGATGCAAAGTCAAACCGCTCACATTCTAATGATTTTCAAGTTTTCAATAGAAATAGCTTCATGTCAACTTCACCATTGTTGCCAAGTCCTAAATGCATATTTACAAAGCACATTTCTTTGAAGACTTTGTTACAGATTGTGGGTCATAAAGAAGTGAAACATGTTTACATAACATGCAGATCCAACCGCTATTTCAAATTTGTGGCGCATGGTGTCTGTTTTAGAAATCATATTTAAGTCAGCTTGCAGCAGATATAATGCATTTTAGTATATATTTACGATACAATCCATGCACGGTCGCAGAAATGGAAAAATTCAGTAGCCAAATCTGGCAACTGTACTTGAGATCAGCAAATAATGTTGGTAATTCAAGATAAAAAGGCGTTTGAAATTCTAGCTGAGAATAATTGCTACTCCACCATACCCCTAATTGTGGTACAATTCCAGTTCCTGGTGGAATTACTGAAAAAGTATCACTTCTGTAGGTCAAATAAGGGCATATCCTATTTATATTGACATGTTGGTTCGACAGACTATGATCACTCAATACGCTGCGGGTAGATTATGAGACAAAGCCAGGCGTTTTGGCGTTTACTAAAATGGAGTCTGCCTTCAAATTCATTTTCAGTGTTATTTGACAAATTTCAGTATACATTTGCAACCATCATTTCAAGTGAATTTGGATGTATCATTCCACATAGTCTCAAATTATTCAACAAACTTAATTATATACGGATTGTTAGTTCTACCAGTACTGAGCAAATATATTCTAACATTGGAGCAATGAACTCTTATTTACTGTACTGATAATTTGATTGTTCACACGCAATCAAATTACCTATTTAATCTTGATACCTCATTTGGAAAAAAAAATTTAATTTTTGATCCCTTACTCGCACGCAGGTGGAAGCAATACATGTATTAATAAACTAATTTTGGAGTGTAATTGTTGCACACTTTGATGAATTTGCATTTCTTCAATTCTTTTATATTGAATTTTTCCTAAATTATTGGCTACCATGATTTAGCAATTCCGCACAAAGCCAATTTGGGGAATATAATTTGAACCCGAATACTTTCACCCTGCTGTTATGTCACATGAGTTTGCGACTCACGGTAATCGACCTCGACCAACACAATAGAGAGATCGTGTCAAGGCCAATCATAATGGTTTCAAACATGTAATTTCACACTCTTAACGGAAATGCTAAAATATACATTTTATTGTGTTTTTCTGAGATATTCCAGGCATCAGGATTAACAAAAAGTTGGAGTCACAACCTGCGGTCGGTGATGTATCCAGGATACTTAGTATGCGTTTCGTCTTAATAGACGATTGACGAAGTGAAATATCACGCCATTTTTCCCTTTCCTACTTGTTATCGATGATTGACCTGTACTGGGTTTTATCCACGTCCGCCCACAGCTCGCGATTGTTCCACCTTCGAACCATAATTGATTCCCAAAGGTCATTGCTCTTGTGCTCTTGTGCGTTTTGAATAACCTCAGGTTCTCTTGAGGCGCTATCAATGTTATTGATGCGTTACGTGCTGCTAATATAATTCAGAAAGAAAACAGCGAATCCATGTTTGATTGCCGTAATATTGATGCATTTCAAATTGAAAAACTCGTTCAATTTATCCTTGACAAATTTATTTAAAGAGATCTTCACTTGAAAGCTTAGTCATCTTCAAAGGCATTTTCCCCATATGACGTCAAATGTTTTTCCCGTATCCAACTTCAATAAATTACCTACAAAGAGATTAATTATGGTGAATTGCAACACCGCAAGCAGGGCGTGTAAAGCATAGCGGTTACGTTTCCGCCCCTTTCACCATCTGCTACCCTAATGAAGCATATGATAAAACACATAATTGAATAAATTTAGTCTTCAGCTGTTCGTATTTGTCCCGCTATGGAATTGATTCCTATTTTTAGGTTGATCTATTTCATATTAGGAGAAATTCGATTAATGAGAAAAAGTATTTTTACAAAAATTCTACTATGTATTCAACAAGTAAGTTGTCGACTGCCCTTGAAATTTCCAAAATTTTTATAATAATCTGAGCATAGGTAATAAAAACGATGTAACAATTCGAAACGTGTTTATCCGTCCGTGCCATTAAATCCTAGCTATTTGGCTGAACCCGAGAAGTCGGTTGAACTCAAACCAGTGACGATTTTATTACATTGTTTCCTATATGTGCTAACATATCAAATTTTATTTCTATCCGGATGAACTGTGTATTTCATTTGGTTGTTGTGGGAATCGAGACTTTCCGTATGCTTATTATACTGTGCCATGCAAAAGTGAAGCAGTCCCGTCCGAGGTTTTGTCTATGGGGTACAAATCTCGTTATAATTTTTAACAAAAACATTCCAAACATATATCTGATTTTTTGGTACTTTATCATCTGTTTGCCTTGCAATTTAGTTTAATAACCTTATTGTGGCAACATCCAGTTATCTTTGCTTTGCAGTAAAAGTATATTTCGGTAAATATTAACCACAAATAATAGTGGTTATACTTTTGTTAAGTATTTCAGTTCCCACATAAAGGATGGGCTTGGCTTAATGGTTCACGAATGCAGGCGTCTGTCCGTCGGTATATTATTTATTTCGGCAATCAACAAGTTTGAAGGTTGCTCTAATCCTAATTCCTTGCTCAGACGACGATACTATTTATATGTATATTAGGACATTTAGCCAACAGTGACGTTACGCACACGTCACTGTTAATTTATTACAACCTCACGTACAGTGTGATTTGTTGTAACTTATATAAAACTGGGAAATTCAAGTTTCCCCAGCATATAGCGGCTCATATACATTTATTTTCTGTTTGCTGCTGCATAATAGTGCAACTGTAACGGAGAATACGATGTGATACATCTACAATATAGTAATTATTTTAACTAAGCGTGCTGCAGTTATACACAGCCGGGTATGCAACATTTATGCAAAGCAATATTGGTCATGTTCGATGAAGATATATTCTGACTAAAGCTAATAATGCGGAAAAATAAATCAAATTGTTATTTCCTGTTGTTTCACACTCTATTAAACAGAAGGGACCATTATCTTGAGCACATTCCCCAATTATACGCCAAAACGCACCGTATCTCCGTCCGTCGAAAAATTTTGAATATATTATCGGAGTTATGATTCGAGTAAATAGTAATTTCACCGTATCATTCCATCACATTTCCAATTAAACTTTATCAACCACTTGCCTCTTTTGAAATCAGCTTTGCAAACTATAGCTATAATTCATATTATTACTTATCGATCTTAAAATCGGTAAGTATGTTGAAAAGTTATTGTACTGTTAGACACTTTCGTATGTTACGCGATATCTCACGAAAGCGATGTTGAATCTCCTCCAAATTTTGCATGTATCGTATAATTAGCGAGTTATTAATTTATTAGTGATGGGACACGCGGTGTTACTATGGAGTAAGAGCGAATGGATCGAAACCGAAGTTTCTGTTTTGGGGATCCGCTAACTTTCGATCGATAAGTCTTCGGTCTCCGACCGATATTCTCGTGTTACTTTTATCGTAATTATTCTATCAACTTGAAATACTGTCGTTTTGGTAGAAATTTCCCCATGGTCTGCGTTCGCCGCGTATTTCATGCCCTAATTGATTGACTTCAAATCACAAAGATCTGAATTTTATATTTTTATATTGTTATCATATGTTACATTAGTATACTTATATGATTTGAATATAACTCTTTTTGTTCTTCATTAGATACATTTTTATTATGTGAATATAATTTTTTTATCTCGTGAATTTAATTTTTCATTCTGGAAAAAATTACATTTTCACGACTTACAATATTTTTGGTATTTTTATGGCCTTTTTAATTGATTCATTTTACCATCAAGTATATAACTAATCACACTTTTTAAATGCTATCTGATCTTTTAAACGATTTTCTGTCATTTTTCTGCCACAACCTTCAGGCGTATTATTATGGCTTCTAAGAGTATATTTTCGATAACCACTGTGAGACATGTAGAGATATTTGCTTTCATGAGGTTTGGAACGTTGCAGTCGTACGGTAGAAATTATCCTATCAAAACCTTTTAAATTTCTGCCAGAACATTTTAGTATGTAATGCAAATTCAACGACTTTTAAGACTAACCACCAACTCGCTTTTCGAGGAAGTTCGCGTTAAAATGTGTCCGCCTTACCGCCTACAAGTCTAGTATTATTATCACGGTTACTAAGTTCAGCCAATGTGCTGGATGGTGCGTAGGAACTTTCAAACCACTCAGTGTTTTGCTGCATTGCTGACGTCGTTGAATAAAATATTAACCAGGCTTACTGGAATTGAATTAGTTTAGCTAGGCAGTTCGCTGGTATATTATATACGAGCAGTGGTGGGATTCAAATTTTTGTCAGCCGGTTTCATCACACAAATGTCATATTTTTCAGACGGTTCTGATACTGAAAGTCATGTTTTCTTTCAGTAATGCTAACCGGTTCGCTGATCTCATAAAATTCCGTGAGGCGGTTCTGTAGAACCGGTGCGAACCGGCTGAATCCCATTTCTGCATACGAGTATTTTAACTTCAAATGGTATTCTTCATGACTTTATTGAACAAAGCTCAATCTGGACCTGACCCAAAATGTCTCTGCTCGACACATACTTTTTCCTAATCACGTACCTATCCGAAGCTTGAAGGCATGGCCGTTTACCCTTATATATATATATATATACCGGTACATGCAACATATATAAACTGGTAAGATCATCCTACATATAAGATGCTTTCAGTGCGCGTGAAATGTTATCACTTTATAGCAGATATCGTGATTTTCTGCAACTTCGATTTCACCTTCCCAGGTAGTGAAATTTGTAAATAATCTTCCTCATTTTATACAGGTGCAAGCTGTATCCGAAGGCACAGATTGCAGATGCAAATGTATTTTAACAACAAAAGATGGAGAATTATGTGAAGGAAGTTTGGTCGGAGGACAGAGAAAAATTATTTACTTGGTAGAAACCATATCGGGAGGAACAGACTGCAGATGTTCGTGCAACACACCCCCACCTGGTGGATGCGACACGGTAAAAAATTTTTTTTAAAGTTGAAAGTATATTCCAAGTAGCGTTTGTGAAAAAAAATGTGATATGTGCTAACAAAAAGTATAGAGAGAGTAGAAATCGGCTTTCATTTTGTATGGAGAGAATATGATGTAACGTTTGATCCAAGGTTTGATAACAACATATCCTCGTCGACATTTTTGCGTGAGAACGGATAACATTTAGGGATTACATGGATTATGGTGTTACGGTCTTATCTAAATAGGGGTAAGCGTACCATAAAAAATACTCCTTCATTTATCCCTGATCGATATAGTGAGACTCCACACTGACCCCTTCAAAGATAATACTACAAGTATGTCGACATTGGTGCTCTCTTAACCTGATTATGGATACTGCTAACTTCGACATTAAATGAAATTTCGTCTATCATTTTAAGAATAATCATAACAAAGAGCGTCATTTTAATGACGTCGTGAGTTTATAATACCCCCAAAAATCTTGGATTTGCCACGCTTACAATTTAAGATTAGGTTTTGCTCAAGAAAATGTTATCTCGGATAACGTTCAGGGGTCAGATGAAACCGGCGTCGTATTTTCCATTCCTTAGACCACTTCAAACGAAACAGCTTAACCCGTTTTATCATATCTACCTCATTTACTAGTGTAAGTAGTCTATGCATTTCGGCTTAAGTACTAGCCTTGATAACATTACATGCGTTGATGGAGAAGGAAAGATTGTGGTTTCAACTTTAAGCTCTAAGTATTAGATTCCGTATAGCTGAAGGGATTTGTAGATTACTTAGCTTGTCATCAAATGTTTGTACTAAACATAGACCTTTTCCTACAAAAAGTTGTCATATATATACATATTTATATCTGGAATACTTCCTTGTGCGTATTTACTTTCTATGTTAAGTTGTTAACATACTGTCTACGATGTACTGTATGTAGCAGTAACAAAATTACCTCGACATGCCACCAAAAAACGTTGAAATGCTAGTGCCTCACCTAGCCCGAAATGTGTCATCACCTGTAGTTCATGACAAGTGGTCTGTAACGTTACAACAATCGTAGCAAATTGCATACATGTCGTGCTAGCTATCTATAGATCCTGGTTAAGAAGATAATCCAACCAGTCAATTACCATCAATCAATCTCTGGTGTTTATTAAAAAAGATCTAATTGACTAGTATAATAACGTCATAGAGAAAATGATGAACTTCCTTGAAGATTTATAGGAAGCTGACTTCTACTACGCGTGTAGACTAAAGTAACCTAGACATTTTTGTAATCATTGTAATGTACAATAAATACCATTTGATATATATATTTATTGTTGACTACGTGCTAGTAAACAGTGACTGACAACGGTAAACAGCATTCAATTTGTGGTTGTTAAATGTGTTTTAAGGAATAATCTAATGCCCGCAAGAAGCAAAAACATATCTATTTACAATGATTTTATAACACAAAAATCATAAAAATAGCTGAATTGTGTTCGTCAATATCAACTAACCACAAATAGCATAAAATTACTTTTGAAGATATATACATAGCTGTTAGCCTGTTATCCATAACACGGGTTCAGATAATCTCAAAACATCAGCGTCAGTTCACGCGAACCCGTGCACCATAAACGCTTGAGAAGTATCAAATTCCAAAGATAAAGTTCAAAATTTATCTTAGACGCAGCCTCACAAAATCGACAATTTGGAGTTTTATTTTAGATATATAATTTGAGACAATAGCCTAGTAAAATATCTCAATTTCTTTCTCGTGTCATACGATACTTTGCTTTGTTTTCAATTTTCGAGTATGTACAATGCTGTTATATAAATTTTAAGTTCAACTGAAATATCCCATAATGCAACGCAAGGTAAAAATGCCATTCGACCACAGAAGTCGAACAAAAACATTAGGTTTTAACTTGAAAGGTAAGTGTTTTAAAACAGTACACAATAACATGTTTACGATTTTGTAACTAAATACGATTTTCTACAAATTTTAGAATTTGAAAATATTGGGTAATATTCGTGTAATTAAAATTGCATGAAACCGATAAAATGTGACGTGGTGAAAAGATATAGGGGGTCGGTATAGAGAAAATTAGGAAGGCCAGGGCGTTGTATTATCTTGTTACAATTTTTGCTATAATTTTCATAACTATTGCTCGTTTTAAGTATTCACAATATACATTTTGATGACGTCATCGTGTGGGACGTCACTTAATTTGCACTCACGCCATGCGTCCACAATCTAATTATGCCACTAGCTTGTTTGGCAATGATTCTCAGTGGAATTCACCATCGTCTGTCATCTGCTATTTGTTATTTATATATGGTCAACTCCAAATTTAACTCGTGCGTCAATATTAACATGTTTTGCAAATTTGTGTTGTTTTTGTCGCCATACCTTACAGCAAATGGCGCGTGAGTTAAGAGGCAGGGGACCGCTAATTAGGCTGCATTATTTTTGTTTTTTACGGAAAAAGGATTCAATGTAATATCTTGATGACATCTCACAAAACTTCCGCGCCGAAGGAAAAAACACCCACTCTGACGTAGAATTGGACTGTATTGGGTGGTTTTTTCTGGTTCGACCTGTCCTTGTCAATTTTTAAATCCTAGGCGAGGTTTTACATATATATGAGAGCATTGGGAGGTATAGCCTAGCTTACCATTAAATTATTTAAAATGGTGATTATATACACCCCAAATTGAAAAACATGCGCGATTTCTCCATTGCGCAATTTGTCCACATATGCATCGTGGTTATATAAACGTAATCGCTGATTACTGCCGAGGCCCCGCTCAAACTTGATTTTGCCCTAGTCGGACCGCTGGGTCGATTATTCTAATCGCAATGTTTTACAATCTCCAATGTCTACACTACATAGTCGAGATGTTACTGTACCACGACACTGCTGTAAAATCATATCGCACTCTCTGTGGGGCTCAGTTAATTCTTTTACATCATTTTCAGCCTGCTGAATTTGTTGATCCAAATGAAGATTTAAGTCCAGGGAGTCCTGGAAGCAAGATAAGACAACCATCAATTAATTTAGTAGAATTGCATAGCAGTATATCAAACATGGTCGCAGCGATGGTGATGTTGGAGAAAGCAGTGACGGAAAAAAGTACTGAAGACGATATTAGAATCATGAAACAAAATATCAAAAAAGTGAGATATGTTAATATTTGAAGAAAGAATGAAAAAGCTAAAATTGAGCTTTCCTATTATATTATTTACCTATCATAATTTTGAAGTATACAACAGTTTTGTTCAATCATTCCTGGAAAAGTCCATTTTTCAGGTCGTGTCGAATTTGAAAAGCACAAATGGATCGTATCAAGATTTGTTGGATGATTTAGATTTGAATTCAGAGGACAAGGAGACGTAAGTTTGCCTTATATATTGTATAAGAATGCTTTCTGTACAACAATTTCATAAACACCTCATGAAACAAATCTGGAGCGATGAACTACTGTCCAATCCCTTATCTCCTCGCCCATTGAAGTGGATGCATGGCTTTCGTAAAGTGGCAGCAGGTTTTCTGTCATGACGCCACGTTCAAAATTACAATGTCATTACGTTGGATGTTATGGCGTCACGTTTATTCCACTTAAATGGTCCTGGTATGGTTCTTCTTCTGAGTATATTTTATGAATATAGAGAATAACTTTTCATCCTGGTCTCTTTTAATATTATATTCTCCTTATTTTGGATTCTTAATTTCAATCTTTCATGTCTAATATTACAGAACAACAGTTGGGACAAATCCCACTACTCTAGGTACCACAACATCCACCGAAAACGGAAAAATCTTCGAGCCATCGTCCTCCATTAATGAGACAGAAGGTATCGTAAAACCAGCACTGATGGACGTCGTTGTGGACAGAATTGGAGTCGCTCCATTGATTCCGACATCTACCTCACACAGTAGAATCTCCTCTACTGAATATCAACCAGAAGAGTTGGCGCCTTCTACAAATACGTCAACACAAACGCAACGCACAACCACCCAGACCGTTACTGTGAAAAATTCTACAGCTCCAAATATTACAACATATAGTACTAATCCGTCATCTGAAGCTATCGAATCAACCACTGAGACGATACAAAAAAACACTTCCCCACACCAATCAAACTTGTCCCGGACTGATACTGAAGAGAAAGATTCGATCTTGGAAGAGAAAGAACCAAAACAGGACACTGACTTTGATAATTACAGCACTTCTGTACAAGTTAGCACTAGAAATCCTACTAGCCGTACCCACTTAAGAATAGTTAGACCGAAAATAGTTTTCAACCCTTACCGTGCAAAGGAAAGAAAAGCAACAACAACAACTTCCAAACCCGAATCTACTACAAGTGAGTATAGAACTCAATCTGTTCGCGCCAAAGCCCTACGGACAAGTGTACTGTTTTTATTATACCGACCAGCTTTTCTTCTCGTATATGTTTGTGCTATGTTCTTCTCTCTTGTCAAAACTGAAATTTTTATTAATGCGAGTAATTTGAAAAACGAATCAATTGTTCATGTATTGACTATATCTGAACACTCTCTCGTTTTTTAAAACTGGGTTTGAGATGTGTATCAGATAACATCTCACTAAGCAAAAATGGCTTTCAGATAAACTATAGGATAGAATCTTCAGACAGGAGCAAACCACGGCCCGCGGGCCAAATCCGGCCCGTTAGGTAATTCAATCTGGCCCAAATTTTGATGTTTTAGCTAAAATATTGCTCAAGGAAATTGTGGAGATTTTTATTAAATTTAGTTTCGGCACGAGGTTCATTGTTTTCCACTTTTGCTTTTGTAACACTGTAAATATTGTTCATAAAGTGTAACTTTTTACGTCACACTTACATGGCCCGCCAATCTGAGTGGGCAACATTTTTGGCCCCTGGTCCAAAAACCTTGTCCATCCCTGGGCTAGATCGTGCGAATGTGTGCGAACAAAATACCTCGGAAACAATCTGCGCCGACTGTTGAATGAAAATCATTCCCAGATGAAATTATCAGCATGGCTACATTTCGAGTTACTTCAACAGGACAAGCTTTAGGATTATCTGAATTTAAGGTTTATGATAGAAATTTCATATCTAAAAAAAATATGTATTTCTCATTCATTGTACACTATCCTTTAGCGACACCCAGCGAGAATGAGGAAGAATATGAATATGACTACCATTATTTTGACATAGACGGGGAGAATGAACAAACAGAAACAAGTAAAGCGACGACGGTAAGCACTCGCGAACTCCTGTTTTACTTCGAAAGCTCATTTTACTAATATCTTTCGTTTTTCATTTAAACAATGATGTTCAGTATAAGTTTGCGGTTGACTTCTAGAGAAACGACATCAATACGCCGAAACTTTAGCGCCGGCACAATTTTGTTTGAGTTGGACTTTAGACCGGTAGTTAGATCTTAGAAGACCTAGTCCTAGATGGAGTGGAAAAAGTAAGGGTATCCCGAAAGTTAGCTATTTTGACACTGGCTTTGATATTAGCCAAAACATGCTCCTAAAGTCAAACTTTATTTTTTATATTCAGATTCAATCAGCTCATACGTCTGCCCCTATTACTACAACAACTCCGACCACTATTGTACGCTACACGACAACTATAACAACAACGGCGTCTTCAACCATTGAAAATGGCAATTCGTATCCTGATTATTTGGATCAATACGAAGATGAAATATATGATTATGACGTCACTGAGAAACCCACCACGATGACGACAACTACAACCACTCAGACTACCACTCCCATGAAACTAGGTACCACTCCCATAAAAATAGGTACGTAGCTGTCTGTCCACGTGTGTCATGGTAAAATTAGGTATAATCTGCACATTTTTTATGCGACACATAAGGGATGGAGAATATCAATCGATTGGCTTTTTTCCCTCAAAATTTTTTCATTTAAATTGACTGCAAAGTCCAATACTGCAGAAATAATATTCTAATGTAAAATAATATTGCGATTCAGATCCCTGTGGAACATTGTTTAGTTTTTCCAAACCCAGAAAAGTGAGTCGCTTTGGTAGACGTGAAGGAGCTTGGATGAAAGATCCAGTGCATTCTGATACTGATAGAAGTCGTGCAAGCAAGATATACGTCGCTAATTTTTATTATGGAAGCAATTTGATTGAGTTTGACAGTGTGGAAGCAATAAGGTACATTCGATAGAAAACGTTGTGATTTCGACTTTGATTTGTGGAAATGTCACTCATATTTTTGCTTGTTGTCCAGAAATTAGAATTTTAAATCAAGTGCACAGTTTTCTCTCATTCTAAAAAGTTCATGCTCTATAAAAAACTTAATTATGTATTTGTGAAATTTTTTAAAATTTGAAGAAATAATGCACACCGATTTTTTTCTATGATATTGGGTTAACCCATACTTCTTGAATATATAACCAAATGTGCTTTTCTGTCTTCATGTATTAATTAGTCACTAATAAATTAATTCAGGGAGTTACGATATCAGAAATCTTACAATCTTCCTCACAAGTGGATAGGAACTGGTCATATTGTGTACAATGGTTCTTTTTATTACAACAGAGCATTTTCAAGAACGTTGATAAAATATAACTTGAAGTATAGGTAGGAACTTCACATTATTTTTCCTTCTTCTCAATAATCATCATGTTAATCGTTAATTAAATATAAATTATAGAGTCGTTGGTGCTCATACATAAAAAATGTGCGCTAAATAAGCATAACCATCTAAACAATAAACCCTCTTTACCTCAAAATAGGACAAACATTTCAAACATATGAAAACAAAATGACTGATTCATACGTATGATGTTTATAAATTGTACGAAAAGTGTGAGATCAATCCATTCTCGCAATGTTATAAGCATTCGCTTCCCAGCAAATCTTCATTGTTATAGTATAGACAGTGTTTAATTTGAAATATTTTTAAATTTAAATGTTATAGGCCAATGTCGTACGATTTAGTGACGATTTTTTGCTCTTATGCTAATTTATTGTTGCTATTCAGGTTTGTTAGTGCATGGAGTCATCTAACTAACGCCGTATACGACCCAACTACACCATTCACATGGCGAGGTCACTCTATGGTTCATGTTGTTGCTGACGAAGACGGTTTATGGGTAATTTTCCCCGCACGTGATCCGTTTGACCCATACGCTACACTAACGTACGTGATAAACAAAATTAATCCTGTGGATCTACGGATCCTGGAATCACATAAAAGTAAAATAAGGTGGGTATTGATGCTCTCTCAAGCAACCTGATTGGCGTTCGCCACTTGTATCCGAAAAAATTCACAATTTTTCCAAAACTAAAGATTAGAAAGAGGACAACTCAAAACGGCATGGTGGCATACATGTTCAAATTATCGACATTTATTGGGAAAAAATAATATTACATGGTAAGAATTTTAAAGCAAAAGTAACTAACGTAAATTTCCATATAAACATCACGATTGAGCGACATAGTTGTTCATGACAGCAAAAGAAAAAGGATGACTTTTTTGTCCAGCTTTTTGGGTCAAATTTTCTCGATTGTTTTCCCCCAAAATTTTGTTTGATTGAAAAAAGAACGTCTCACCCCACCAAGTGTGGTCTCCGACTATGTATGTCTCTTCTTAAATTGATCTTTTAACCACTTTTGTTTTTTTAGGCAAAGTGTATCTCACGTATTCATGATATGCGGCGTAGTGTACAGCACAGACCGATATAATTCTCGCAATGCAAGAGTAACTCACGCATTTGACACCCGAACCCGGGTTCAAAGGTCATTTTACATTGGATTCGAAAACATGTTTTCATATTCCGTTCAATTTTCATACAATCCAAAAGAAAGGAAAATGTATTCTTGGGACAATGGACGACAAGTGGAATACCGTGTCAACCTTATGCACTAAAAACGTTAGCTGATTGAACATCAGCGTTTTATTGAACACCATTTGGAGTTCCGTACAAACCACAAGAGAGCGCAGTCATTGACAAGCAGAATAATATCAGAATAACAAAGAAGTGATGCAAGACGACGCTTCTTCCAATGATGGCGCGTATCTCGGTGAATTATGACTTTCAATGCAATATATTGCTCGCATCCTATAGATTTACATTGTATTATCTGTTCCACAATTTTACCACTTTTGCTCTCATTTTTATTTTGATTGAATCAAATTGTATATGTTTTTTACTATTTTATGTCGTACTAACCAATAAAATGAAAATTTTTGTCCTTAATATCTAAATGTAGTTAAACTGCGAACTAATCAGATAAAGTCTTTGATTGGGATTTTAGTAAGGCTTAATGAAAAAACATCTATCAGTGGCAACTCAATACAGTCGCAATCGCTATGTTACTCAATTGTATAGATTGTTGAACGTCGAGCAACAAATGTTGTATCTGAAATATAACCAACCTTAAACTCGTGGAAACTTTCTGGTGAATCGTGCGAACGTCTATTTGGTGCTGGCCTAATTTTGGCAAATATTTATTTAGAAAATAGTGATGACGAATATCCATTTAAGCTAGAAATTTTTAACTGAGACATCCACTTATTCAAAGGAGATGGGCACTCAGAAAGAGGAAAATTTATGTCGTATTTGGCGTATGAAAACTAGTTGGTCATTCCCAAATACCCATTTTGTCTTGAAATAAAAGCAAAACAAATTGCGACGTCGTAATATAAGCTGGAGAATTTAACTAGTACCGGTAGTACACTCAATTTACTGAAAGTTTGAAACTTGTTGCAAAGACTTTAAATTAAACCCAAGACCGTAAATGCCTGCGAGTGCATTAACAATCGTTTGAGTATAATATTGTATTGGTAAACGCTTAGAATGGGATTGCTATTAATCTGTTAAAATAAACTCTATTTTTTCCTTATAAAGCTCTTAAAAACAAGAGAGCTATGCTCAAATATATGGACACGTAGAGTCACATAATTTTGATGACATCATAGCGAAAAAAAAAGTAATAGCCTTCTGGAGAAAATTTTTATCTTTAACCACTGAAAATTTCAAAGCAATTGGTCCAGTATTCGAAGAAAAAAGCGACTTTTTAAAAACGTGTCAAAGAACAACAACAACAACAACATAATATTGAAACGATCGTTATGTCCACTACGTGTCCAATAAAAAAAACACTAGGCCGATTTTTTTTATCACGGTGTGTGACGTTTTTAAAATGCATGACTGACCACGGAAGTAAACATTTCGTAATTTTCAGTCCGCAGCTCTCTTTTGTTTTGCTTAGGATAGGATTTACATATTTATCCCGGGGGAGAGGAAAGCCGATAAGACGGCTTATCCATATGGCGAACCACGGCCTCTCGTCCGGTTACCATTCCAAGTCGGGTATGGGATTAGATTTACTGTATTGTTTGTTTTCGGAAGCATGGACTTGGTGGTGGAGGAAGCCGTAACCGACCAGCGGTTACATGAACCACCCAACGACGGCGAGGAGTCCAGCAATCCTCTCGCACATAACCATCCCTTCATGGGATTCGAACCTGCGAACCCACGCAGAGTAGTTAGAGGTGCGGTGGCTTACTTCGATGTCTGTCTGTACCGATATGTTAGGGTTGTAAATATTTGAAATAAGTTCTTACTAAGTTTTCTTACTAATTCTATACTAATTTGATGATATCAAACCCGTGAGCTTAAAAAGCAGAATTTCAGCGGCCGTCAGTTCCCGAGTTCGAGTTCTGGGAGTGTTGTTAATCCTGATCTATTGTCAGTAGATTAGCTGCACCGTATGCCAGTTGCCGCCAGCGGACGAGTTCTCTATTGACTGAGTCAGCATTTGTATCTCCATTTTTCAGAGCGAAAAACGTTTAGGGTACCGTAGTTTTTTGGTTGGTGTGCAAATGGCAGAATGATTGGCAAATCTATCCTCAATAACTGAATAAAAACTGAAAAAAGAGGGAAACAAAATCCAAGTCAGTGCCAATTCAGCACCAGAATTAACGAAAATGCACTATAACCCGTAACCTACAAAACTGTGATTTCAGGATTTAGTTATTCATTCCATCTCTCAGTTCTGCAGTTTTCTTATACTGACATAATGAGTTGGAATTCCATTTTTGAATGGTAAAATTGTGACAACATAGTCTACCGTATGCTACTATGATGCTCTGCTTGTAAAACCTGTAAACAGACACAAATTCATCTTGAAAGCTCTTCTGCTGTTCAGGCTGTTCTGAACAGTGACATCATGATTTATTTCATTGGTAAGTATTGATTACAGGATTATGGACATACCACAGTACTAATACAGTAATACTAAAATTCTAAAATTAATATTATTTTGAATTGGTTTAGTGCAAAGTGAAAAAAAGCTGTTTAGACTTGTAACTTGGGCATTATATTTTAACAAATTGATTTGTTACAATCCATGATATTTCGTTAATTTAAAATATTTTTATATCATATATAAATACATCACAAAAAGGGAAAACAAAAGAAGAGCACAAAATGAAGATAAGTGGGGCGTTTTTAACGCCTTTCCTAATTCACATTGTTTTCCTCTGTTTTGTGCTGTTTTCAGCAAACAGTATCACTCATAGAATATAAGCAATAAAGAAATGGAGAAGCAAGAGGTTTTCTCAGTACCAGACTTGTTTTTAAATCATGGAGTTTCTAAGAATAGAATATTGCTCTATCAAATCAAATAACTGAATGAATCTTCTTTTTTAGGTTCAATAATATTGTCGTTTTTATGTGGGGCGCTGACAATCGTATTTGTTGCTTTATATTTTGTTTACAAATATCGACAAGATCTTTTCCAACTCGGCAAGAAACCTCGAGTCGAATATGAAAAAGTAAGTCAGAATTGATGCAATGTTTTAATATATCTATTTATAGCTAAACTTTTGGTTTGTGATAGTTAAAATGTCTTACAGCAGAAACCTAATTCGATGCTTCAATTTCCTATTGTAATATTGAGTCAGTCATGTTGAAGGCCAAGCAACTCCTGTGTTTCATGAATTGTGTCGCACAACGTCCATTATGGTTTCATCTTTTTTTTTTTCGGTTATTTACTTACTAATAAACCACGATCATGTCTTGTACTAGCTGCCACTAATTTATGGGGCTTCAGCTGGCAGTCAATTTCAAAGCCATGTGGCTCGAATGCGTAGCATCGGGTTAATTAATTTTCTTTAACGGACGTTTAAATAATAACATGTCGGCGTTATGTGCTTGTCATTATCGATACACTTCACAGAGTTCAAGCGGTTTAAAATAAAAAAAGTGCAATGCATTTATTAGATAAGATATATGCCCCCATTTATCTCAAAGCGGATTTCTTGATATGCAAATCAACATGCGATTTATAGAGTTTGTTATATGACTTATGTAAGACAAACACCTGTCAGCCCCACATGGTACCACGGTAGTTCTCATAAGCATATCGACAAATTAAATTACAATACAAATACTGTTACACTGAAATAATGTATCATTTGTTACTATATTTTTTATTTCCTATTATTTTCCAGTCTCATCTGGGTACACTTTTGCATCACAATCTAAATAACGGAGGTGGATCTTCTATTCTTGGAGAAAAAGAAACTTGTCGTTTTGTCAATGTTCTTTTTGCCTTCATATTCAGAGAATGGAGAGATACTAACCAACTCCAAAAGTAAGTTTTTTACATAGTTATTATTTTAGATGTAAGATTTTTCTAAGAAAACGATACAAGATGTATACTGAACCTGTTTTTCATTTTAACCAAAAATAAATCAATAGGGCAACTTGTTTTGCTCGCTTGTTGGGTATGCGAATTGTTTATTTTCAATTTTCCAGCATGCAGAGCCTTGTTCTGAGAATAATTCACCAATTGATTATACATTTATTGCTTTATATTATCTGTTTCTGCACCAAAATGGGTCTTCCATAAAAAGCCATTTATACAGATAGTTACTAACGTAAAACATTATTTATTCATAGAACCTTTGTCTATTACTAAAATAAATGACATTTTATGAATGGCAATTGGTTTGCGACCTATTGGACACGAAGTGGACATATGGAATGCTGTGTTATTATGTTGTTGTTCATGTTAGTCTTTTCTCCTTGTGAAAAAATCACTTCTCTTATGGACCACTTGCCCTGAAAGTTTCAGTGGTTAATTAAAGATTGTGAGAGCTACAGTACCGGCAGTCTACTGTGACAGATACCGATACTTCTTCGTTTCGTCCTTCGTGTCCATATATTTATGCATTGCTCTCTTGTTTTATTTTAGTAATTAGAACAAGTTTTTAAAATGATTCGAGTTTTACTTTACTTCTTTTATTGTCAAGTCAAAATTCTGCTCCATAAATGAAAAAATGCATAATTTTAAACCCTTATCCACTATAAAAAATGTCCTCCAGGCAGAAAATCATCATTTGATATTTATTTCAAATACCATTATTTATCTTCCCCTTGAGTGTCTAATGATTTTTTTAGAATATATTGTATTTTTCTTAGAAATTAACACAACCGTAAACGTAACGTGATCTGTAAAATCAATAAATCAATTTTGATTTATTGTTTTCAAGGTCAAATGTACAAATTACATTTTATTGATCAGAATCAATAAAAGGTGGAGTTTGGGGATTTCTGAGATATACTAAGCAGGGGTGTAGCCAGAGGGGGGAGGGGAGTTGAGGGTCAGATTGAAGATTTAATTTTACAATACTTCCAAAGATAATTTGCTTCTAGAATTACTATATATTATTTACTTTTGAAGTACAATTTGTACCAATATTCTTATTAATAGTAATGTCGAAAGAGGTTTGTGTATTTGGAAATTAGTAGTATAGGTAAAATAACCATAACCACGATAGATTACTGAAAGCCTTTTTGACACATAAATAATAAGATAATGACTTTCTAGTATTAACCTTTACATCAGTCTTGCAACTGTGAGGCAATAAATTATTGTAATGACACAAATTCAAAAGATCATTTGTCAAACTATAAAACTGACTGACTTTTTATTTATTTCCTTAATTGATCATTTGCAATGTGCAAACTATTATGTTATAAGACATTTATATGGTTCAAGAAATTGTTCAACTTTGACCTAATTATGGTACATTTCAACTGTCTTGTTCATCGCAATAATGTGGAACACTTCATTATGCATTAAAAATTAAAAATAAAATGAGAAAATGACTTTAAATTACCCATTATTATATATATATATATTTACTGTTCCTTTGCCATGGTTTTCATTATGGTATAGGACTTTACATATAGTGAAGAGTACAGTAATATTTGAATATGAAAATGTGGAATTTTTGTTCAATTTCAAAATCATTGATGCAAATAATTAAAAAAGAATAAGTTGTTGTTGAATTCAATACCTTATTTCCATTGAATCATAATAATTTCTAAAAATCATGCATAATTTTTCCGTAACAGGATATCAATTTTCCGCCATATGTTGAATATTATTTATTATTATGATGTCACAAAGGATATTGTATTTCCTCCCATGTCAAGTTTTAGGAATTGATTTTTTTTACCAAGCAAGGACCGATTGCTAATCTTTTAAATCACCCTCAATTCATGCTTGATTGAACATAATTCAGATTTCCATAATTTTAAAATATTAAGTAAGCGACAGCAGTTGTGGCAAGCTGTAAACTTGTAGATATAATGATTTATTGAAATTGTAGTTTGAATAGCACAAAATATTTGAAGTTCCCAGTTATAGGGGAACTAGTTCAGAGCAGGGATGTCTAAAGAACGGAATACTACATTCCATCTAGAATTAGGTATATTCGTAAATATTGAGTTCCATATTTGAGATTGTTATTTAGAATGTATTAATATAGGGATTAGTGAATTCTTTGTTTTTGATCATACCTCATTTAGAGTTAGAATATGTATATGGCTATTTTTCTCGCTTCCCTCTCTAAACAAGGTCCCGCACAAGTAGACACTGATATGTAAGGAAGGACCAGAATCATACTGAATTGGCGTTACCAATTTGTTACATCCTGGGTGATGAGTTAGCATTTGATATGAATCGATGACCTTTAACCTGTGATGCCAACGTAGCTGAAACTAACGCTCTAACTACTAGGACAGTGGTTCCCAACCTTTTTCTGTAAATTCCTCCATTCATCCATTCGGAACTCTATATTCGTCCCTTGCTATTTATAAAAACTAATTTATTTATTTGATCTCTGATGGATAGTTAGTGTTATGCGCGAGTTGCATTCACGGTTTTATACAAAAAACTAAAAAGTATTAGTAACCCCACAGCGAACGCAACGCAAAATTTTTTCCCTATAACAGCAAATTACCTTTCTAGCTGGGAAACGTTGTACTAGGACAATATGCCCATTACAAATTACAGAATATTAATTTGAATTGCAAAAATGAGCTTCATGAAATGAAAATTTTCCATTAAAGATAATTTAAATTTAGTGCTTTTGTTTTCAAAACACAATAGGTTTAGTTGATTAGCATATTTATATAGCGGAACTAGTGGATGTAAATTTAGAGCAGCATGGTGGCACAGTATCTTTTATATCAGTAAAGTAGTAAGATTTTGTCAATTATCAAAAGGCAGCCTAGCATTCGGTTGCGGATTTTCCAAAGCAGAATAAACAATGAATTAAATGAGGATGCAGAATTGTCGAGAAAGCCTTCTACACTATTTGGGGAGTGCTGTTTTGAGTTTAATTTTTTAATTTTTTTTAGTAAAATATTGTTTATTTCTAGGCATTATATGAGAACAGTAGTCAGCAGAGTTTAACAAGATAGTTTTATTGTTCACTTTGCCACTGCTGTTGCTGTGTAGTGCATTCTCTTCTTGTATATAAATTTATGTGGTTTATTTATCGGACACAAAGTGGACCTGTGGATCGTTTTGTTGTTGTGAAAAAATCGCTTTGCTCTTTAACTGCTATAGACCAACTGCTTCGAAATTTTCAGTGGTTAAAGCTTGTTGTGGTCGCTAGAAGCAGAAGGCTATTATTACTTTAATTTATTTCGAAAATATCTATGAGCTTTTCAGATTCGTTTATTTCACTTCGAAGTTTTGTGTGAGGACGTCATTAAAATTAAAAATTGGGTGCCATGCTTCCGTGATCACATCTTAGATTTGACACTACTTCGCTTTGGCTTTCGAATTTGTGTATTTGTTTATATTTATCCTTTGCACACATAAGGTCTGAATTTCTTTAATCGTTTTTTAAAATAAGTCTACATCGAAATGATTTTAGAAATTTAAATTAATATGAAGTTGATATATTGATCTATTAGTTATATAAATAAGGTAGAGATGTCAGAAATTTACTCTGGCGAAAAAAACTTAAAGCAACCCCAAGATGTATTTTTACTAGAGAATTTTTTAGGAAAGAATTTAAATTTTAATGTAGAGTTGGTAAACTACTTGATTAGTTATGTAACCCTTAATGCGCAAATATTCTCTCCATAATATATCTAAATCATTAATAAAAAATAAATATTAAGATCTCTTAGATTCAAATAGGTGATAGATAATTTAGATTTTGTAATGACAATATACATGTTTCAATGTATAAATATCAGATGTCAAACCAACAATACAGGGTTGCATCATTTTTTGTACAGTTTTTTTTTTGTAGGGTTGCTCTAAACTAGGCTTCAAACATGCAGAGGTAATATTTTTTGAAAGGAATCCGATTATTTTAGTTCAGTATATGGATGAATTAACATTGTTGAGGGACTTCAGCGACTCCAGCGTTGTTCAACACGCTTATCACTCTTTGAATGTCCTGAATGCTAATGTTTGGGCCAATCATAGATCAATTATCAAACAAATTCGAGATAGGGATGAAATTGGGATCCCAATTGCCATTTGAATGTCCTCCTCCATACAGAGTGATGAGGCTGTCAAACAAGCAGATAGTTTGATTTTTAGCCATTCACCCTGACAGAAGTTTCACACAATCAATGGATGGCATTACAATATCAAATAACTGCCAGCCGTTGGTTCAGTGAAACTATTTGCTCAGAGGAATTATCAGCAAAGTTGTTATATATATATATATATCAGGCTTGTTTTATCCACGATTCATATTTGGTACGATTTAAATTATTTCCTTTTTTCAGATGGGTTTTGAAGAAAATCAACATTGAATTCATGGAGTTTATGGAAACTAAAACAGCAAGTCGACTCCTACAAGGATTGAAGATTCATGATGTCAGTTTGGGTTCGAATTTCCCAGGTATATTACTTATTAAATACAGGGTTGTGAAGTCAGGTAGGGCAGGGGCCCTGAGGGACGGTTGGATAGGGGTGGACCAAACTCTGGACAAATTAAAAATGACTCCGGCTCCTACTTCTGATTTCAAGTTGAAAAAATCGGTTCTAAATCGTCGGATTAGGATTTTATGCTTGATGGGGAAAAATCTTGAATGTTGACAAGGGCGACGCTAAATGGCTTGGCAGGCCGGATTTGGCACGTGTGACGCCTGTTGCACACCCCTGGCTTAGATGATTTAATGTCTTTCAGTTCTGGTCGGAAATCTTGACTTCAATTTTTCTCTATTAGAAGTCTGAAATTCTGATTTTGACTCTTGGGAAAAACCACTTCGGCTCAGACTTCAATATTGATAAAATCATGCTCAGCTAAGATTTCGTTTTTACAGTCGTGCTTAAATACTTGAATTTTCCAATAGACTGCCTTTCTATTTATTGTAAGACTTGAAATGCTCAATAAAAAATTTCAATACAGTTAATACATACAATACACAATGGCACGATTTAGACACGAAGGAAGTATTACTCAGTTTTTGTTTTTGATAACATTTGAATAACCAATTTCCTGAAAAGAAGTGTGTGGTGTATAGCATATTCTTTATTGATACACTGCTGGAATTCATATTAACAACGACTATAATTTGGCCTGAAGATAGATAACTTTTGAAATACACCATGTAGGATTGGTGGATGTCCAAAAGAAAATGTGCCGTTTCTTAACCATACATTGAGGTTCATTTCTGTCAAAGATGTTTCAATTCATAGAGCAATCGGAATCGGTACTTATAAGAAATGGTCAATCAGGTGGTAGATTTGCATTACTGATAACTCACGTTTCATTGTAATACATGGGAAATAGGCTGCTGATATGCAACATCCTATTCATATTTCTTGTTAACTATGAGAATGCGCGATACATTATTTGCTAAACATGCAGAACAGTCATCCCACGTCGTGAGTCATTGAATGCAACGGTGTGAACTGCGGATATTGTGGTCATTATTTTCTGCTAATTGGAAAGGATAGCAACAGCTGAATTAATTTTGTATTGCCACCATTTCACACCTAATTTATATATCGCTATAATTAACAAATTAATGAATAGGCCCAATTATGATAAACTTTATTCAATCTTTTTCCAACACTATTGTTGTCCATAGATTGAATTATTGCATTTTCAAATAAACTTGACAAGTTGGTATAACGGACCCACTATGTTGAAATTATATCTTGCAAATCTCGGATTCGAACTGTGATCAGATATGGGTCCGACCCAATTGCTCAAAACCAGAGGGTGAAATAAATTGGGTAATCCATTGGTTCCAATCTGTTGCGACTTCCTATCAGTGTGATCTTGATATAAAATGATAAAATCTGTCAAATTTAACGGAATGTGAAATTACAACACTCAGTCATGTTAAAATCATTTATGAGCCAAACGTTAATACAATCTTACATATTGCAGTGATTATATTGTAAAACTGATACTTGTTGTAATATGGTATTTTCTTTCTGTCTGTCATGATTTGTGTTACAGAAACTAATTGCCCATTAAGTTTGGGAACCTCCAGCATAAGTTGTTTCAAATCGGTCTTTTCCTTCATTTCAGTAGTTTTTTTCTAACACTGTCTTTTTGTCTGAATCCTTGTTTAAAGGGAAATGTAAAACATTTAATTTCAAGAAAGGCTTAAATACATAAACGAAAAATTATATATATTTCATCGAGAATAAATGGTATTATTTCCTCAACTACAACATATGGGCTTAGGGGGTATGAAAACAATATTGTTTTCTCATTATTGTGTCATATAGTAAGAAATGATATCCATCATCATATGAATACCGCACCGCAATTCATCTGACAAACCGTTTAAAAACTCATATATATGTCTTATAATTGAGTTTTTTTATTTATGGTTCACCACAACCATCTGTCGTTAATACAGAAGCACTCTTTCTTTGTTTGAACAATTGTGACTCATCGAATGCCGCAATGTGAATGTGTGTGAGTGGGAAAATGAGAATTGTGAAATATCATTTTATGATATTGAAATCGAAGGCTATAGATAAATAAATATAGAAGAATCTTGTCTTATGAGCCCTCTGTTCTTCATTATTTACAATCAGTTTAATATTTACTTAAGGTGTTATCATTTATTGCTTCCGAATCATGTATCTAATCGCACTCAACCAAGCCTGATCTATAGATGTAGCAGTGTTTGACTATGATTTATCCTCGGCTATGAACAGTCGTAACTCATATTTTTAAAAAGTTGGTCAGCAATTTTTTCAAATGTCCAAGACTGTTTTGAATGTTTTTGTGCTGAATCATATATTGTTCTTATGAATCATGATTCATGAATATTTTAATGTTAGAAGTATCTCATGTCGGATTTAACATAACTTTATGATTTCCCGTTTAAATGTATGAATTTACTTTTATGTACAGATTTAACATACCTTTTCTTTGTTTGTCCTGTTTTTCTTCGAAATGAATAAGATTCCTGGCTAAAATGCAGTATTTATCAATGAATAAAGCTAAAAATTCATAAAAATTTTCAAAATATGAGCAATATTTCGAATTATAGTCTTACTGCAATTTAAATACTAGTGATCAATTTCAAATACTTATCAAGTCTGTGATAAATTATATAATTTATTTTGAAAATTTGTTGAGTAATTTATGTAATTTGAATCTTGGCCTGCCTGGTGTCAAATGCTATGGATAATAATGGATATCATCAAATACTAATCAAAGCATCATTGAAAAACTCAACAATGTAATGATAATGAAAAACAAAATTGATTACCCTTATTGTCGATTACCCAAACTTGTAATTAACTCATGATGACATTTTTTTCAGTGTTCCACAGTGCCAAAATCAAGGAGCCATATTCCTTTACTGGTGATGAACTACCGGAGACTGTTGTGTTAGAACTTGATATGGAATATCATGGTGGATTCTATCTTGCTATTGATGTTGATCTTGTATTTGGTAAGATGGTGTTTCATTCAACAAGTAACCTTTTTCGGCGCTCCAGAAGCGTGTGTATCAATATGGAGATAACTAATTTTGTTTGCCTACTTTACATCAAGTTGTGTGAAGGGACTGAAACCTATGGGCAGGGGTGTATTCACTTGGCTAACACAGACAGTCCCGAACTCGTAAGAGAACTAAAATAAGGGAAATCGGAAAAAAATTATGGCCCAACCCTAACCTGGTACACACGCTACTGGAGTACCCCTGTTCTGGTGTATTTTTGATTTATGCTCCTAACAACGCTCTGTTCAGGTAGTCGATGATACATATGAGACTACTTTGTTGCACTAAAAATAACGAACCACTGGAGTGAACTGGTGATTCATTACTGTACAACTCTAATGAGAAAATCAATGCAGCATTTTATGGTGCCCCTGCTCGATAACCAGTGTTAGGTGTTTCCTTTCACCCTGGAATGCATTTTTTTATATTTCTTTTAATTTGTGTATGTATATAGTGAGTATTCTCAGCATGGTGAAGAAATAAATTAGTGATTACTCATAGATTGCCAACACTTAACTTTTCACCTATAATAAATGAGTTGCAAGCAATAAATTGCTCACCAAGCGGAATATGTAAATGTGTAAACTTTCATCGGCCATTTTTGGGGTATGTCATATTTGCAGGCACATTCCAGCACATAAATCATGGGAAATGAATTCTGTTCCTTTGAAATAAATGTCTATTGCATCGATTTCACGTTAACAAAATAAGTTTTTTATTTGAAGGTAGAACAGCATTTCTTGCTGTCCGAATCACATATTTGAAAGGACGAATACGTCTACATTTTAGCAGGCAACCATGTACTCATTGGTCGTTATCATTCATGGAAGAACCGGATATAAAATTTGATGTTGAAACTAGTTTTGAAACAAGGCAGTTACCACAGGTACGTATCATTATTGTTCGGACAATAGCATGCAGTTTGTTCAAATACTAACAATTTGTCATCTTTGTTCGTCAGCTCCAATCTCTGATAGTGAATCAGATCAGGAGAACGATAAGAAGAAAACATACATTACCACATTATAAGATGAGATACAACCCATTCTTTTCATTCCAGGTTTGTATATATATTGTTCAAGTTATTGTGTTCTATAATAAACACTATGTTTAATGAAAAATCAGGAATTTTAAAGATCGAATAATTGGAAATTGTGGTTATACTTGGGAGAATTTAAAAAAAATAGATGGCAGGAGTTGTGAGTTGAAATATTAAAATCCAATTTTTACTATTCAGAAATATATCATATTGCGAATGTACTGTAATATATTAGTCATAAAGTAGATTTCTGTGCTTGGAGCCTGGCATGGTCAAGCTTCCTATAAAACTGGAATATCGTCCAATCCATCTTACTGAAAGACAGTGAGATAGAGTTGAAAAATCGGTAGACTTCTTTAAATAAATTGTTTCACATACTTATAATAAGGCTCTATACAAGTTGCTATTGTTGCATAGGAAACTTCAATTTTTAGGAGTAATTCCTGAATTTTTTCGGTTCGATGTTGCTTATTTAATTTATTAAATCCATGGTGTTGTTAAAACTATTGTATTCAAATTTTTCACCTTACTAATTTGAAAGTTCTATTCTAATACGGTTTTTATGTATAATTCTTATTCTAAATTCAATTTTCTAATTTTAGCATCCGGATCAAAGTCCATTTGATGGCTTCATTTCTGAAATTCCAACTCAACCTTCGTCTCTTGAAGTTTGTGTTGCGGCAGCTACAAGATTATTAATTTCATCACGAGGAGAAAAAGTGAGTGTGTCCGACATGGATTGGTAAACGGACAAGAGGCCATGGTTCCCGGAATAAATATATAAATCCTATCCTATTATTGTTAGCTAGTTATTTTCGAGGTGGGGCACCAGAGTTGATATATTCTAAAAAATGGGTGCCAAAATTGTTGTTTAATTGAAATTCAATTTTTAGGAGCGGAATGCTGAAGCACCAAACTATGTCGTATTTGTGACAATATCAGTGAATGTAGAAACTTGTATTGGAAAAGCTTTATTGAGTCTTATATCCACTCCTAATGCTGTACTTAAACCGGGTAAGTATTATTGAGTCAGTCAAACAAAAAATGTAACTTTTAATCGAAATAATCTGTAAGATTCATAATTGTGAAAGTTGTAATCACATTAGAGCAGTGGTTCTCAAACAAGGGGGGGTTGGAGAACCAGGTCACATGCACAGTCACACTCACTCACGTAAATGAATTTCACTTCAGGGTAAAATGTTAGAGCTTGATGAATACTATTCAGAATTATGGTGACTTCGGGCTCTGGCCAATTTGAGACAAGAATCACTTTAAAGAAGTTTCGTCAAGTAAACTGTATATTGGAAATTCTACACAAAAATTTCGAAAATAAGTCAAAAATATGGGATTACCCATCGACTTGGTTATTAATTCTCTTATTGGAGAAGGTTTTGTCTGGAGGAAATATGCCATGGAGTACATTTTTTTTTGTGGGTGAACCTTCTTGAGAGTGAAATTTTTCAGTGGGTGAACCTTCTTGAGGGTGAAAATTTTTCACTGGGTGAACCCTACCTGAAATACAGCACGGTAGTACCTAATTAGGTACAAAATATTTTATATTATATTAATGTTTCATTTCAGAAATTCCTGATGTAATACCCAATAATAGTTCACTAGTGGAAACTCCAAGCACTTCAAGAACTCAACCCGTGACAAAGACTCCTAACACTACATTTGATACAATTCAAAGATCATTTCTTGGGTTACGAAAAGATATAACGTCAAGTGCAGAACGCTCAAAGAAGCCACAACCTGCAGTAAGGTAAGATTTTAGAAGAATAGTGGAATCAAATCTTCTCAAACTAACTTTGGTATTTTCTGCGTTCGTGATGTATTGGAAGTAAAAGTTACTTTATGAACATTAAATTACGGTATAGAAAACACATAGCACATTTAATCATTCCGATACATGATTTTACTTTTGTGCACATGAACATTTAAACATGACTAAATTTTCGATATGGCCCGACGTATTTTTCTATCTATATTGATTCTAGTTTTAAACACAGGCAGATAAGATGTATCTTTTTAGGGAATGGATAGATATTTCGCGATATACTCATGCCACTACATTGTGTCACATCACACATTGTTAGAAACCACTGACTTTTATTTATGTGAAGTGTTATGGGTTAAACATATCATTTTATGTGCTGGTAGGAAAATATGTTGTTAAAGACAGGTCAACAATCTCACCCTTCAGGCTATGTCAGTGGGCATTTGGGACTGGTATAATTTATGTATTTGAATGATTACGATTCAATTACCACATAATAAATTATCGGGGCTCCTGAAGTATGCGAACCAAGATGGCGGACATCGGAATGTAATATGTGTACTAGGTTAGGTTTAGTCCATAATTTTAGGTACAAATACTACGAGAGGCACTTGGCTAGTCTTCGAACTCATAGTAGGACTAAAATAAGGGAAATTGGAATAAAATTATGGCCTAACCCTAACCTGTTACCCATGCCACGTTTCGATGTCCGCCATCTTGGTTCGCATACTTCAGGAGCACGAAATTAACATCATATTTGCCGTGACAAGTAAGAAAAACGTAATTTTTTTAGTTATGATATTTGTCCTAACATAGTATTACCTAGATCCAAATCTAACCACAATAATGATTTTCAAATATTTTCATTGCTATATACTGTTGTAGAGGATTTCTTTTGTAATCTATTGTCGGTATTTCATTTTTCAATGTTTATATTAACAGCCAACCTCAAGTACCAGAAAAGGTAGATCAACCACCTGCAATAGAAAAAGATACCTTACCAGTTGCAAAGATACAGAGAAAAGGTATTGTGTTGTTTGTTTACATGTTTTCTTATATAAGCACTTGACATAATTATGTAAGTCTTTGTGATGGATTGGAAAACTTTACTTTAGTAAGCACTTGACATATAATTCATTTTAGAGTTGTTGGCATTGATAATTAGAAGACTAAAGTTTTTAAACAAGATAGGAGATACTGACTATCTATGTGTAACTTAATCGCCCTCAATGAAGAAGGCCAAATGGCAATTGTTGCGCAACAGTTTGAAAACATTTCACAATGATTTATCGATTGTACTTTTTACAGTTACATATTATTATTAGATATATCGTTGATTGAGTAATTGGTTAACAGATTTTAGATGAATAACGACAACAAATAATTTTGACCATTTACTATATGGGATGATCTTTTTTAATGAGTTTGAAAAGGAAAATGCGGGAAAGTTAAGTTTAAGTGTTTCGGTTGGTTTTCCAGTTCTAACAGATTTTAGAAATTGAATCAGAGCATTCACTGATATTCAGCTCAAAATGATATTTTTTTGAAATTTTAAAAATTTTCTATTTAAATTTAAAATAACTTACGTATAGATTCGATCAATTTTGAATCGATGAATTTTGGACATCCCTGACATCGGGGCCGAAGCCGGGAATCCTCAAAGGTGGAGGGTCTGAAATTTGTAATCGCCAAGTTTGACGCTAACCGCTAGCGGGTTCGACGGGCGGCCAGAAAACGTGGGTTCTATGTATGATACGGAAAATGGTCTGTCTGTTATCAACATTTTTAGAATTTCATCTTTTTCTTTTCAGATAGTGAATCCTCATCGAGCTCTAGTTCCTCTGGTCCTTCTTACGTCATGGTTGCTTTAAACTTTGGCGCCACCTTGAGAGAAGAAAATCAAGAAGACGGACAGAAGATTGTTGTTGTTGAAAATATTACGGAACACAATGACGGACAATCAGGAATGAAGTAAAAAAATACATTTTTTTTTTAATTTTTGTGCTTTTTGAAAACTTTTTTTTAAGCTGCTAATAAATTGCATATATATATAATTATAAATGCAATTTATGGAAATCAATAAAATTTGATTAAAACATAAATTAGTCATATATAAACATTTGGTATTGTTTCTAGAATCAAGACTTCAAATGTAAACATTCAGATTTTTTTTGGACATTCCCTGCTTTTTTTAAGCCACATTTGGTGCATATTTCCTTGCATTATATTTTCAAATGTTATGGGCGTATTTCTTTATTAGTAATATTTACTAGTTCTAAAAGCCCACTGACTTTTCCTAGGGATGGCGATACTGTAATAGAACTGAACAGTGTTCCAATCACTTCATTGAGTCAAGCTATCACAACGATTGAACTTATTCGTGCAAAGAAAGAATCCTTCAAATTCAAGGTAAAGCTCTAATTGGGGAACAAAAAGGGACAAATTATTTGAACTAATTGCCATTTCTATGGTACCCATTATTTCAAATGAAATTATATGGTGAATTCCAGTTTTCAATATTTCGTATAATTTGTGACAACTTTATGTGTAATACAGTACTAGTCAACTAGATATTACTAATGATTTATATTACCCATGTATGGTCATACCATGTATGGTGTTTAATACCTTCACTATGACTAAATCTCTGTACAATAATCAATCATACAATTCAAGATATTCATCCATAACATGCTTATTCAAACTTGCTTTTTCCTTCAAAACGAAGTATTCAATGAAGTCACCTATCTGCTTCTACAGGTTAGAAGGAACAGGATTGAACTGGATAAATCCAGTTTAAGCCAGAACAACCCAGCTGCAGATTCAGATAAATCAAATACAAGGTAATTGTTATTGATAAAATATACTTGATCAAGCTCATGTTACAGATAATATAATTACAAACTAGTCATATTATACTAAATCATGCTTGTGCCATAGATGAATAAATGTTAAATTAGTGATTAAATTAATATTAATTTCTTTCAATTTTTTTAGTATGGACACAGAATCTGATCATTCTGACGTAGACTTGGAAGATTTTCAAGATTTTGTCAACATCAGTTTACAAGTTGCAGAGTTACATATGAAGGTTTGTAAAATTTAATCTATATTTTTAACAGTAAAAATAGAGTAAATGTGACTGTGAAATTCATATTTTTTGTTCCTTATTTAGGGTTGATTTATTCTTTTACTGTCAAATGGTTGTTGAAGTTTAAATTTTATTTTGTATTCAGTGTAAGGCTGGGAGGAATGTAGGTCTAATTTTGTATTTCTAAGTAATTTGTATAAGTATTTTTAAATTTACCCAAAATGTGGAGGATATTGAAAAATGCCATCAAAATTAACCAGAATATCAAAGTAAATTGTAAAAAATATTTCGATTCATTTTAGGATGGTTCTGGTGATCGACGTACTTCATCAATGTCTGAAAAAGGACCTCATTCGTCTACCAACCAAGCAAGACCTCATTCATCTTCTGTGGATGGAAATTTAGACACGAACGCAGATGCACCATATATGACTCTTGTATCATCACCTTCGCCAAGCACTTCGTTGAAGTCATTGAAATATAATGGATCAGGTATAAATTGGTTCAAATATTTTTTTTCCATTATTAAAAATTTCTGGTAAATAACTTTCATTTATATCGGAAAGAGTCAGAATCACCAATCGGAAGCTACGAGAAACATGGCTGACATTGCCAACATACTGCCTCGTTATAACTATCCAACTAAACAACTATCAGCCATATTAGTTATGTTTTGTAGGGAAATCTGTGAAAAGTCCTTCTCTTGCCAAATAGTAAGCAATTCCCTGTGAGGTAAACAATGACTTTTTTCTTCAAGGTGACAAAGCTTCTCCACCAAAAAACACTGAAAAAGATTCATCAAATAAAAAAGTTGAAATCAAAAAGGTGAATTTTTATATTTTAAATTTTAACCCCAAAATTTTTAATCATAATTAAAGAATATTGTCTTGCAACAGGAAAAACCACCCAGATCCAGAAGCGAGTCACCACCATTTTTTCGTAGATCTCATACAACGCCTAAACAGGAGAAATCAACGCGACAAACTCTTACAGGTGCGCAAACGTCAACCGGATCTGGGAAAGCAGATAAAACTAAAAAAGGTAAGTTCTCATATATTAGAACGCTAGAAATATAAACATTTTGCAGAAGAATTTTTTTTGTGTGTAGAATTCTGGTTGTTGTAAGAGGATTCCATAATATATAAAATATAGAGATATATGAAAATATATTTTATGGAGGGTACATTTCATTATAAAAAAAGTCAGATTAAAAAGTCTTTAATTCCTCATGTTAATCGTAATTGGTGATTAAAATTTTGTTATTCCCATTATCATAGTTCCAAGATGAAACAAAGCGTGAGGGCCCAAAATATCTGGATTGCTTTTCACCTAATATTAGAATCCAGAATACCTTGTTCAATGTTAAAGAATACGCACCTTCAGGAAAAATTAATAGTTATTTCTTTTTTCTGCGAAAATGCAATTTTTCAAAAAACTATAAAGTAGTTCGGGCCTCATTTTGGCTGAAATTAATTGAACTCATTGTGATATTAGGACATGAATCTAATTTCGCTGATATTGGAGATTTTAAATACAAGGAATCATTTTTGGACTTTTAGAATCACCAGTAAAGCGTAACCCGTCGCCTGCTCGTAATTCATCTTCGAATCGTCAACCTGAAATGTTTCAAGAAATTTTTAAAACTCCTTCGCGACCTGATAAATCCGCAGAAGTTGTTTCTCCGCCATCTATTTCACCTCTACCTAGAACAACAGAGAATTTAAGTTATGCAAGAGTTGACGATGAACTTGACTCTCAGCTATTCAAGGTTTGCAACCTGTTTGGCATTTATAATTTTTTTTTCAAATACATCGATAACTTGGTGGTTGGCAAATTGAAATTAACTTTGTCATTGTTGGCGATTGAAGATATTTGTCCAAGTTTTACACCCACCACTTAACAAATTGAGATCTGTATTAGTAAAATATCGTATTTTACGGACCATAAGATGCACCGCACTTTGACGAATGGTTTAGATTTGGGTTTTGTCTATACATAAGGCAAACCGTATGAATCTTATTGAACAAAAAACTCAATTATTATGGTTATTATATTATTCGAAGAAAACGTAAAATGATGGTTTGTTTATAAAACAATAGTACCGGTACTGGTTTCGAGTGTACGCAATTAAGAAAGAGCCTTACTTGATCAATACATTATTCTCTCCACATTATAAGGCGCACAATCGATTTTTGAGAGAAAAAAATTCGAAAATGCGCCTCATGGTCCTTAAAAATAGGGTACTCTAATAATTGAGTATCCAAAATTGCTTGGACACTATCATTCTACCTATATCTGAATGATAAAATATTTCTGTTCAGCAATAGATTACCTGAATTAATTTATTGGTATGAAAGTTTAGCTTTTAAATAACGAATTTTTAAATCAAGCCCAAAATCATTTTGTATTTTTTTTTGAAAGCCCTGTACTCGAAATTTCTTTGTAGAAAATAACTTTATATGTTTTACAGACAAGCCATGTTAACTCGAATCAACATGAATATTCATGGAATAATGAAAAATTTCAATTCAATTTGAAAGAAAGACATCGATATCTGAACATCAGATATTGGACACAACAAGTGGGTATCAACCATAATTAGTGCATTCAGACAATTTAAATCAATTAACAAATTAGTTACCTTAATTGGATTCGAAAGTATATAGTGACATAGTTTGCACGATAAATGACATTTTCAAAAAAGTTCTTTTTAAAGTCTTTGTACTTATTTGAAAGTGTGCCAGGCAAATCCTATTTGATTATATTTTAGATATTTAGGCTGTATCTGTATTGTAGAATTTTTGTGTTTCTTATTTCTATATGTATTCAATGAAAATATTGAAATAAGGCTAAGATTTAATGGTTAGAACTTGAAGCCAATAGCAAGCCACTTCAATCCAAATAGTCAAAGAACTCATATACATACTAATGATACTATGATAATTTTTGATTGAAACTTTGAAAATATAAATCGTGTGACATTATTATAGAAAAATTTCAAATTTATAAATTTGATATTTCCAGATTGGTAAACAAGGCATTATCAAAACTAAACCTCCACAAATTGTCGGTTGCGTCTCGATACCTTTATGCGAGTTAGAAATGAATTGTCGCGGAGTTACATCTCGACGAGTTACACGACGATTCCCGTTATTTGCTCCTAATGAATTACCTCATGATCATAAGTGAGTGTTACTTTTTTACTTGGAATTCAATGTCTTTCGCCGAACATAATAAGTCATACAAAAATCAATCCTTTCGGCTTGATTTTTGTATGGCTTATGCCCGGCCAATTGAGATTTGTTTATAGTATATTCACCGTTGTTTGATGTTTTCAGATGGTTTTTAGGCGAACCTGTTGCAAGTCGATCTAGTTTTAGGGAACAGTATTGTTATGGTGACACAACCTTAACAGTAAAGGTAATATTGTATTTTTTTCTTTGCATGTACATAGCATATACATTCAAGCTGGAAAAGTGTATACAATTTTTCTTCTAATAATATTATATGAATGTCATAGTGGCTATCGACCTAACTCATTATATCAGGGGTGTGCAATAGGTGGCCCGCAGGCCGCAACTCGGCCCACCAAGCCATTGAGTGTGGCCCTCGTCAAAGCTCAGATTTTTCCCCGTCAAGCTAAAATCCTAATCCAACAGGGATTGACATGAGTAATAATATATAGTGATTTTTGTCGCTGCGTTTAATCGTTCGCTGTTTTGCCCGGTGTCCTTATTACTGGAAGGAAAAGCAATAACCACGCTCCATTCTTTTGCCTTCCCAGTGGCTCTCTGGTTGACGCTAATTTTTTAATTCGCTGTGTACATGGAAAAACTAATCCTAATCCTAAGAAAAACTAAGTCCTATTCTATCCATCAACTGTCTGTCATATCTGTCATTCAAGCTGGGACAATATTGGTTGAGATAACTATATAATTCTACTGTCATTGTCTCATGGAAAAGTTCAAAGTTTATGGGATGTAAATGAAATATCCCATTTTCTTGTATTTTGTTGAGAAACGGTTGACTTTAATTTATATTTTCAGCTGGAACCGAAGCCTGGTAATAAGAACAACAGCAGTAATCACAATCCCCATTCTCATGATCATAATGATGATGCAGGGTCGTATTTTCCGGATGATGACACTAACGGAATGTTGACAACAGAAATGTTGAATAAAATGTCAGAAAGATCAGGTGAATTGACTATTTTTGTTTGTTTGGTGTTTTATTTTGATTCGTGGATGTTCAAACATTCAAAATTAATGATAATACAAAATTTTTCATACTTATCTAAGGAGAGGGAAGTATATAAGACGCTGCAAAATGCCACTGTTTAAATAGAGGACTCCATGAGTCACGGTAGTCTTCTCGCACATAGATATCACATACAGATTATGTCGTTTTGTGTGGATTTGGATTTGGTTATATAAATTTAGAAGAAAATCTTCGACTTTGGTCTTTAGTAATCCAGTATTGATAAATCTTCAAGTAAGACGTCATACCAATTATAGTAAATGGAACAGACCTTGCTTAAATAAAAAGATTTGGTTTTTCAACCAAAACACCTTCACGCTTTTGAGTTGTTAATTTGGCATTGGTGGAAAAAACTTCGAAATCAAATTAACAAATTTTTATTTTTTTTATTTTGAGTGCTTGTTTATATCCTTGTTCAGAGCAAATGAATGATTTTCAAATTGATTTTCATGTCACTTTCAGGATCTGACTATCTCCTGTCTTCGAACCAACAACAAGGAAGACGATTACTTGTGTCGAAAGAAACTCAAACACCGGATAAAGAACAATCCTCACCTAAGAAATCTACTCAGAATAAAACAAACGAATCAACTGATCAATCAGAGACAGTTGAAGACGATAAAGAGATTCATGAAACCACTAAAGGTAAATCCCCATGTGAATAAAGACTTGCAACCTACTAATTTGGCTCAATTTATTTAATTCTGTTTTGAAAAATATATGATTTATTGTTACTGTTATTCTTTAAAATTCAATTTTTCAAGGCTGGAAATTGATTATTTGATATTATTTTCATTTTTTTAAAGCTTATGTTTCCACAACTGGAAGTTCATTCTGATTCTCTCCAAGTTGTGAAATCTCTTTTTTCTGTTACAACTCCTATCTTTTCCTAACCGTTTAAAAATTTGAAAGTTCATCGTTCAAATTTAAAACATTTATTTCAGTCCCAGTGCATGAAAAAAGCAGTCTCTCACAAATACTCAGAGGCTTTCTACATGGTCATAAAGCTAATACTAACGAAAATAAAAAGAATGCAAATGATTTGCCAGCTGATCCTGAAATAGCAGAGGATCCTGGTAAGATGGAAGATTATTTTTTTAACAAAATGCTGCTTAAATTGGTGTGAAAATCTAAATTTGGGCAAGCATTTTGAAACATATTTTTATTTTATATTTCTTAGAAAAACTTATTTACACTGTTTCTAGGTTTATATTAGCCTAAACATTTCAGCTATACTCAAAATGAGCATGAAAAACTTGAATGTTTGTTTTGTTTTTAGATTCGCAAGAAAGTCTCAAACCAGACGATGTCATTGTTGGTGTCATCACTAACGATAAATCCGGTTTGCACCAGTTTGAAGCGGTTAAATTAACCAAATCCATGAAATGTTCTTTTTGCCACAACAAACTCTGGACCAAATCAGGTATGCAATCATAGGATTTATAGTGAAATATGCTCGCAGTCCTAGTAATGTCACGTCTTTTGTGTTCAATTTCAGGTCTTCAGTGCACTATATGTTCATCGGTTTGTCACAAGAGATGTGTGGAGAAGTATAAGAAAGATGCTCCATGCATAGGTAAGATAAACTTGCATATATGAGCATACGTAAGCTTTTCTTCAATTGTCCTGTAGAACAATTTTTTACTTGCTACAATATGCCTAGAATCAATCTTTATAAAATGAAAGTAGTTTTTTTAGTGATCAAAATTGTTTCAGAAATAATCAATTTTATCGGAAATAGAATTATCAATTTGTGGGAATTCCTGATTTTTAATCAAATTCAAAATTTTCAATGGGAGCTGGAAAAGAATTGGGTTAACGAAACATTAACAACAAATAATCAGAGAACGCTTGCATGTGCTAAAGTTTTTGTAGTCAGAATTTCGTTTTGGAAGTGCTGTCAAGTGCAGCATTGAGTTTAATAAATGGCCAAAAATTTGGAGTTTGATGTGAGTTTACCCTTGTAACAGTGACCAATTATTTTCCTTTTTTTTGTCTAATAGTGTAAAGACTTTTTGTGGTATATTAAAATTTTTGTTGTCTTCAATCAGATTCTACTGAAAATGAGAATGTTGAAACAAAACTTGTTGATAAATCATCTGATCGTTTTGTTGTTGTGGATTCTGATGATAATTCAGGTAAATATAAACACACGAAAGTTTTTGTATTGACTGTAAAACTAAACCATATGTGGTTTGGAGCTAGTCTAGCTCAGTGCTTCTCAACCAGGGGTCCCCGGTGGTCCGCAAAGCATTTCTAGGAGGTCCGCGATTAAATTAAGATTTCAGGAAATTATTTGCAGTTCATTATCGTTTTTTTGTAACACGCTCGGACATTTGCTGCCTATGACAATAGCCTACAAAAGTATTTTGATTTATCTCCCGTAGACCTATTGTGACAAATACGAGTTATGACATCGCAATGATAAATACGAGAACGCAGCTACAGTGATTTCAAGGGCATGTAGTCACTGGTCACGTTCTTATTTGAAGCGAAGTATCTAGTTGTTCTATATCCAATGTGTAACAAAGAAATTTGTGTTGCTTACTAAAACTTAAGTCCCCCTCAGTGTGAGAGGGTGGCAAGGAAAAACCGCAATGCGTTTTATGTTATGCTGTTCTTAGCAACGAAGCCATCAAAGCTTAGGCGTCACTTGCCGCAGACACACCCAAAGCATACCGAAGTGAAGTGACAAAAATTATGCGCAGGTGAAAGACGTTGACATCAGTTCTGCTTGTTCTATTTGTGCGAATCTGGTTTTTCTGATCTTGGTAGCATCAAAACCGTCTCAAGGTTGACAGTGACATTTGTCTTGCTATATCAAAGACGGTGCCTTATATCAGGAACCTCGTCAGACAAGCGCAGGATTCCCATTGTTTGTATAATAAAAAGCTTGGCCTTTCTTGTCTGTGGCTTGTTTTTGCATTCCATAAAATGTCGTAAAACATCATACAATCCAACACGTTTAGTTTTTGGAATGACGTACAGGGGGTCCGCGAGAGCAAGAAGGCGCCGGAAGGGGGCCACGAGCCATAAAAGTTCGAGAACCACTGGGGTAGCTGTTGCATAGGAAGCATTTGTTTTTTACCTCCATGGCAGATTGATTTAGTTGTTATTTTTACACTATAATTTTGCAAGATTGAGTTAGTGTTCAAGTTAACAAGATTTTAATTTGTTTTGAAATCTTGGAAAAACAATTTCATAACTCAAAAGGTTATAAATCCAGTGTCACCACCAGTTAACATGTCACCACCACATTGGATAAAAAAAACATCTTTTTTAGGCTTGATTAAGCCAAAGCATTCCACCTTGTTTACCTAGGCTATGAATTCGAAATGCTGTTGCTGGTCTGAAAGATTTAAGTCACGCTACGTCCTGTATGCCAATATTTTAATTTAGAATCTGATTCAATAAAAATATTTACTCACAAAATTCTAATTACTTGATTAAACAGACTTACGGTAATTCTATTTCTCAATTACTTAAAATCGTTTTTTTTGCACAAAATTTTTCTGTTTCTAATTACCTTTGAAATTAAATTTTTGCTGGGTTCTTTAAAGACGAGGTAAGGCTTCACCTAATGTGTGTATGTGTGTTCACAAAGATTTTAAATCTTTTAAGCTGTAACTTTCGATTTGTAATTTTTTTTGCTTCCTGTCACAACTCACATAATAAGGAGATTTTTTTGATAATTATCTGTTTTTGATTGTTGTAATTGTGCACTTTTTATGTTGTTAGATATAGTGTGCATGAGAAGGTAGTTTAGTGTAAAATGAAACAATGGTGGTGTAGGGGCCGGTCCTGGGTTAAAATCTCGAAACCCCAAGTAGATATGCAAGCCAAGTCACAGGTCATCTTAAATCAAAAAGAGAGTCAATCACTGTGTTAAGTCTCACTACTGGTGGTCGGTTGATGGATGACAAGTCTGAATTATTTCAGTTAGAGGTGGCTCCAGTCATTCTCGTAGCCTTTGATAAATATTGACTCGAGGGAATAAGGTGATTTTTAGCATATGGTTAACATACACAATTGTATTTATATAACTGTATTGCCTTCACAGCAGAAAAAGGTCTACCAACAAAGGCTTTATCCTTCCGAAATAAAATATTAGACATGACGATGTCACCTGAATCAAAAGATGTCAATTCAAATGTTGAAAATTCTGGCATGAGGGTTCCTGGCTCTCGTCCGAGGACTTTTTCTCGCACTAAAGAATCTGAACATTTACTGGCTGTCAACGCTAAGCAAATGGGAAGGTAGGTTCACACTAGTACCGCTATTGCCTTAAAAACCGCGGTGTCCTATCGACTCCTATGGCTCGATGCGCCTTATGTACAAATAAAAATACAATCTGAGCAATTTATTGACTGTGCATCTCATGGTCTGTAAAATATGGTACTCAAAAAATGAATTGGACTTTTTTGGACAAAGTACGGTACATTATTACATGATAGTGGCAAAATTAGAATATAATGGAGCCTCATTTTTTAGAGATCTACACAGAGATTTACCTTTGTCACAACGTAAAGCAATGCTAGAAAGCCAAACACAAAAAGTTGAAAATGAATTACACAGTGAAATTGAAGAGAAAGAAAGGCTAATACAGGTAAAACATATTATCAAATTTAAAATTTCTTTATTTTAAAACACTTGAATTTATATATTTGATTTTTAGGAACAAAAGCAGGCGGGGAACACTACACCTCAATGGGATAAATTGAATAAGAAAATTTTGAAATCAGATGAGAGATTGCAAGCACTGGCATTACTTTTACTTCATTATAGAGCAGGATTAGAAGATTGTGAATTTGATTCAACTACTCATGGTAATTTCTTAGTTACGGTATATAACACTCATATTCAAATGGTGGTGTTTGAAAGATTAAAAATTTGTTATATGTATTCCAATTACCGATCCTAGATGTCAAGACCAATAATTTTATTCTCTTATCAGTACATTTCATACATTAAGTCGAAAACTTTATAGACACTCGAATTCTGCTTATTTAATTTATGCCTGTACATCAAAAACCAATATTTTAATTACGGTAGTATAGCTTTATAGAGGTAAAGGAATTAATTGCTATTTTTACCATAATGCTAATATAAGCTAATTTTTGTATAATTAATATGTATAAGTTTTGATTTTGAGTCCATAAAAATGTGTATCCTGGTGTGAATATGGTCCGTGGCTGAAAGCTGACCATTCTCCACAATGTCAATTTCATTTTTCTTTAAAATTCCATTATTTTCTGCTATATTGAAAAAACGTTCAACCTTTTCATACTCTTTTCATTACTTCAATTTTATTCCAGGCTTTGTTTGCTTTTCTACCTTGGCACTATGTTTAGATGTTGTTGACATTATCTGTTTGTGGATGAATCTAACTTCCGAGTAAATGACAGTCATTATATATACTCTTATTTCTAGGTTTAGTATTATCTGACGATGAAGATGAAATATTCGGACAAGTTAGTTCCCACAATATACCTGAAGTTCGTATAGAAAATGCCACTGAAGATGAAGCCATCAATGATAATATGTAATATGTGGCAACATAATATTTTTATGTTGCCACATATTTTTTTCGCAGTATCTTAATGAAGCTTATTAAGAGTAGTTATGATATTCAAATGGAGTCCCAACTCTGTGATTTACTTTCTATTACACTATCTTTTAAAAGCATTTGCTATGCAATTTTTCCATGCAAGTGATAATAGACTGCTGTAGTGGTCATATACATCTGAACCTAAATAGTTGATATCTGGTTATGATTTACAAATCGACAGGGTGAAGGCCATAAGAGGAAAAAATCTATGCTGTCAAATTGTTTTGCTAAGTTTTTGTTGTTAATGTTTATATTGTTGTTGTTGCGATGCAAAAACAATTTTTCCTTTAAATATTGAAAAATGATTCATCATGTGCGGTAACGGATATCCATCTACAAAAAGGACTAGCTTTATATTCACCATATTGCGGGATTCTGTGTTTTATTCATTTTTTAAATATTATAAGCTAATTCACACAGCATGTTACAACATAGAATTGTGCAATTTCATATTTAAAATATTATTAGCATTAGCTAACAACTCGTACCTCTTTTTATAAATTGCACCAGCTTCTATACATTTTAATAGTATGCACGTTCCATCTTTTTTTCCGGTACAAAACCATTTTAATGCAGCAGTAACTGGTCATTCTTTTTTAAATATAATAATGTCCATTCTTTAGGTTTAATTGCCACTGTATAGGTAAAACTTGGCATGTCATATTTTCTGGCTGTGGTATTTCTATTTGTCAAAACTTTCATTCTTACAGCATATAAAGTGGTAAATGCAGTTATTCATAACGGTGAGATTCCATGATGCTTTTTCCGTTTTTTAAAGTGAGCGGTTATTAGAATATTTATATTAGCATTAGATCATATCATCCATATTATTGCCAGGATAAGTTCTACATGCAGTGCCTACCTTTATGTGACAGTTTTGTTATTTTTCTTCCAGCTGTAAAAAAGCGCGTTTTTATTATTATCGTACGCTTCCTTCTTCAAGTCCTGATATGTGGGTAAACGCAATATTGCTGTAACATTTTTTTAATTCACTGTTTCTATATTTTGTGTATTGATGAGTAAATATGGCAGCAACAGATTGAATGAAATTTGTGATTTTTGTTAAGCCTTCTACAAATTATAGTTGAATGCTTGATTTATTGTAGTTGTTGCGTTATGGCTTATGTAGTTATATCTTTCACTTGAGACGGGAACGCATAAAGCGTAGATTCGATTTTATAATGTACTGTGTGAAGATAGTGAACTAACCGTATGCGTTACATCGCTGAATTAATATTTCGAAATATGGATAATGTCCAGCCGGAAGTCTCGCATATTTATTTTTGGAGGGTGGATTTTAAATATGGCAGGAAATTCAAAACTGTTGTGGTTTTGTCCGAACACTAGATGTTAATTGTACAAAACCGGATCTCATCAAATGGAAATATTCACTGCATGAATAACTAATTTTGAGTGTGACTTCTGCACAACTAGCGTCAACTTGCCTGTATTGTTATAGCTCGACACTTCTCAAAATTAGGTACACTTTATTTTATTAACATCTTTTTACAATAACACAAACTAAAAAATATAAAACGTGCAATTTCAGTCACAGTTAACAATGTCCACTCGTAAATATAGGTAATGGCAAGAACACAGAAATTAAAATAGGAATGATATTGAGGCAAGAAAATAGCACTTTTGGAATTAAAACATTTACTTCTTAATTTACTTGGCAGTACAGTTTCAAATGATTGTATTGTCAAAATGTTAAGGCTTTAAAGTTGAGACACATAATAAAATAGTATAAAGCAGTTACTGATATGACTGATAAATTTGTATTTCATAATGGGGGCGAAGTTTAATTTTTGATCCCGCAGATGGGTATTTGAATGGGTTAAGCAGGGGTGTGCAAGGGCCAGATACAAATAACTGGATGAAACCCCTGGCCGTACTTTGACTTGTTAAATTTTGGTTATTGATCTTGTAACATGCGTTGTTTGCTTTGCACAAGCTCGGATATAGGCATTGCAACGCAAAGAGATTGGAAAAAGTTGTTTCATGGGCCGCACACCAATCAAAATGGCAATTCTAGGCGGGCCGTACAAGTTTTCCTGACCAGATCAGAATAAATCATCGTTCAATAGGTAATTTTTTGGGAAAATACCCAAATTTTAGATGATTGTTACATATAATTGGTAGCAGCATATTAAAAAAGCTTCTGGGCACTTTATAAATACAGCAGTACTGAAGGAAACTTGTGATAGTTTGATAAAACTATATTATACACAGTTATAGATACAAAGAATTTTAACACTGAACTTTACGATTTATTATAATTATTACTACTAGGCAGAACTAGAGAATTCCCAATAGCTCTTCTTGCCTTTTTTCGTCTTAGGAAAAAAGAAATACATTCACCCATTGTTATCATCCATAATGTGCCAATTCCAATTGAACACCACCATTGCCATGTTGTTGGTAATGCCATCATTACTGCAATATTTAAGAATAAAGAAGATAATCTACATGTCTTTGTGTTGGACCACCTTCATTTTCAATATAACTAAAACTGGACAGACTAGCAATTAACGTTCTAATGTGCATAACATACCGTTTTCAATAGAACTAGATTAAATAATAAGTCGCATCTATTTTTGAATAATTACACTTCTCAATATGTCACAAAATAATGATTTACATATTCATCTTGGGCGAGAAGAAAGATGCTGAGTGCCAGTCTGAAAACTAAATGCACACAACAAACAGAATGCAAAATATGATTTATTGAAGTTACCTGCACAACTGAGGATTAGGTGCACAAAGGTGATTGTTATTGCATAATCCCAAACACGAGACAAAAGGTAGAATGATATCACAAGAGTGGTGCAAAAATATGTCAGCTCCATAGCAAGGAAACAAGCTGAAAAGAATTTAATTGTAAAAGTTCAGAAGTCTGGAAGTAGGTTTTAAATTACAAGTCTCAACCTTTTATACCTACTTCTATTTTCTATACTTACCAACGCTTTCTACTGAGCCAGTGGAAAAGTCCAGGTTTGACATGGCTACAAAATTGAATGGCTGACGTCCATCAAATGTTGATTCAACATGAAACACTCCGTGCATCAAAGCAGACATTGCGAAATAGATGCAATAAAAAGTAAACAAACATACTCCAATATTTTGAAGTATCAAAATGTTGGATCGCTTCAATTCTGGACTACAAGTACGTCCCTCATTTTCATCATCAGATTCGGCAGCCATTACTTTTTATAAACATCTCAAAACTTCTGAAAATTGCGGCCAAACACCCGCGCCTGAACAGACTTTCCTTTCACTAACCGAGCCGAAGACACAATAACGAACGCAACACGTAGTAAACAACTCAATAATATTACCGAATGTCATATCATTTGTTGCGCTTAGTGTAATATGCCAAAACACAGCGCACTGTGTGAGTAACAATTTTTTATTCAAAGTTAAGAGGAACAAATGAATATGAAATTCGTTCATCGATTTCCATTTGCTTAAACGCATGTGGTAGGTTGACTTAGATCTGGACAAGCGTTCGCTTCAGTATTGCCTCGCCTACTATAAAACGATACGATAATTTCACAGTATGAAGACTGATATTGTGACAGTCAAAGGTATTAGACATGGGACTTTTTGCAACGAAAGAAACGGGGTGAGAATAACTTGATCAATCCAATTTACAGATTTCTGAAGTTTATATAAAGTCCGGCTAGCAGTATAAAAATTTTCACCCATACTCCTTTGTTTTAGGTTAAAAAGAAAACTCTCTTTCCAACGTGTATGCTATCAACAAATTGTGGTACTGTGCCAAATCTATCTCGTGAAACTTATTCCTACATTCCAGTGCATTTGCATCCTGATGTTACAGAGGTGAGGCTTGGCCCAGCAAAACATGTTAAGATAATTTTTCATAAAAGGTTTCTGTCAGTTACATTAAAATTTTTCTAAGTGTTTGGAATACGTTTAACATTGCACCACAAATTAACCTGTTCGGGTTTGCAGGATCCCATGAAGAATGAAATTGTGCCAGCTGACTACAGGATTGCTGAACTACTCATAATCGCAGGGTTGTTCACATAACCCAGTAACCTCGTAGCTTCCTGCACCATCCAAGTTAATACATCTTAAACAATTAATTGTTAAGTTGAATACGCCCATACTCGATTTGGTCGAAGTAACCTAACGAAAGGCTGTGGTTTTACATATGATTCTCCATCCTTTATCTCCTTGAAATAAATATGAAAATCCTACCTGAAAGTCATTGGGCATAATCATTCAATTCTTATATGTTGATTCTCCGACGTAAATCAAAACAACATAAAAAGTAAAGAGACAAACAGAATGCAGAGATACTAGGGAGACGAGCATAACTTCGAATTAAGTTAAACATTAAAATAATAATTTATTTATCAATACAATTTAGGTTCCTGTACAGTCAGTCATTGATCATGAATCAATATTTTCATCCTATGCTGGATGGAGTGGTGAATTGATGAGATTGTCAAAATCTTCTCTTCTGTATGTATCAACCCAAGACCCACTTTTATCCCTGAAGACTCGCAACAAACCAGATGCTGTGCAAAATACAACAAAGGTAATTCAATCATAGATTGGCTATTTTTATTTGCTTTCCATAATGTAGAATACAAACTTTTGTCTCTTGGATGCGATTGATACTGTTGCTCGTCATCACAAAAAAATGAAGTTAGGTAATATTTCTTGAAAGGGTTATCATCGTTTTATTCCTCTTTGCAAAGGTGGTAGAGTCCTACTAACTAATGGCTACAAAGATCTGGTAAAGCTCAAAAAAATACCCATAGCCACCATTTGGGGTTTCAAGATAGTATGCTTGTATAATAGTCAAGGCTGCCATCAATATGAACCCAAAAATAAGGACATCGAGGAGGCGTAATAATAAGATTACAAAGAACGCAATGTAATAAACGAAATGTATTCATGCCAGTGCCACCCGTGTCTAATGATACTTTGCACTAGAAAGAATTCCCCCCAGCAGTTCTTTACTCTTAGAAACTATCTGTTCCATCTCACTTCCGAGTTCACTTCCACTTGTAGATTTTGGTTAGATTAAATTGAAATTAGATTTTCTACTGTATTTTGATTCAAGTTACATGAACTGATCTTTGCCGGTAGGGTATTGTTTAGGCCTTGTGGTTAATTAATTTGCTGTTATTATGTCATGAATGCACGTAGCAATCAATGAGGTTCTGATATCATTTCTAGCAAATGAATCATTCGAATTAACCAATCTAAAAACCCGGTATATGAACCTCTACCCCTAAAATGAGATTAAGGACACATGTCAAAATAAGGACGTTTCCTATGAGGACAAAAATATTTTTGAAGACATAAGCCTTCAAAATAAGTACAAATCTTAGAAATAAGGATGTTATGGCAACCCTGATAATAGTGAACATGAATCAGCTTAAAGTTAAGTTATCGGATCAGATGAGTCTTCTACAGCAGCTGTCACTGACTTTGTGACAATTTTACTCATTGATTTGGGAGGGCACACATTGCAGAACAAGGCCGAGAAAATGCAGAAGATAATGTATATCCAATGATTTAGAAATTTGGTAATGCAGAAAAGTCGATAAAAATTATGGTATAGGATGGTTCGTTTTGGATTTCTGTTGCTATTATGTTGATCATAATATCAAAACATTAAATTACTCTGTCAATATTAAATCTAAATTTCGATATTGAACTTAATCGTTATTCAGAAATATTCCCACAGAGATTTATTTTGTTAGCAAGTTGAATTTTAGCGATTGCGCAACTAGTTTGTAGGCTATATTATAGATTTTATATGCGTGATGGGAAGTTGGCAGTCAATGGTTTATACAAATTATTAGACCAGGTTTTAGATTCATTATATTTTTTTCCAATGGTTGTATTCAATAGTTTTGTGTCAAATTGACTTTTTTGCCTATGCCTGTTTTTGGTGTGATATAAAACACTTATAGTAATAGTAGTTCCATTTCAATTTTTTCTTTTACAGGCAGTTTCAATTTGGGGAAACAAAGGTAGAATCGCTCTGGATGTTGAAAAACATTTGCAATTAATTTCAACTTTGACCCCTGATATTTTCGAAGTATTAGCTGATGGAGACACAATAGCTGAAGATGTTTCCAACAAGCGAGTGTCAAAATCTTTCGCAAACTCGTTGAAATTTTTGGAACAAAGTTTAAAGTTGCATAAAGAGAATGAAAGGTATACATAATTCTCTCTATGCAAACTTGAGTGACGGTAAGAAAAAATCCCCCACTCAGTGGCTGGATGCTTTACACGTTGCATTAACCTTTTGTTGGTATTTTTCAAATTTTTGATCAAGCTCTTGGGTCCTTGCTTTGTGCAAACTTGTTATAGAAAAAAGCATTAGGAACATCACACCTCTGATTATCCCATATATAGAGATAGGCTCGGCGGTGTGACGCATCATGCTAAGCGTTAGGAATACGGCCGCATCTGATTACCCTACATGGGTTTGCAGATTTGAATCCCATACAGGGATATTTATGTGCGAGAGGATTGTTGGACTCCTCACCGCTGTAGGGTGGTTCACATAACCGCTGGTCGGTTACGGCTTCCCTCATTAAGTCCATGCTTCCGAAAACTAATAACTGGCCAACTAATCCCATACCAGACATGGGCTGATAACAGGCTATGGTTCGCCATATGATTAAGCCATCGTTTCGGCTATCCTCTTCCCCGGGATAAATATGTAAATCCTCTCTGTTAGCGAAGAACGATCATTAAAGTGCCAAGAGCTACTGGGGATATAAATCATTATAGTAGAAGTAGAATTATAGAATTGCATTTTACTAAATTCCAGTTTCACTTTTAGTGATTTTCTCATTTTAATGTAAAAGATAAATGAGCCCCTCTTGCATTCAATTAATATGAAAGTAATGCACAAGATACATTTGTCGTTCACAGGCTACAAGATTCACACTTCATTGTACCATTGGAAGGTGGAAATTCAGTTGAATTGAGAAAGAAATACGCAATCAGTGCTCTACATCTTATTAAAGAGAATAGTACAAGTAAAAAATGTTATTTATGTATGACATTAGTGTATTACACGCAACAAGGTTTAATTGTATTTAAATTGTTACTTATCGATCTTGTTACTTATCGATCTTGATACGGTACGTATGTTGATAGGTATTTGTCTGTCTGTATTTCTGTGTGTTAGATGCACGCGATATCTCACGAAAGCGGGGTTTAATCTGCTCCAAATTTTGCATGTGCATTCATCTTAGCTCGGATCAGAAGCCTATTGATTTTGGATGGATTATTGTCGTATAATTAGCGAGTTATTAATTAATTAGTGATGGGACACACGGTGTCACTATGGAGTAAGACCACTGTATTGGGGGATCCCCTAACCTTCGATCGATAAGTCTTCGGTTTCCAACCAAATTCTAGTTTCAAATTTTAAAAGAATCTTCCTCTATGTATTATTTACCCCAAAAGTGTTTACGCACTTACCCCAAAAATGTCATGCTGGGTGTTGTTTTAGATCAGTGGTTCCGAAACCTCTGGGCAAATTGCACCCATGTACCGATTTCATATGGCCCCCCAAACTTAAGTGAAATAGTTCAACACTATAATGCTGATTGTAATGTCATTATTACAGTTCAAGCACGATCCATAACAATTCAATTTTACCTGCATCTTGTGTGCGCTTCCTTCTCTTGGCCTGCAAATATCCTTCCTCTTTTAATTTTGCCCTACAGTCTATCAACTTTGGGAACTATTGTTTAAGATTGATTATTATATCTGCAGTGTTGATCAGTTTTAAAGATCACCGTTTCAAACTTAACTTAGTATCATAACATTTGATCAAATTAGTTACATCGTGAAATAATCATACTTTTGTAGTTGACAAATGCTCTGGTTTCTTGGTCGATGGGATTTCACCAGACAAGCCAATATCAACACATACCATCGATCTTGTTAAAGCTTCGTTAGAAGGACTACCTCAAGACAAACCAAGGTAATTCAAATACTATTTATTATTTACAAGCCAATACTATTTATATTCTGTATTCTAAATATGATTTACCTTAAAACATATACAGTGACATCTGATTGAAGATAGGTATACCTGTGATCAAAAATTTTAAAGGAAAAGAGTAAATCCATGTGGGAAAATATTCCGATGTCTTATCAACTAGTGAAATCTCGTTTATATGCAGAAAAATTATTAAAATAATAGCAAAAGTGATATTCTTTTGTCATAAAAGACAAAACCAGTTTCACAATGCTCCATAAAAAAAAATTATTGAAAAATATATAAGAAACAACTGTCCAAGTAATGCACTCAAAAGTATAATATTACCAAACTGGAAAAGGACCCTAAAGTGTCTGTTCTACAATGTTGCTATCGAATATTGATTGCTTAGGATTTGAAAGCAGTTAAGGTCTTTCTACCGGAAATTGCACATAGCAGAAATTGTTCTTCCATTCTCAAGAGTAGTAATATTTTTTAACATATGTTCTTCATTTTTCAAGGTTTATCCACGGAGCACGATCACCACTGAATGTTATTAAATTAGTCGAGTGCGGAATTGATGTATTTGATACATCCTTTGCAATAAATTTAGCGCAGAAAAATACTGCAATAGTTTTCAGTATACCTGATTCCAATCATAATACTGAAACTAAAAATATTTCTACATCAAATGGTGCAAAATTCTCAAAGTTTGGTAAAAATACATTAGATCTTTCTGATGAAATTTATAAAGATTCTTTTGAACCACTTTTAAAGAGTTGTTCGTGTTATACGTGTACACGCCATACAAGGTCGTATATCCATCACTTAGTTTCAGTAAATGAGCTTTTGGCACCATTGCTGCTTACTTTACATAATTTGCACCACTATTTGCAATTTTTCGATAATTTACAGAAAGCTGTAAAAGCTGGGTCATTTAGTGAATTTAAATCATGTTTTAGCTAATTTCATCGATGCAATAAAATTTTTACATCTGGTATGCCAGCAGTCAAATAAATGGTCGCTATGCCAGAGTGATTCGGCTATAGGATGAGAGGGGGAAAACATTATTGTAAAGATTGAAAAAAATGCCATAAAACGCTGTGAAAATATATTGGCTGTGGTTGTCATGTGTATATGCTCTTCTCAAAATAATCTTCAGGCGTCGGCTTATTTCTCCGTGAGTGCGGTAATGATCCATAGATCCGAGTGTGCAAACAGCGACCCGCGAAGGGGTCTTTAGTTTAGGTAATCTTGTACGTCCGAGCAATTCCAATCCATTAGCGTCGCAAAACCTATAACAATGTTATTAAAACGTGTTTCTCACTGAATTCGTTTAAAGTCGGGGTGATAATAAATTTGAATAGCCTTTTCTCTTCAGAATATTGTGCGTTTTAACTCACCATATCTGCAAGGACCCCGAACGTACCGTAAAAACAATAAAATATTTCTTTGTGCCTGAAACTACTAGAAAAGATATGTTAAATAATCTGGCCCTCCTGCATTAAAGGTTGCACACTTCTGATGTAGATGGATAGTTATTAACCACTGATCTAATTCCATACATCATGAACAGTGTGGTGGTCACTGTTTGCAATCCACGTTTGGCTAGCGCTCGGGACCGCGATCAGGAGTTGTATCTTTACCGTCTTCCCATAGTTAGTTAATATTATAACCCGAGCACAGTTCACATATATATATATACCATCATTCAGCTTGTATATTTTGTATGCATTTCCTTGTCGTGAAAGATACTGTAAATAATCTTATATTGGGTTCACCGCAGTATGAGGAAATTGCGCGTAACAACGCATAAATACGGAAGTCGGATATTCAGGCATTTTCTTTCGCCATGCATGAAACATTGCCAACAAATAGTGATAATAATAAATTAAAAAATGAATCAGAGACACACAATGTTTCGCAATTGACGAGGATTCGCGAAAGATTGTCGCGTCATTGCACTGTGGGCCATGCATATGAGATAGGACTCGCAGGAATGCCCAATACACTAATCTCGCCTGGTTGTTACTACGAGAATAGGCGACCAAGTCAATGCAGATGTATGGACAGAGTATATTTCATAATTTTCTGTCGGAAACTTGCCAATCATTTTGAGTTTTATATAAGCAAGATAATGAGGAAGCTCGACTATGGCTTCAGATATGATTTTATTATATTTCAGGATGATATAAACTTCGAAAATTATTAAATTCTCTAGAGCTAATTTGCAAGCATTGAAACATAACTACAATTTTCGCTCTACTAATATAACGTGATTTGATCAATGACACGGTACATAGTTGTTCCGTTTATGAACAACCATTAGGCTACTGAAGACGCGCACCATCCCTGTTATTAGTATGTTGATATATTACAGTATTTATTATCAGCAACCAGTGGCTGCTCATTTTTAACTACAGTGGCATCTTGAGTGTGAGTTTACATAGTTACCTGTCAATCTGTACTTGCAGAACGTGTGAAATGTCATCAAGGCGAATGTATCGTTAAGGATATTTCCAGTAATATATATCCCGAAAATACCATATACACGTCAGGCGCGGGCTTATACCTGAGTATAATTTAAATGGGGGTGGCTCATTGTTTCCGCTCGCTTTATCTGAGTAATAAGCTGTTATTATTACTCGTCGAAGTACTTGATTTTCATTGGTGGGTTATGATGCGAAGCCTATGCGATACTATATTCTCGCTATGCGGGAGTACTGTTATATTGCATGAAACGTGTGGTTCAATATACATGGTCTTGCTTCATTGCTTGGGTGTTGCTTAAATAAATTAGAAAAAGAAAAAACGTACTAAAGGCTTTCGTTGGAATGATTCTTCATACACGCATGGTGTCATCGGAACTATGTAGACAGACTTAGAAAAATTAAGGTGCGGTAAGAACAAATTTAAAAAGCAGTTATGATGAACGTATAGAGAGAGTATGGTTTCGGATAAACGAAGCACCAAAGAAAAACAAATTATGAGCGTCTTGTGGCGTAGCCGGATACTGACGCAAAAGTTTCCGAGGCGAGAGAATGCGTCATAATCAAAGGAACTGGCAACTGCGTGAAGAACGTGATGTAGTCTTTTAATTAAGTCAGTCGAACACAAAGTTTACGGTGCTTAGGAGTGTGTCAAAATGGTTGCTCATTGCATAGCTTTAGTTGAGTGTCATTTTCTTGACGAGCACATGAAAATTTGTTTGATAATAATTTCTTTGTTTCGAAAATGTACCTTTAACTCTAGCTCTAGTGAAGATTTAAGCCTCGCAAGTCGGAAATGATTTAGTTTTCGAGATTTGATTGTTCATTTCGAGAGTCGATTTATCCTGCTTTGAAAAAAATTGTGAAATTTGACGTCGCTATTTTTCATGAACTACAGAAGTCGCTCTTTCGTTTGTTCGAGCGATCTATTTGTAAAATGAAAATTTCGATGTTTAGTGTATAAAGCCTAGAATTTATATGTAAATGGTATGTACAACCTTGGCCAAATAATTATATATTAGTCGAATGCCACATATTTATATATTTTTAAAAGACTTCTTTGCTAATTGAACGGTAATATATCCCCAAATATATTCATCGAATATCAACTTGGTAACACTTGATAAATTGCAAAAATATCCGCAAATTCCTTTTTTTTGTACCAAACTGTGTTTTTATGTTTCAGTAAGATGAATACACCAATTCGCGCAATCTAAGTATAAAATGCACTGTTTATTTTATGCGTCCGATACCGTTGTAGTTCCACGTGGAAAAACTCTTGATAATTTTGTTAGAAATGATAAAAATATGTAATTTTTCAAAATGGCGATCGCAGGCAGACAGTAAAAATTTAATGGTATGTGTATAACAGTTGTTACCAATAGCGCCGACTATTCAAAATCGTCACTGATAGCCTTTTGTTATATCAAGGGTTCATTGTGGTCTATTTACTTGAATAATTCAGTGAGTCAGAAGGCTGTCGGGTCGGAATTGTAGTTTCAGTTGAAATTTAGCTCTTATTTTAAATGTATTTATATGATAAACATCTTTAGCTAGGTATTGTGCTTTAGCTTGCGATATATATTCCGGAATGAGATTTTTACGCGCACGAGAGTAGTATCTTTCATTAAACGCTGATTTTTTCTCGATTTTTGGCCCAAAAAATTATTCGCGCGCTGGCTGCTCATTCTGACTGTTTTGCAGAAGGAAGTACAAATATATTATTTTGCATTTGGTGTAGTTATACTAATATTGTTTCTATATGTAGTATTATTTCAATAGAATTAGTTTACACATATTATAAACTATTTGAATCACGCAAATATAATCAAGGAAGTAGAAGTCCAGTGAAACGTTCACTGACTGAATTCCGACTACCGTCATTCATAGAAAAGTTCATTAAAAATGTCATTCAAGTCCAATGATAATTGAGTAACTTAATAACGTGACACACTTTACAAAAAAAATTCATAGAAAAGTTCATTAAAAATGTCATTCAAGTCCAATGATAATTGAGTAACTTAATAACGTGACACACTTTACAAAAATGCATGATATGTTACCAAACGTAGTAGAGTGAATTTATTTCATTTTGAATCGCTCAGAAAGCTGGTAAGATTCGTCTTTTTATTTTTGCTGTGTCATTGATGAAAGATCAATTGTGATAATAAAGATGTCATTACGTGGCGATACTGGCGGCAGCTGACTCTGATTATCGCGTATTTATCTTATGCTGTGTGACTTGACGTTGGGCGGGTGTGTGCCTGCCAACACGCCGTAGACTAGCCTGCGCTAAATTCAAGTTCAAATCAACCTCACGTGAAAGATTATGTTATGACAATTGACAATAGGATTGCTAGATTATTGTCTATCATAATCTCATTTAGGAAATCACTGACAATCTAAATCTCGATTTTGAATACCAGCAGATTTAAAATTGAGTCTCTTGTCATGTTGAGTAGCTAAACCCAGGATGTTTACATCAGCTGCTAATGTAAACATCCTGGTTCGAGTCCTAGGTCCATGCCCAACCCATATATGAAGCGTGATTCGTAAGTAACCACAAAATGGAAATGCCGTTGATACGAAATACCTGTAGCTTCACTGCCATGGGGAAAACAAACGCTGCTTTAAAAATAAGATTGTAGGCATGACACGGATGACTTGTTGTTTTCGTTTGTCTTATTTAGATTTGTTGTGAAAAAATCGCATTTTCTCTGCAAATACTAGACCAGGAGTGTTGAGCATGCGACCGTTGTCAACACTCAGATAGACGTCTGATGAAGTTGGTTATATGGCCCACCGACAGAAAATGTGGCACGCCCCTGTACTAGACCAATTAATTTCGAACATTTAGTACTTGGAGGTTGAAGAAGGCACTTTTTGCTAAGGCCTATATTTCACTCAAAGTTTTGCTGTTTTTAAATTCAGGAAAACACTTACATTTGACTTTTGTAACCATATATTTGATCTTGCTAACCTATTTTTATATAGTAGTTAATATTGTACTTCAACTAACTATTAATAATATGGAAAATTTATTGTTTCTGAAGATTTCCTTCGTTCTCCTGCTGCTTTTTGTGGACTCGATAAATGGTAGGATATTGATCTTTTTATGTGTCAAAGTTTGCTATATAGTTTTTCCGACTATTCATAAGTATTTCTTTTTATAATCAAGGCCATATATTATATTTAATCAAGAAAATTTGGAGTCTACCAAGCTTTTCAATTATAGGAATATATAGAAAGAATCAATGTATGTCCCGTGCTGTGCCGACAATGTAATAACATAAAATATATTTTCATCGCCCAGGTATATGCTGGGAATCCGCATGTGAGCTTGCAAGCAACGATTTCACGAAGTGTTGCAAAAATGATAGGTGCTGTTCAGAATGGGAATACAGCAGTGAACAAGTTGTGAATGCTTTTAAACTCGGGTAATTTGAATACTTAATATGAGTTATTGCAAAGCCAAATAATATAGAGTTTCCTTGTTGTTTCAGATTGATTACGTAGCCATGATTAAAACACAAAAACGACCGTGCGATAGTATTGAATACATTAAAATACACTGTTTTTGTGAAATATTCAAACAAATATATGAAAATTTCCTTTTGCGTAAGGGAACAATGAGGGGGGACCGCGAAAAATCAATACCAAGCATCTGAAACTAATAACCGGCAAACTGGGCTGGTAACCGGGCGATAGGCCGTGGTTCGCTATATGATCAAGTCGTATTATCGGTTTTTCCTCTCTCCGGGATAATACATAGTTCCTAATTATCGAGTTGCGGCGCCATCCGCGAATTTGACCCCATTTCTCGTATATATACAAACCTTTAATTTCTGGGTGGCCATAAAACGTAAAATGTTCCTTTGCTGGAAATAAGATTACTTCAAATGTAAATATTTTTTGACTTGATGAAAACAAGCCTTCCGTATTATCTATCAATTTCATTTTGTTTGTTTTAAATAAAGGTAATATTTGCTTTATTACAACTTATTATGCCTACTTACAAAACAGCGGGAATTTAACAGCTGTGTTTTAGTCTCCAAATGTAATAGTCGGAAATGATTAGAATCTTGATATTAATATAATTCCATAGAATGGATGTACGTATGTATATTTCGTGCATATAGAAAGGAAATTACTGATATAGCCATTGTTTGGCGCCACAATATTATTATGACATCAAGGCACTCGTTTGTCGCAAAATTATCAGCAGTCGGAGGCTTCCCGGTATTTCATTCTTGCGTTTTTTTTTTTTCTATTAAACTTGATATGAAATTTCATTTTCGCTGAGAGTAAGCAAGAGTCGGTTCGGAAGTCTGAGACAAACAACTTAATCAGAATAAAGTTGCCCGCACTGTAATTTTCGTGGACGAAAGTTCTCTATTCATTTGTCTGAAGTCGTAATTGTTATTTTTGTTCTAGGCTACATTCAAGAACTAAAGTCGCAATTTTTCGTTAATTTCTCAACACCTACACGGACCTGTGTTTTTCTTTGAAATAAAAATGCAATTCATTGCTCATCGTTATGAAAATGGGTGACAGAAAGCAGACGACCTTTGTTGCATTTTATCACTCACAAAAGTGTTATCTGTAATATCGTGTCATTGTCACTGGTATAGCCTACAATTCATATAATTTCGATCGATTAGTTTGCCATTGTGTGATTCGTATTCATGTTAACTGTGTGTATTTCAATGTTTAATCAATCTGCCGTCTTACGGGATTGTGTTGTAAAGCAAAATATAGAATAGTTACCACCAATTTGTTTCGCCAATTAGTTAGTCGTGAATGAAATAATTTTGATTTCCATTTGCGTCAATGAGCCTTGGCCACAAATTGAGTTCATTGTTACATCATAATTATATTTCACTAAACAGTGTTGGAGCAATCATTGGAATCGCTATCGGTGGAATAGTATTGATCATAATCTGCATCATCGGATGTGTATGCTGTTGTTGCAGACCAGGACAAACTCGCCAGGGAGCTGTTATTGCCAACACAAGCACAGTACATGCACAGCCTGGTAAATTTCACAATATTTTACCCCAAACTTTACTGTTATTTCATAATAGTTTACTAAAATGTAGCAATGGACCATTTCCCGAGCATCAACTTCCTTGTTTAGTTCGTGACATTGGCCAATCAGCAAGATGCAAAAAGTGACGTAACAATGCTCCCTTTTCGCATCCGCTCAGACCCTTTTTTTACTCAGAAAGATTTTCAAGCGTGGTCGTAAACATTACCTCGTTTTCGCGTTTTTGAACTCTATTCGTTAGTTTTCTGTTGTGTTTCGAAAACATAAAAATATAAACCAGATAATTCAAATACCTGTGATAGACTAGGCTAAAATTCTTTACCGGTACTTTTAAAAAACAGATTGTTGTATGCGATTAAACATAATGATGGTTTGAAACACATACCCCATTTTACATGCGCCAACTCGCAAAAGCACTCTTAAAATAGCCCCGAAAATTTTGCAACGGTAAAGTATAAAAATAATTTTTCGGGGGTCAAAGGTCGGGGAAAAGTTCATAGAATACATGACCTGGTTTGACCCTCTTCGAATATTGGTTCATTTATTACGAAAAGTGTTATTTATTTTACAGTAACCATGCATCAATATCCGCCACCAGGTGCGCAGTATCCACCTGGAGGATATCCCGCAGGATCTCAATATCCACCACAATACGCCTCACAGCCTGCCTACAATCCAGCATCGCCAGGTGGAGTCGCACCTTACCCAGCCAAAGATCCCAATATGGCCCAAGCGGGGTTTTCAAATCAGCCACCACCTTACTAGATTTAACCTGCGTTGCAAAACCATTCCATTTATTAATTTTTACCATGGTTATTGCACAGACTGGATTGGGAATTATTTTTACCCAATTATTGCATATATTGTATATTGCCTATTTTTTTCAGTCCCGTATTCTCACAGAAGGTAGAGAATGCGAATTCTTTCACATTCAAATTTTCGATTGTTATCGTTGCTGCAAATTTAATTTACCATTTGAATGTAATAATTTACGCATTTATGAATTCGAAACACTGTAGAGATGAAATATTGGATGCAATATTTAAGTTTTCTTATATTTTAGTAGCCTACTTTTACCTGGACATAACGTCTACACAACAGAAATTAGGTGAAAATAACAGTGAAATATTGCTGTTGAGGTGTGTTGAAATTCCTCTCATGTCCTACCTTCCCTTATGAGTTGTGACTCATATATATGTATCGTCATTTACTTCCGTATGTAATTAAATGAGTTGCCTATAATTTCCTGATTTTTTCCACTACTTAACTGAACGTTTAGCGAATATAGCAACCAAAGTCACGAAGATGCCTTCAATTGTACATGCATCTAATGTTTTCTATTTAGTATCTAATCCAGGGATGGCAAACCACAGACCCGCGGGTCACAGAGTGACCCACTGCGAATTATTTGTGACCCGCCAAGCGAAGGCACGAATAAAATAAAATAAAAATGCTAACATATCAGTGGTAAAAATTGATAAAACCGGCCTTAAATTAATCTAACAATAACTAAACTATTATAATGTACCGTCAGTTGGACAGTCAGAGCTGCGATAGCTCATATTCAAAATGTTGATTTTCGGGCCGGTATGCTAATTTTCTAAATCCCTAATCTTAGACGCATGTATGCACCGTCGTATACCCTTATTCAGCTATTCCGCCAGACATCGTTTATGACATAACATTGCAATTGATCTGTTCATTTCTCGCAACGCCTGTCTCTTTCGGAAATGCATCTGCAGACTGTTTTAGGGGTTATACGAGAACTAGATGCTACTTTGCGTTTTATTAGTTTCTCGCCTACAATGACGCTGAGAAAACAAAATCTTTCAGACTTGAAATGAAAATATAGAAATCTGATATAACAATGGGGCAGTGTAAAAGTGCCTTAATGTGGTTGGAAACTGATCGAAAATTATAACACTATCAAAGCGGAATTACCTCCAAACACTAGAACCGTAAAATAATTTAACGCATCATCCTAAACGTTTTTGGTAATTCATATGCGTGTTTTCGTACTCTAATATCATAAAACCGAGTGCCATGAAAAGTCCCTGATAGAAGTGCTGCATAAGTAAAACCCAAAACTACACCAACACCAGCTTATAAGAATTGTTTCAGAAGTTCCTTATAGATACAAACGTGAATTAAATATCTGTGACCCACTCTCTTCTGCTCCGCGATAAGATTATAATTTTTGACCCATTCATTGAAAAAGGTTCGCCATCCCTGATCTAGTCCATGTCAATAATGCGTTTTCTTATTTTTATGCTGCTTTTTAGATTGCCTTTTTCAATTTTGATCACTTCCAATAATGATAATTTTACCCATAGGGAGTCTATGTGATAGACACAACACAGTGCATATATATAATGTCTTACTTATTCCTTGTTCAATTCATTAGGCCTCTGTAGACTCCCTTTCTTTCTCATATCCTTTTCGTTAATATTTGAAATAAATGCAGTTAATTTTACCGAATAAATATGGATGTTGAGCACCAACTGTATCTGTCTAACGTTATAAAATATATATATATAATATTTGAGCATTGTATAATGCTAAAAATAGGATATTTGGCACTCGTTGAACTTGGAATTATGTCGCCTGAAAATGTTTTAAAAGATGAGTTAGTATACGGATTTTGATGAGTGAAATTCGTTTTAGCCGTGGAAGATCATGTTCGCGTTCACTCTTCACAGTTGAGGTAGTGAGTGATTGCGTACAAACGTTTTTCGTTCGTATAGGTATCGGTATAGACCAGGGGTTTCCAACTCAAAATATGTCGCGGGCCACTTTTTGAAATTTATCGACGACGCGGGCCGCAAACTAACAAATTGTATACAAAATTGTTATACAAAAATTAACAAAGTAAATCTGGATATATTTGTTGAAATTACCCTTGAATCTTACACCAAGCGAGACATGGAACATATTCGTTTTGTAGCGCTGAGAGACTCGATGTTTGGCCTTATTTTGCGTTGGGTTGCTGGTCTTTGGACAGCATACAAACTCTCGTCCGTTAGTCGTGTGCGAAAGGCCGATTTGTCAACTCTCATTGTTAAAAATCATTCACAAGCCTCCAACATGCACTCTTTTAATAAAGCTTCCCTCGACGAAAGGACGCTCACTTTTGGCAAAGCTTGCTTTTCTCGAATCTTCACAAGTTTTGTTCATGTCTGAGAAAAATTTCTCTGTTTCATCAGTGAAAATTTTATTTGCGATACCTTTTCGTGACGAATTGTTTCAGTATAAATATGGTATTTTCCCTGTGTAATGATCCATGGGTTTATAATAATCTAGTTTTGCGTTAACTGCACATATGATTCATAATTAACTAATGATTCACAACTGCCCACTTCCATGATCAGACCGAAACTTGTTTATTTCGTCATAATAAAAACGCGAAATGAAATGATTGAATATACAGTTTAATTATTACAATCGAATAAAATATGAACGTGGTAATGTGGAATAACAGGGGAAATTTTTGTTTTATTTTTAACAGTTCGTTCTACCGGATTCTTGATGTTAAATAACACGATAAAACTCATAGTTGACATCATACTATTTCAGTTTTTTTTCTGGAAAAATCTCAACAACGAAACGCGCCCGCACGCGGCCCGCGTTTTGGAGACCCCTGGTATAATTCAAAAGTGGTATCGGTACATCTCTAATCCCACTCTGAAGAAAATAAAGTAATTCTGGATACTGATCAGCAGGTTTGTTTAAGCATGTGGCGAGGCGCAACTTTCAGTTTGAACTATTTTCAGAGTCATTTTTGACTCAGCGGGGTGGAACAATACACCATTATATCGATTATTAAGTGAAACACAGCGTGTCGGCGGTATCTGCGATTGTGTTGACTCCGTTGAAGAGAAGAAATGCGCAGTTTCTTGTTGTTTAGCAATCCTGTATTATTCCAAATTCATTCGCAATTTTTCGTTAGTAAAATAGCAAACGTATCGCTTTAATGGACAATCGCCAGAAGCGCATCTCACATTTTATTGCTGTATGAACTTTATGACTTGGTTTACCAGAGCAACTCTTAAGTATAAAACACAAATGATCATAACCGATATTTTTGTCATATCTTTTCATGGGTCTGATCTTGATTTATCTAAAGAATAATGTGTCTCAATTATTCAATGCGAAAGATTTTTCCCTATTTAGATTTATAATTTCCAAAATATATTAAAAGATTTTGTCCTAATCTTCCAAGACATTTTCATAGTTTGTCGCTATATTTTTGAAAGACTTAAGTTTTGTGTCTAGTATATTTTGATTCGTTTTGAATAATGGTGGTGCAGAATCATGATGAATAGGTTAGGGTTTTACGATAGGCTTACCATACGTCCAGGTTTAGCCGGGACATTCCCAGTTTTAGCATGTTTTTTCGTCGTCCCGGCGATAGACCTAAATGCCCCGGTTTTTCAGTATGACAGTCGTAAATAATTTTTCTATTTGATACTATTACAAAATTTTTTTTTAAGGAGGCAGTCGATTTACCATTGATTCGCGTCTCACTTCACTGGTTCAGATAGAGAGAAAAATTGTTATGTCATAGCGTAAATGTCATAGTCATGATATGAATATGAACCGTGCGTTAATTTAACATCCAACTGTCGTTGAATCATCAAAATGCCAAAACAAAGTGCAAGTTTTCTAACGAGTTCAACGATTGCCATTATTTGAAGCAGAGACCAATATACGATATTTTAATAAGATTTACAGCTAATTTTGACGCCCACAAATCTACCCACAATGCTATGGAATGGAAAACCTTTAAACTATTACTAATATAAGCCTCTGAAATGGAACCAAGGTTGGCTTGTCCAATCGGCACCGTCCCGGTTTTTTGCTTCAGATATATCAGAGCCATTATATATTGGCTCTGGATATATGGTAAGCCTACCTTCACGACTACCCGCCAATTGCTATGCAATATGTTATCCTATTTTATGATTTATATTTGAAATGTTTATGATTTCTAACATGACGAAATAAAGTTATTGTCTACTATCTAGCTGTAGTTGGGGATTTTGATTGCTTCAGAGTCGCCAGAGAAGTATTATTGTTACTAGAATCAACGCTGTACAGAAGACGTGGCTGCAGTCAATATCAAAGTGAATACGAGCAACAAGAACGATTGCGGTGAAGAGAGACAAACAATAATATTACATATGATACAAATGTTTGCTTGATATCAAATATATCCTGTAATTATCAGGCGTTGGGCGAATGTTTGGTGATACCACAGTACACCGTGAGGACACTACAATCTGCAGGAAAACAGAAACTGTGTTTTCCGAATTGTTATTATTTTTATTTATGATATCACAATAAAGTTTAGGAATCCCCTAAGTTGCCCATGCCAACGACTTTTACGGTTCTAGTTTTGTTCGTTTTTCGTATGTGAAGTGTCGTAAGACGGCGAACGTGAGGTGAATTACGTCATGGAAGTTTCGAAATGTGGAGAAGGCGCTCGTCATATTCAATGCTTTGAGCACTTGTTGTTCCAGCTTCGTCTTGGCCGCCATGACTAAATCTTGTTAGGGAATAGCTTAGCTTTCCAGACACAGATAACAGAGTTAGCCTATTTCTCTATGAGAGTTTCGAGAATTTCAATATTAGACACCGGTAAGAGAAATACCGATTATTGAATACCGTATTCTACCGGTACCGGTACGCAGGTACGGTACCTACACATTCACAATTTAACGGGCTGCTGGACAGAATATTCAGATACTGGAATAACTTGATGTTAAATTTCTGAATTAGTGCCTCATTTCCTTCTCCAGCTCTTAGTACTGATACCGGTACGGTACCGGCGACTCAGACAGAGGTCATAAAAGAATTGTGAATTATTTACTATAATACAGTAATATTTTCTCATTACTGAACTGAAGAATAAGTGGGCTAATTTCTGAAATTAAATTTTAGGTAGATCTAAAATTACAAATAATGTTGGAGCTAATGTCAATGATTCATCACTTTAGGGTAGACTACATTTTGAGTTCTGCAACCTTCACACAACTTCATGTGCCATATCTGCATATTGTTTTATCATTTCTAATTTAAAGGTACCGGAACAGACTGACGGAGAAATTCAGATTTGTATAAACTGTCAAAAATACTGTATTATCCCCTATTTCAGGTTCGTTGAATGGGACAAAATAGTCTCAGTATTTCTCTATCTCAATATAATTTATAAATTCTAAATAATGTTTAATAATCTTTCAGATTTAATTTATCATATCAAATTTCTCAAGCTTTAGTCCTCAGTTTAAAAAAAAATAATGGCAGTGAATGTGTATGCGACGTCTGTCACAACTGAAAATTTGAGCAGACATGATTTACTAAGTTGGGTGAACAGAAGTCTCGACTTGAATTTAACAAAAATTGAACAACTTTGCACTGGTGCTGTTTATTGCCAGTTCATGCATATGCTTTTTAGTAGTAAGTATGACTATTATTTGCTTTTTTATAATATTTGAATATTATATATTCATATACTACTGTTATTATACTTTATACGAAGTGGAAAATTTATTATCGATGGTCTTTAGATAGGATTTTTCAGCTATTATCAGAGCCAGAATCATATTAAATTCCTCGAATTCATTGAATCAAAATTTCGAATTCTATGGAATTTGTGACAGAAAATCAAGAGAATGACGTTGACTAGAAAATTAAAGAAATCTTGCATTCCTGAAAACTTACGCTGAAGCCGAAGTCATTTATGAGTCTGAATTTTTCTATAATCATCATCTCTGATTGAAATACAGATTCATCAAATTTACAGTTTGGTATTTGTTAGGGTTAGGAACGGAATTCTATGAGAATTCATACCAAAGTGACACCACAATTGGTATGCGATTGAGATCACGTTGAACAAGTGAGATCACGAACCAAAGTAGTTTTATGACGCTGAGATCGCATACCAAAGTGGCACTGTTGTGATGATCCTGCTAAATACCTTCATGTATGATATTTGAAGTCTGTTACTCACCGCGAATCCACTTCAACCAATTTCCTCAAGACTAGTCTCATAATACCATGTTTTCATATATTCAAAAGCTCCGCAAATTGATTCATTCTTATATTACTTAATCTCAAAACACAATTTAGTATTTTTAGGGTATTTAGTAGGCTATATAAAGTGGCGTGGTAATACAACAACTTTCTGTTCCGAATCGTAATTCCAATACTGATTTAAATGAATAGTCATCAGCAATAATAGTATTTAAGTTGTATATTTGCATATTTTTATCCCAAGCTTGTTTTGAGAAATTTGGTTCAATTCCAACTTTTCAATCAATTTCAGATAACATCAACATCAAAAAAGTGAAATGGAACTCCAAACTTGAACATGAATATATTGCCAATTTCAAAATTTTACAAGAGTGTTTTAAAAAAGTTCGTGTGGACCAGGTAATTTCTTATTTGAAAAATTTTATAATTTCTTTTTCTTTTTTTGAGAGTCAAAATATTTTGAATAATCGTTCTGTTCCTTAGTAAAATTGTGTTGTTTTGTTTATTATCCTATTACAATATATGTAATATTATGGTTTGAACTGGTATAATATTTTAATGCTTGTATTGAGATTGGTTTAGGCAGTGGGGAAGGTAAAATCATATGATTCATTCAACAGATTTTTTTATACTGTTTCATCGTTCTTCACTTCATATGTTTCATACTGTTATTTCATTTTTTTTAAATTGATACTTATCAACGTTTCATCATTTATTTACAGTTTTATTTAACATAAGGCTTTATTTGTGAACAAATAATGAGTATTTGTTTAAATATTTACCAAGCAACCTTTGCTACCATTTTCAAAACAAGCCAGCTGAGTTACTTTGTCAGTTGGTTTAAATAAACAATATTGAACTTGACAATATTATTGCCAAGCCTGAAACCATGCTGGGCAGTTCCATGGCCCACTTATTATTTTATGTAATTTTTTTTTGTGAATTGTATTCTGATTCAGATCATAAACTCAAATATATTTCATACTACTATCTGACTTACGAATTAACGAAAATAACACATATCGACAATGACAGCATATTTTTAGAAACATTTGATCAGTTTTTTTTCAAGTGTATGATATATTGCTACAGACCATCAAGATTAAATTATATATTTTCTTTATATTCCAGAATGTTCCGGTTGAAAAGCTTGTCAAGGGCAGATTCCAGGACAACTTTGAATTTGTACAATGGTTCAAAAAGTTCTTTGATGCCAATTACCGGGTTTGTTCTATATCTTTCATGAAATATAATACATTTATTATTTATTGAATTTAGACGATACAAGGTTTTACTATGGCATGTCTAGTGATTAGTTAGACTAATATGCTAGATGATTCTTCTCTAGTAAAAGCCTTTTGTTGTTATAAACTCATCTTATTCAAATATTTGGTACTCCCGTAGTATGTTTACCCAGTTAGGGTTAGGACATAATTTTATTCCGATTTTCCTTATTTTAGTTCTGTTACGAGTTCGGGGACTGTCTGTGTTAGCCAGTGAATATACCCCCTGCCCATAGGTTTCAGTCCCTTTACACAACTTGATTATGTAAAGTAGGCGAACAAAATTAGTTACCTCCATATTGGTACACACACTTCTGGAGCGCCAAATATTCTTGTTACATGGGTCAAATATGGACCCAGCGTTACAAGAAACGTGGGGTGATATATATACAATTTGCTGCAACACATTTTTGAAGTCTGTTGTAATTTAGCCTTCTGGAAATTATGAGGCAAAATCAATTATTTCCCCCCATTTTATACCTGTCACCGGTACATCCTGATGTAATTAAATTTGGAATGATTAATGGAAATTTATGGTTCGAACTACACCTCAACCATTTTTGGCACTTACTGACACATACCTTAGCGCAGGGATTCTCAACCTTATGGTGTTATGGAGCCTGTGAAAAGGGTGACTATTAGTTACGAAGCCTCAAAAAAATTTTATGAAAATAACAACAGAAAAATACATTGTTACTTACTGACTAATGTTTCTGAGTAGGCTTCTCCCACAGAGCCCTGGGGCTCGGTATTACTATCGCCTACCCAATTTATTACACCCTGGGTAGGAATGGGATTTTAACCCGACATTTTAACCTCAGATGCCAAGTTGGTTAGGTCCAATGACCCAGTACTTAAGTGATAAACTCTGCTTAATTGATAAATATCCATTCATAAAATTATAAACAAATTAAATTTCTTTCTATTAAATCATGTTTCAATGAACTTTCTGCATCATAATGTTAGTAATCACGTAATACCTAAATTTCAGGAGGAATGTGCAGATTATGATGCGATTAATATGAGATCAGGTGCAGGATTGGGAATTGCTGATTCAAAGAAAGGCGCTGCTGCACGTCCAATGGGACACGTGAAAAAATCAGTTGCAACAGGTAGAATTTTATTTTTATATAGAAGAAGGTTATTATTCAACAATACTTCATTGTCTTCATATATGTCAAACATGTTATCCCATACAATCTTGTGTCAATTGAAATTAAATTTCATTCAATTTCACATATGCTAGTATCACACTTTTACAATTAATATTAACAAATAACAATAGTATATTATGTATGATTAAAATAAAACATCTGTTTACCATTGGACAGTTGGCTACTGTCCAGTTTTACTGCCCATTTAATAAATTATTTATACTGCACCTCATGTTAGATGCTGAATTTTTGCATTTTACAACCTGATAATGCATTTTGAAACATCTGTGCTGTTATGTATAGGAATGCCGTGATTTGAATATGCAGGAATATGTGTGCCATTTTTCTTAGATACTGTTTGAATTGCCATCTTTTCCTAATTGAAAATTCAATCAATTGGAATTTAAGAAACTTTTTATTACAAAGAAATAAATTTGATTGATTATTAGATGGGCTATCCAAATAATTCAGTAATATCGTTATGGTGTGAATGCAAATCTTTTTGCAAAACTCAGTTGATCTTTTAGTTGGTATTGTCAAGAAAAATCAATTTCAATCTTTAAAAATCAATACTTTGATTGATTTAAATGTCTCAACTAATTAAATTAAAGTGACCAGTGGTCAAATAAAGCTAAATATACAAAATTAAATCTGAAATAGTTTATCTTACTTGAAATTTAAGGTCATGGTCATATGCGGGGCCAAGCCAAGGGGGCTTAGGAATAGGCCACGAAACAGTTGCCATGGTTATGCGGCCCCATATGTATTATTCGATTATACGTATAATTGTGTTCAGCTTTTTCATTCTTATTGTAAATTTTCTGACCACTTACATATGTCCTTCTGTATCGTTATTACAATTCTTAAAAATAACTCCCAATTAGCTGATGTTATATTGAGGAAATACTAAGTATCCCAAAATCTTTCCAAATTGGTTTAATATTTTTAGGTTATTTAACTTATTTCATATTTGATAGTTGACACTAATTAATGTGTCAAAAAGCACTTCTGAAAAATTTTGGAGTAATTTCGAAATTATTGTTATCCAGTATTTCATTGTAAGGCCTGTTTTTTTAAATGTAAAATTGTCCTAACTAGTTAAGCCTATGCTGAAGCGTGCACCAACAACGCCGAAAGAAGAGGATAAAGAAAATTCTCAGCGTGCGGGATGTGAATATAGAGTGCTTTCATTGGTTCACAATATATTTTTGTTTATGGACTGTGTGTTCACCTTTTTATCACTAAGGAGTTTAATTATGAGACGTTTAAAGCTGGAAGTCTGGGCATTGTGTCTAAGCCATGCGTTCCCCTATCTTAACTAGCTGATCTTCTACCATGTTTTTTACTAATTTTTTACGCATATGAGGTTATTTTATATGAATGGATTAGTTGGTTAACGCAGGATAAAAATGAGAGATAGTTCATTGGAATTAAAACCTTTGCTATCAGTAGTATATTCAATGACCTCTGAAAGCATTGAATTTGATCGATAGTCTGTTACAATTGCTAATGGAAGGCAGTATTCCTTTCAAATATTGATACTGGTAATGTTTGTTTTTATTCTAAGTCTGTTTGAGGTATCTGATTTATTATTGACTGAGTATTAAACCTGTGACCAGTTTCTGAGACCTTGATAACCAGTCAGTTTTTTTTAGTATAGTGCAAGACTGATATTTACTGTGTTCTAGCACTCAATCTTTGCCATTGTTTACTTATTTGGGCACAGTTTGTTCCCACATTTTGTATTTTGTTATCTTTTGTGATTGATGTCCCTTTTATAGCTAGTATTTTGCCTGATATTGCACAGTCTATGGGTTTGATTTGGATTTTTTATATTTTGCCTTACCTTCTCTGCACTTCTTTATTTAATTCTTGCAAGTTTTTTTTTAAAGTTTTTCGAAAGGAGAGAAATAAAAAAACACATGCCTTGATAATTTCTGATAGCTAATTTTAGTCTGATGTATTGCAACTCCTCTAGGACTAATTTTTGATTGCTGCAACTCGTCAGAAGACAAAATGACCATTGAGTTATTTTATTTATACCTAAACTTTGGAAACAACTTGAAAGGGAATAGAGTTTGCAACAATTCCTGAAAATTTCTCTGCTGCTAAAATTCCAATTACCACCTCTTTAATAGCAGTGTTAGCAAAATAATTAATTATACTCTTAACTTTTATTTCCTATTATAAATCCAGTTTTCTTATTGGTAATCCCTTTTTAGCCCCACGATCAACAGCAAGAATGGCGACCACAACAGCCCCAGCAAGAAGAGCACCCACAAGCAGTGCCAGTACACAAGAATTAAATGTAATGCGAGAAGAATTAGAAGAGGCTAGATCTGAGGTAACACTACATGACATTTCAATTGTTGGAACATTAACATTGTTTTTAGGTTCATGTTTCATTTTTCTGATACATACCAATCATTGCTAAAAATGCATTTCCTCTATCTCGCAGGACATTTTACCCGACATTTAGCTATTTTTTTTATTGAAAGAACATTTAGGCCTAAATATCCACGGTATATCTCCATGTTAGTCTTATGCGCGACTCTTGTGTCCATGTATTCGAACATTGCTTTCTTATTATCGGAATGAATGTTATCGGAAATTGATCGCACCAGTTTATTCTATGTGATCCAGCAGATGCAAGATTGATATTTCTCTCATATCATCAAGGGTCATCTCTCCATGAAGCAAAGTAATTAAAATAATGCATTATCACTTTCATCGGCATTCAATTTTTATCAATTTATAGAGTACTGCACTACAGACTACAGTTGAAGCATTGGAAAAGGAACGAGATTTTTACTTTGCTAAACTCCGTGATATTGAACTTATTTGTCAAGATGTTGAAGGGGAAGATGGCGCTGGATTAAATATCAAGGAACTTTGTGAAAAAGTCACTGAAATTTTATATGCTACAGAGGTGCGGTTACAATTCATTTCTACCTATGTATATACTCAAAGCTGAGTAATTACAATTATGTCACTGTCCTTTGAACTTTCATTGCACAGAATATATAGAATAGTTCCCAACGATGCCCCTGCCTCACACTCTCTGAGTGTATGTATGTCTGATAAATATTGCAGGTTTGATTATTACAAAAAAGCATAATTAGAGCATTTATATTTTCTTTCAGTATCTCCTACTATTGGATTATCTAGTTAGTCTTTAGTTGCTTTAGATATATATCATTCTGACCGAATTATTTCTTGAAGCAGGAAGGCTTCGATCAACAGGATTTGGATGCACAGGGAGATAATTTGAACAAGTAGAAAGAAGCAGATGAGCATTTTCAACTGTCATTTAGCACATTTAACATTTTTCAGTTGCAATGTTATAATATAAGCTAAGTTGCAAAGTGTTTTATTGTATATGTAGGGTAAGGGAGTTTCAGTTATGATGTTATCTTCGATTCAGTACGGAAACATTTTCAAGAGAGATTCGAGTAGAGGAACTTAGTTATACACGGTAGTTAAGATTATACTTTTAGTATTGGGATTCGTAGAGGTATTAGAGACTGGCATAGGTTCACTGGTGACGAAGTTGGAAAGGTTGGTGACTTAATAGCTGTGCATTTTGAGAAATATTATGAGATGGAGTTTGCGTCAAGGTAAGGTAGTTTTTGGGTGTGTATGTCGTGTAGTCAGTGGTAACATTAGGAAAGTAGCAGCAGAATAATAATTCTAGTATTTTTTCGAATCAGTGTTGAATGTACATGTGGGCTTAGTGACTCAGGCTTACAGTTTGACCTGAGGTAACGTGAATTGAGAAGAGTATTTTGAGCTCAAACAGTACCTTGGTTTCAGTTCTTTACAACAACAAAAAATCCAAAATAATTTCAGCGATGGTTAAGTTGCTTTTTTCGTATAATACAAAAGGACAGTTAAAATTAATTACCCTAGGATTTCAGAATCATCTACTATTTTGAAATATTTCTGTCACCTTTCAAAATAGTATATCTTACTGGGGAAACAAACTATAGTATTGTGCGAAAATATCAGAATGTTCATATCTAAATAGTCATGAAAATGTGAGTTAATTTTTCCTTATTTTATGAATATTTGGCATAGTTGATTTAAAAATTACCTAGAAAATGATTGGCATAATTTAAGATTGGTTCACTGCTCATTCCTCTCAAAAATGTATAGTTTATGTATTAAAAAAAGTATATTTCTATTTGAATGATTGTAAAATTTTCTATTTTAGGAGGGATTTTTGCCCCCGGAAGAGGATGTGAATGGAGTCGACGACAGTCAGTATTAGACAGTGTGCACATATTTGGATTCAAGTTACCTTCATAACGTACTTCCACCATTTCATTGCGTGCACGACATATTTTGCGCCAGCATCCACAAGCAATATATCTCTGAGGAAATTCCTCACTTTTGTAACTATTGGTAGTTTTAAAATAAGTAATTGTTCAGCGTTATAGAAATTTTAGGGATACCAGTGTTGAAATGTTACATAACTTTTTCGGATTTGCTTCTCAGTCATAAGTTACTTATGCGGACCTGGAAGATACTTCCTATACTTTCATATTAGCTTGTAAACTATTATGTGAATGTTTTTTGACTGCGTATCATTCATAGTATATTACTGGCCTACCTGCTGCATTTACGTAATCTTTCTTTGCTACTTTTTTATCTTTGTCAAAATTGGTTTCAAATGATGTAAATACAGTTTCACTGTGCGTCGTAAAATTGGACGCGAATGCGAATAACTTTTGAATCTAAAAATGTGGTATTTTGAATCTAAAAAAATTTGGTATTCTATTTAATTAAACGTGTTTGTGATCAGACATGAAAAACCAGTTGTAAAAAGACCATTTGTTTTCTCATCAACTTTACTAACATGTTAGCTTCAGTGTGAAATAACCATGCATGTTGATTTTGTTGGTCTATTTTTTCTGAATAAAAATAGCTATGATGCAATGTTCTCTCCGATCAGTCTTGTGGTTAAAGCAGAATATAAGGATAGGATAGGATTTACATATTTATCCCGGGGGAGAGGAAAGCCGATAAGACGGCTTATCCATATGGCGAACCACGGCCTCTCGTCCGGTTACCATTCCAAGTCGGGTATGGGATTAGTTATATAGTTTGTTTTCGGAAGCATGGACTTGGTGGTGGAGGAAGCCGTAACCGACCAGCGGTTACGTGAACCACCCAACGACGGCGAGGAGTCCAGCAATCCTCTCGCACATAACCATCCCTGCATGGGATTCGAACCTGCGAACCCACCCAGAGTAATTAGAAGTTCGGTGGCGAGCGTATTCCTAACGCTTAGCCCGTTGAGCCACACCGCCAATAACTTCACATTGTATTTGGTGCGATTGTAATTTGGAAAAAATTCATTTCCATACATATACCGTGTTTCCCGGCGAATAAGTCGCTTTTCTTGACCCAAATTTTAGGGCCGTCTTATTAGGCGGGAATGATAATTTTCATTTTTTCGTGGTGGGCTTATTATTCAATTCGGACCATAGAATATGTTTCACGATAGCATCCTTATAAAGTCGCCATCAGGTCAGTTTAAAGGAAATCGGCGTTTTCGAGCTGTGAATCTGGAATTTCAACGCTGTGAATATCATATCTGAAGTTGGCTCATTTATGTGTATGTGCATCACGAGTGAACGGCTATTACTGATACATGTGGGATTGCAATTTGTGAAAATTGTCAATTGTTTTTGTCGGCGTGATCTCTTATTTATGGGATCTCTTATTTATGGGAGTTCCTAAGCCTTAAACATCTTTTATGTCAGCATTTATTCTCGCTAAATCACAAATTTTCCTCAACATATGTTTTGTGCCACGAGGACACGATAATTACTTTATTGTTCTCAAACAACCATGGCACTTGTGAGAAACGAATTTATACATAATCATGTGTGACAAGATGCTAAGATAAAGAAGTGAATACGTGACCCAGATTTTCTTGATTGAAAAGCAGCATTGTAAAATATTGAAAAAAACGGGAAACACCATTTAAGTTTTCTTTTAGGATGGCCCGTGACAGATTAAAGATGATTTTTGACAATGCAAATCGTAAAAATATTTTGTGTTCTACAACTACCTACGGGGCCTGACCGACTATGATATATGTATAATAATTAATGTAAAGTATATTTAATTCATTTTTTGACATCAAATTTACTCTGTGGGATATTGTCGCTCACTTTATTATAGCTGGGTTTTTTCTTACGGTGATATCCTTAAAATAATGAGTGACAGCACTGCGATGGAGCGGAATAAGTATTGCAGCAACAGCTCAGATATGTTTTTTTAATTTTCAAAAATACGAGTCAAATCAACATATAATGTTTGTACGTGTACTTGTTTATGTCCACGGATTGCGTTGGTATTTTGAAGCAGATATATTATTTATATTGTCGCAATCGCAGATTAAATTGATCACTAATAAATTAATGAAGCAACACATTTCGTTTCTGGAGATTTCGAGATGATGAATATGTATGTTTAATAAATACACTTTATATGTATATTTATTGCCCTTGAATATTTGTAGCCTACTTTCTGGGATTTTAGAGCAGATCTTGGGATTTTCATGGCGATAACAAATTCGCAAGAGCGCAAAAATATGTATCAAAACTAAATATAATTAGGCAGTTTTTCACAATATTATGTCCACAGATTGCCGTGTTACGTCGAGCACAATTGATTAAAATTGAAAGACAGTTTGAATTCCCGTAGTTGTCATGGATTGAATATTACGCTACAAGAAAAGTCCATATGGGCTGTTTTACCTAATGTGCAAACACACCGACCGCTTAGAAGTCGTTGCATAGTAATTTGGGATTCCGATTTTACTGCCCATCTCATTGGAAGGTTATGAGCAAAAAAACATTTTTTCAGCCTTAAAAACGGGCCTCGTCTTATTTACCAGGTAGACTTATTCGCCGGGAAATACAGTATATATATGTATTTCTGGGAGTCTTGTAGTGCCTCCCAGGTGTTAATTTTAGCTGGTGGAAAGGTTTGATTATTAAATGCCACAAGAGTATTATTAGACTATTTGGTAAAGTGTAGAGAAATAAATTCAGTTGTTAGAAACTTGGGACTTATGCAACGACTCTCGATTTCATCCTCAAGCAATCTTTGCCGGAAATTTTGACTTTTCACGTGGCCTGCTCAAATAAGACTTCGCAAGGTAATTGAAGAGTGATCTCGATTTACAAGCATACAAAATGACATTTTGAGAATGGAGAACGGTAATGTAATATTAATTTTTCCCCAACCACAAATGATTCACGAGGTCCTGTTTTAACAGTAGTGCGCCTTTTCAATATTCATATTACCCAATGCTGTTTTAGGTTTACATATATAAAATCTTCTCCCTACCCCTCCTTCCCCTCTCATCCAGAGTAAAATGTTCGTCGATTGACCAGATTATCGGTCACTTCCACCAAAACCAAGCTAATGATCAGGAAAGTGAGCAAAATCGAAAGCGTTCTTTAAAATGTTTGTAAGCATGAAGAAAATCATACACAACGAAGGTTACAAGTGCCAACACAAGTATACAAGAAATAATATGAATGATTTGAATCGAAAAAATGTGTTTAGAAATAGCAATGACTCGCCAGGTTTCAATCGTTGATAAGTACATTCGAACATTTGGCGCGGCGGATTGGCTCAACGGGCTAAGCGTTAGGAACACGCTCGCCACCGCACCTCTAATTAGAAGTCTTGCCCGTCCCCTTCCGTATACATTTTTATGCTTATTGTTATTTGCTCATGCTTATTGTATTATGTACTTGTATCGGAAATAAATCATTATCTATCTAATTACTCTGCGTGGGTTCGCAGGTTCGAATCCCATGCAGGGATGGTTATGTGCGAGAGTGTTGCTGGACTCCTCGCTGTCGTTGGGTGGTTCACGTAACCGCTGGTCGGTTACGGCTTCCTCCACCACCAAGTCCATGCTTCTGAAAACAAACGATACAGTACAAGAGAGCTATGCTCAAATATATGGACACGTAGAGTCACATAATTTTGATGACGTCATAGCGAAAAAAGAAGTAATAGCCTTCTGGAGAAAATTTTTATCTTTAACCACTAAAAATTTCAAAGCAATTGGTCCAGTATTCGAAGAGAAAAGCGACTTTAAAAACGTGTCAAGCGGTACTGAGTTAGCAGTCAGGCAGCATCTTACCTGTACACTGTAGGCCATATACGGTAATTGATCACAGAACAGTTGTTCCCTTGCAAATTTTATGTTGTTTACACTTTAGGACAGATAATTGATCACAGAACAATTCTTCCCTTTCAAATTTTATGTTGTTTCCAGTAGACTCTCATCAAAATAAACAAATATAGTAGGCTACAAGTGCTACAACGCTTGCATTACTGCACTGGTAGGACCGTGAAAGAATAAGTTACGGTAATTTCATTGTGGTAAGACACCGGTACCGGCACCAGTATCGTACTTACGTACTGAGCTACCAGTACCGGTTAGCAGTCAGCCAGCATCTTACCTGTACACTGTAGGCCATATACGGTAATTGATCACAGAACAGTTGTTCCCTTGCAAATTTTATGTTATTTACACTTTAGGACAGATAATTGATCACAGAACAATTCCTCCCTTTCAAATTTTATGTTGTTTCCAGTAGACTCTCATCAAAATAAACAAATATAGTAGGCTACAAGTGCTACAACGCTTGCATTACTGCACTGGTAGGACCGTGAAAGAATAAGTTACGGTAATTTCATTGTGGTAAGACACCGATACCGGCACCAGTACCAGTATCGTACTTACGTACTGAGCTACCAGTACCGGTACCGAACCTGTAGATCTGATATTCCGTTCCGCATACGATAGGCTATAAAACTTGCATTGCAGCATTAGTAATACCGCGGAAGGAATAAGTCAATTTCACTGCGTTACGGCACGGGTATGGCAACTTACCAGTACCGACCTACAGTAGCTGTAGTACTGAGCAAGACAATCGATCGCGAAACCGCTTGAAATAAGTGTAAAACAGTGTTCCCATGAGTAAAAATAAATACCGCGAAATTTTGTATGAAATATCATATCTCATAGGATTCATATAAAATTTAAGAATAAACAAAAGTAATAGCCTTCTAGCGAAAAAATTAATCTTCAACCACTGAAAATTTCAAAGCAATTGGTCCAGTATTCGAAGAGAAAAGCGACTTTTTAAAAACGTGTCAAAGAACAAGAACAAGAACAACAACAACATAATATTGAAACGATCGTTATGTCCACTACGTGTCCAAAAACTAATCCCATACCCGACTTGGAATGGTAACCGGACGAGAGGCCGTGGTTCGCCGTATGGATAAGCCGTCTTATCGGCTTTCCTCTCCCCCGGGATGAATATGTAAATCCTATCCTATCCTATCCTAACTCCAGATTCAGAAACACAATGAAAAATTCAAAACATTTCATGAAATACATTCCCATGCAGTGACGTAAAAACCATCTAAATCGCCTGATTTTACGTGAAATGTGGGATTAAATAGCAAATAAAATCAGGTGTTGTGTTGTATTTTAATTGTATTTCACACGTGCCCCCCGCGTTGCATCAAAAATTGTCTTGTGCGATTACAGAAGTGACATTGCCGACTATTATTCCTGTAACGATTTCGTTACGCTCGTGAGTTGTGACCAAACTGACCGATTTGTTGAAAACTGATATGCCAGAAAATATATTATCTGAATGAAATCAATTTTTTATATAAAATATGATTTCACAAATTAACACATTAAAAATAACTGTATTTAATGTTTGTGTTGCTTATATTTTAATATTATATATGATAAATTATATACATGTCGGTGCTCGTAAGATATTTTAAATGTATTTTTAGCATCGTAAAATCTGGTAACCTTAATATTTTTTTTTGTTTTGGTTTTCTATGTCACCTTTTCAACTTTCCAAATATCAGATTTGCTGTTTTGACTCTGATCTTCGTTCGTGTATTTAGTTTATTTATTACGGTTTATGTTATTTTTGCATTTATATTGGCGGAACATCAGATTTTATTTCTTTCACACTGAATAGTAGTCATGGGGGACAGCCAAGTGAAGGTGAGTAATCTGCATTAACAGAAAACGGAATACTGGAATAGTTAATAGTATAATAACGGTGGTTTCCGTATCTCGATTGTGTTAGTTGGACCACTAGGAATATGGATATAAACTTTGGTTGCGTCTAGTGAAGTAAACGCCATTACTCATTAACTAGCATCAAACATGAGTGTGAAGTGGAATAAGTGTCAAAGCTTCTTAATTACCGCCAATAACAAAAACATGATGTGAAATTTAATAACAAAAACATGATGTGAAATATTTGTTTTTTCAAAAATATCTGTCTGACGCTGAATGTAATTCTTGACGCATTTAGTTAAAATAGAGCCCACTCCATTTTTAACTGATCAATTTCTTGACGCATTTAGTTAAAATTGAGCCCACTCCATTTTTAACTGATCAGTTATGTCTGTCTATATGTTCCATGCAAAAGAGTTGACGGTATAGCATTCCGAGCGAGACACAGCATAAATTTTGAATGTTTTGTCTCATCCCATTTTTGTTTGATATTACTTATGCACTTATGTTGTGTACTCCGCTAGACGCCTTTGGTTTTTGTCATATACTAAAAAATGAAATTCTGATTATGTATTGTTTTATTTGTTTTTTAGCAATCATTTGATCTTGCTGAATTTTAAGCATTTCCATTGCACACACATAAAAAAAACAGTAATTCTACAGAATCAATATGAACATTTTACGTTTTTTGCTTATATCCTTCCAAATTGATTTTGTCAATTGATGCTCATGCAAAATATTTTTTAAAATTTAAATCTTTTGTTTTAGCGAATGGTTGAAGTTTTCCGCTGCTTCATTTGTATGAGTAAAGTCCGAGATGCAAGACTTTGCCCACATTGTTCGAAGCTATGCTGCTATCAATGCATTAGAGTAAGTTGCCTTTCGTTTATCCTAAGTCAATTTGTAATATGGAAACCTATTATAGCTGGACTAAGAAGATAAGCCAAAGGCCTTTGAGAGGCAATTAATTGTATTATTATTGAATTAACTGGTGGGGTATTAAAACTTGTTTCATATACAGTGTGTCCATAAAGTCGCTTTACAATTTAATTTTTGTTATTAAGTCAGTTCTCAATATATCTTAACCAGGTTTGTTGTATTTATATCAGTAATTATTTAAGTATTTTTACCTCATTTAATGCATATGTGAGGAGCAAAACAATATACGGTTTCGAGAAATTTCCTTTGCAATTTTAAGAAAATTTAAGACTTCATGGACACCTTGTATAATGGGTTCACTTATTGCATTTAGCTGAAGAATGTGCCTAACACATTCATTGCTTTTTTCAGAGATGGTTAACTCAAGAAAGACAACAATGCCCACATTGCAGGTAATGTCAAAATTCAGGATGAAGCAACGCCAATATGAATCATTTCAAAATAGTATATTAGCATGCTCATTTAACACACTATATTGTAAATACATTCAATAAATTGTTTGTTATCCCGCCATTATGTCCATCTCAAGGAAGGTCTAAATTAAGAGATTGTTTTCTGGTTGTCACTCACTTATAGTAATTGGTCCAAGAGTTGGGAGTAGTCAGTATGTAACATCAGAAGTTAGTGGGAACATATTGTCCTCTTTGCCATTTGAATGGTATCCTCCGTGGAGATCTATTTTGCTGCCATATACACAGTTGGTTTCATATTCAAGACAGCCACATAGTTATGTACTGCCAATCAAGTTTTTTAAACATGTGTTAAATGTCTCAATCCTAAATGAAGCTATTGTGTATTCATTTTGAGTTTTTTGTTCCTTTTTTATTGCGACATGATTATTTAAAAATGTTCAAGTAATATTTTTGCTTGTGTATAAACCAGAGCGACACTACAATTACAAGACATGGTAAATTGTCGATGGGCTGAGGAAGTTACTCAACAACTTGATACTATGAGTTCGCCTTGTCCGAGATCTGCCTCATCAGTAGAAATTGAGGAAGAAGTTAAGAAAGATGTGTAAGGTTTTTTTCTTTTATTGTGTATTATTCTGGCAAAGGTATCATTGAAGTAATAAACAAGTCGTAAATGTAAGAAAACGTTGATTTAAGAGATTGGATTTATTATTGTGCTGACTATACGGATCTCCATGTGAGCTGCTTAAGAATCTCATTGTTATCAATAATTGCAGTAATTCATGGTGCAACATCCTAAAAAAAATTTTTCCAGTCAACGTAGATCTTCAATATTGAATAATTTTACGTATTACTGAGGGATCATTGTGTACTTTTTCACAAAAAAATTTCAATTTTTGTTTTTTCAAATATTGGATGCTGTATACGGATAATTTTCTTTATCAATTTTCCAATTAGATATGTATTATCTATATTCTACGACCGATATGTTTCATGTTTTCAGCTGTGAACTACATCATGAAAAGTTGAGTGTATACTGCTGGACTTGCAAGCTTTGTATCTGTCACCAATGTGCTCTATGGGCTGGAACTGTAAGAATCTTCCCATTACATTTTTGTCATAGCTTATGTAAAAAACTAAATGAGATTATCAGATTGAACTTCATTCCATTTCTAAGTACTGTTTAATGTGTAGCATGGATTTTCATCTTGTAATGTGCTTGTACGCTAATTAAATAAAATTTGTATTACCGGTATTCTAATTATAATTAATTTTAATATAGATCAGGGTTTCCCCAACCGGGTTCCGTGATGACTGCATCGGGGATCCGCAACGATAGGAAAAGAGTTTGAAACAAATACAAATAGTTCATAATCTAATCGAATTACTGGTAGCCTGCCAGTGTTTAACGTTAGTATGTATTGATTCAGAGTTTTATTTCGTCAAAAGAAACAGTATCATTTCTCGTTGGTTGAGCACAAAAATTGATACGGCATAGGATGGGGGTCCCTCAAAAATAAGATTTACAAACGGGGGTCTGCGGCCCAAAAAGTTTGGGAAACTCTGATATAGATGATTTGATTGAATTTGAAGCTTGATTTTTATTTGAAGTTTTTTCTTTACAATTTCAGAAGACCCATTTGCGGAATCATTGCATTTTTGGGTTTCAGAATCCAGGAATATGATTTTATTATATTGTTATACTTTCTTCAATCTGAATTTACAGTTTGTTCTATCTTGTTTGGAAATTTTTATGCAGCAATTCAGTTTCAGTAATCTTTGTTGCAGGATTTATTTCTTCACTATTATCTCAGTTAATGAATTTCTAATTTTTTTTAGCATGGTGGGCATACTTTCAAACCACTTGGAGATATCTATGACCATCACGTGACAAAAATAACAGATGAAGAATCAGCAATTCGTAGACGATTAATGGAGCTCATATCTCTAATACAGGTTTGTGTTATTCAACGAAAGTAATTTTAGATATTTTGATTAAGTGAATATTTTTTTATACATTTTTTTATAGGATGTAGAAAGGAATGTGGATAGTGTTCGGAACGCGAAAGAGGAAAGGGTTCGAGAAATAAGGAACGCAGTTGAAATGATGATTGCAAGGTATTTTTTATTGACGATATACTTTAAAATAACTATCAATTGGGGTTGAGGGAGGCCAGGGGGGTTGAGGGTCAAACACCCCCTTTTGAATGTAAAAAAAATGCATTTTTCTGTATCATACATAGCAATTTTTCGTAGCTTCAAATGGATTTTATACTCTTGAAACTTTCGAAAACCCACATTTTGCGGCCCCCGGTCGGACCTGATAGCTGTTATGGTTACCCTCCTTTAGAAATCACTGACTATGCGTGTCTGCATGAGAATACCGTATATGCTCGTTTTACCGCCCGAACTTGATTAAGGGCCTGTTTGAATAACCGAACAGAACATAAAAATAAATAAAGGCCGGTGCTTGAATACCCGCCCGATGTAAAAACTGATTTTTCAGTGGTAGGGAACAATAGGAAATAAGAAGCACTTTTGTCACAACGCTGTTGAATTTTAAGCGCTGGTAGATAACACTCACGCCTTAGGCGTTCAAAATTCAAAATTTTCGTTATTCTCGTTCAAATCATACTTGAGAACTGGAAATGACAATATATTTTGTGTATAATTTTACTTCAAAATTAACAAGCGCCCATGCTTGAATAAGGGCCGGTTTGAATAAGGGCCCGGTTAGTGAGTTTGGTTAAAAAAATATGGGCCCGGGCTACAAAACGAGCAAATACCGTATCTACTTTTCCTTGATTTTTGCCTTTGTGCGAGTTCTGAGACTAGTTGAAAAATGCCCGTCTGATTGGTCAGACATAACGTTATAGATTTGTAGATTTAATGCTCAGCAAGACTCTGAAATCAAATATAACTCTATAGTTTCTAAATATTTTTGTACAGCGTTTTCTCACACATTTCACTGTTAAAGTGGCACGACGCAAGTTTAACAAATTATTACCATTATTAAATTAATGTTGATTTTTAAAGGTTGGATTCTCAGCATCAGAGCAAATTAATGACATTGATGGGTCAGAAGAATCAACTTTCACAGGAAACTGAAATGTTGGAAAATGTTCTACAAGAAGTTGATCATCAGGTTAAGACAAGTTTCTCAGCTGTTATTTGACTTTTAAAAACTCTGTTTGGTGTTTTTAGTTGAGTTTTAGGCTTAACGAATGTCAATAAATTCTGGCAGAACCTAACAGAAAGTGTGACGCAATAATTTTGAACACATAAATATAGCAGTTTTGGTTCTTGATATGATATTCTTGCAGTCAGTGGCAGGGCTGGCGAACTGGAGTCGGAGCCTGGAGTTATGTGGCTGTGACAGTATTCTATCATAAAACAGAACATTTCTCCATCATCTAAACTTTGGTATGGAATTTTCATTTCTCCTTTATCAAGATACTAAATCTTCATTTCAGATGCAGACGAGCTCCAAGAGTGAACTCATATTAAGATCTTCGGAAATGTTGCAAATGTTTAGTGCGATTCACAAGAAACCAATGGCGTCTTTCGTTACGGCTCCTGTCCCACCCGATTTCAGTAGCGAACTCGTTCCAAATTATGAACTGAGTACTTTCACTTTGATCAAGTTCAGGTATGATAATGTATGTTAAAATGAATTTTATGCATGGTTTAGACATAAATTATAAATAAATTTGTTATTTCGGTATTAAAAAACAAGAGCAGAAATATATATGTATATTTATTGCAAATGAACTTTATTTTATTTGTTTTTTTAGTCAACTGAGGCAAAGAGCAGATCCTGTCTACTCAAATTCTCTAAATATATCTGGGCTTAGCTGGAGATTGAAGATATATCCGGTAAGTGAATGATTTTCGAAGTGATTGCTGTACTTTTTGACTTCTCACAAGGTGATCTGCACAAATGCTGGTCTTTAATAGTTTCCTCAACCATTCAATTCCATACATCTGGAACGATTTACTGGTTAAATATTCGCCTCCTTGGCTGGTAACCAATGTTCCCTCTAATTTTTTGTAGTATGTATGCGCAGAAATTTTGGTGTGTGCGCACTTTTTTGGAAATGACTAATATTTGTGCAAAAACCAATGAAGAAATTTTGGCGTTCTAACCGGGTAATAAGTGGGCCAACAACAAACTTTCTTAACCTGCCGAAATACGTCTGTGCGCATTAAATCTATGCGTGTGCGCAGCCTCTGAAAGCTGTGTACGCGCGCACACCTTAGAGGGAACACTGCTGGTAACCGAGCAGGAGGCATTGGTCATACATATAACGAAGCTTCTTTTATTGAATGTATTCTGTTGCAAAGATAAGTATGAATAATCTCATTAAATAAACTGACAATTTTGATGTTATATTTAGTGGTTTGCAGTTTGCACATCTTACTTCAATCAAATGTACATACATATACCTGTACATTTTCATATACAGCATATTCATATGTTTTTGGCTCTGAAACAAGGCTCTGCTCAGTAACTAATTTGAGAGGGTCAGAATCTTTTTGTTTTGGCTTTGCTTACCCAACTTATTGCACCCTGGCATGTCGACCTGTGGAGTTGATTCGTAAAAATTTCTTGTAATTCTGGGAAGCCTTCTTTTTTAAATCATATATGTGTATTGCTCTTTAGGATGGGAATGGAGTTGTACGAGGCAATTATTTATCTGTGTTTCTTGAACTTTCATCTGGAATTTCGGAGACTTCAAAATACGAATATAGAATTGAAATGGTACATCTTGCATCTGGAGGGGATCCCACGAAAAATATTGTCAGAGAATTTGCAAGTGAATTTGATGTCGGAGAATGCTGGTAAATTGTTTGTGTCAATTTTCATTTTTACAAGTAATAACCTTTTATTTTACTGTTTATCATATACATTTGGGTGCAGTTAGAACTGGGCATTTCGAATACCTCATCAAAATCAGGTTACTTCAGAATCGAATCTTGAATCTTTGAAAGATATAAAAATTCTATGTGACATTTTTATTGTAATGGGTGCTCCAGACACATAAACCACTGAAAACATAGAATTTATCACTCAGGCAGTTCGCTGGAGCGTTCAACACAATCAAAACATGTTTCATTACTAATTTACCAAGAAAAGAGTCATATGCTATGTCAGAATTGCATTCAAAAATTAGCGTCAATAAAAAGATTTGAGGAATCAACATTGACCATTGGCGGACAAAAAAAAACAACAGATGGCAGGCGATTCCAAATTTTTGCCTGAACTGATTCGAATAATTTACTATTCAATTTGATTCAAAAGACCCAGTCTAGTTACAGTAGAGTGAATCAAAATGGTGCCAAGAGTATATAAGTCATATTAATCACATGACATCTCCATATTGACAGAATAAATCAGAGGCTTAAAAGTCTAGAAAGTAAAAGTATTTGTTTATTCCAACTACTCTCTGGTAATTCTGATTCCAAACTTTCATGTATATGGGGCTCTTTAACAGTGCTTCTCAACTAGGTGTACAGAGTAATTCTTGTACTTGATTATTAGTAGTTTTTACCGGTCTAAGTTGGATGGACTGGTTTGGTTGTGCCAGACTTTTCCGTACCGTCTTGAAAAAGTTTTACGAACACTGATCTATAATCATTCTATTGTATTGAAATCCAGGAATTGAACAAGTTAATCGGCTTTCAGTGAAACATGGGACAATACGTGAACAGCAGTAGTTTATAAAACCTCTTTATAACATAATGAAAAATAACAAACCATCATTTTCCCTTTTCTATTTTAGGGGATATAACAGATTTTTTCGTTCTCGACTTGCTGGCACATGAAGGATACTTGGATCCGGTATCTGATTCACTTGTGTTAAAATTCCAGGTAGGCACGGCCAAAGAATTGATTTTTACAAAATTTAAAATTAATTCTATTCAAAAAGGTTTTTCAAAAAATGCAAACAGGTAAACCGTAGTTTTTTCGTTAAATTTGTAATATTTGATATAAATTCATGATTTAGAGTAAAATTGTTGGGCAAGTCGGTAGTGGAAAAAGTGTTATAGTTTAGTGTGTTAGCATTGTTTATCTAAACTTACCGACTCAAATCCCATTCCTACCGACCATCACACCTGGAGTGTAATAAATCAGGTTGGCAATGCCGAATTGGAAATACTCTGGTCCTTCCAAGCTATAGCAGCTCCTGATACAAGGCCTTGCTTAAAAAAAGTGCAAGGCATACAAATACTTTGTATAAAAAAGTATAAATATTTAAAAAATTGAGAATTCTTGAATAACAATTTTGAATATTGAAGTTTTGTTTTAAAGGTTCGAGCGCCTACATTTCATCAGAAAAGTAGAGATTTACAATGGTATACTTCACAACTTGAACAACAAGTGTCTCAATACCAAGATCAGATTAATAATTTGAACGTAAGTTTTATATTTTTTGTTGTACATGTTTTTTCATCGGCTATCTGACGCAATAATATTTTTAAATTGATTGTTTTGAGAAGATTTGGAATTACTGTGTATTATTTGAAAATGTTTCTAGAAAATCGAAAACATATCTATTCTATGTTTTTCTGTGAAGTTTGAAGGCTCAATAATCAAGTTATTTCCAGTTATGACTAGTTAAAACCAGTTCCTACAGTCGTCAATACTTCAACCTTTTTGATTCTTTTCTATAGCAACGACTCGTTAGCAATAATCATGTTATTTCTGGTTATGACTGGTTAAAACTAGTTCTAATAGACACTACTTTCAACCTTTTTGATTTGTTCCTATAGCAACGACTTGTGATTGAAATGTCAAGACCAAACAGAAACAATGCTTCAATGCTGACCTCTCATCAGTCACAGGTAAAAAAAAAATTTAAATGGGGTAAACAGAAAACTTTCATATTTATTGTCCAAAATTTCTACTGTGGTATTTTCTCTAGAACGATCAACCTGGCACAAAAGTCAATGAAAATGCCAATACAAACAGTTTAGATTGTTCACATGAACATGATGTTGCTTCTGTTACAAATCAAGACCAAGACGTCAATAATGAAGATGGAGATTTAAACCATGATGCTTTGGAAAGGTATTCTATGAAATATTAAATTATATCTTGTTGGATCAGAATAATAAACTTGGAAAAACATAGTGAACTTAATACATTGACTTCAATTTTACGAAATATTTAATTTGAAAATTGCTTTACTGAAATCATGCTGATCTGGGTGACTCTTGACATTTCTCTCATCAGTTTTGCTCATTTCCCTATTATGAATAGTTAAAGACTATGTATTTTCTCCGAGAAGGTTTATTACTCCAATTTTTTCTTGTTTTTTCTGATCTACCCCATTGTTTCACCTAAACTTTTGTCACCATGTCATGGATTTTCTGCTGTTCGATTGTAGCGATCTCTGTTTTATTCATGACGATAGTAGTACTTGTCTTTTTCTTTAAAAGTTTCTGTGCCTCTTAGTAGTTTTTATAAATTAAAAACACATTTTTTTTAACTTCGTAGAGACTTGAAATTTCACTTTATGCCCAATTTTGACTAATTTTATATTCCCTTTCAGAAGTCCAATTGTCAACATACCTATACACAACTTAGATGACGAAGGGTAAGCAATAGAAATTTGTTTTGCTTTTCCCTTTTCATTTTCATCCAGTTTCTTTAAATCAATGTCTTCTTTTTCCAGTGTTGAGGCAGCAGGAAACGCTGATATAGAAGAAGTAAACAGTGATAGAGGTAACGAATATACAAACCAAACTTGCATTTCCTCTTTATAAAATAAAATCCTTTTTTTTTGATAACTTTTTGTTTCTAGTTGCTACAGACCTTTCCGAAGGTGAACTTCTTGATAACGATGATGAAACAAGCGATGATTTTACTTCGGCATCAAGTGAAACAACTATTGATCCGTAAGTTGACTTGATTGCCTTGACACATTATTTCAGTAAAAAGGAATTCTTCCTCTGTTTCAACATGTTGTTGCAACAATGTTGGCTTGTATTTTTTATTATATAAAAAAATTGTCAGCGATAAATATTTTCATGCTAGGTTGCCATTGCGGCTAAAGAATCTGCTATTATTGATAACATCCAAGGATTAGGACACTGTATTATAGTTGAAAATTAAAAACTGATATTGTGACTATTGTTCGATGTCTTCGACAGGTCCTGGGTGCCTAAACTAAGTTGGTATCTAGAATTGAAAATCTGGGTTAAAATCTGAATAATAAAAAGCAAGCATAAGTTGACGAATTTTTGGCATTTTGAATTTTTAGAGATCTAGAATCTTGCCTCAATGATGATGAAGATGTTGCAGCTGGAACTTCTTCTGCATCCTTATCAATAAATATTCCTGGATCCAACGTTGTTGTTTCATATGAAGAAAATGATGTGGATGAGGAGACCATGTATGTAACTAGTTATTTAATTTTTGTGAGAGATTGGTTAAATTCAGTCAATTTGGTTATATGTTATACTTTTAAGGTTATGGTGATTGTAGGCCCGAATTTTAAATCGGCGATATTTTTAGGAATTGAAAAAAGCATAATTTTACTAAGCATTGTTCATAGTCTAATAAAGAAGGCTTGACTATGCCAAAGTTTTTTTCAATCAAAATCAGATTTTCTTAGAGCAGGATTCCTGTTTTATTACAGAAAAATCAGTTTTTTCGTGCATTTCATAAGTTATGTCAAATTTTATGTATCGTATTTGGTCGTTTTGTAGCCCGGGCCCATATTTTTTTAACCAAACTCACTAACCGGGCCCTCATTCAAGCACGGGCGCTTGTTATTTTTAAAGTAAAATTATACACAAAAATTACGGTATCGTTGAAGACAAATATTCGACGACATTAATCCTTTTTCCATGTCAATTTATTCATGCCAAACGCACGTTGAAACGACGCACTTGGGCGTCGCGACGCCCAGTTTGAGAACCATGGTGTTACGTAATCAATGCTATCTGCTATGTAATTGGACTCCTAAGGCGTGAGTGTTATCTACCAGCGCTTAAAATTCAACAGCGTTGTGACAAAAGCGCTTCTTATTTCCCATTGTTCTCTACCACTGAAAAATCAGCTTTTACATCGGGCGGGTATTCAAGTACCGGCCCTTATTTATTTTTATGTTCTGTTCACACGAGCGGCTATTCAAACGGGCCCTTAATCAAGATCGGGCGTTAAAACGATCATATACGGTATGTCTTACTGTTGAACGTTTTGTCAAAGCAAAGGACCATTTAATTTTTCTGTCATTTTATTTTTTCTGCTTATTCTTCATTAAACCTTTTTTTAATACTGGGATTTAGTTTAACTACGTCTGTTAATAATGTTTCATTTAGGTCTGGTGACAATGACATTGAAATCTCAGTTTCTCGTAAAGTATCTGAAAGACTGGAGAGAGAACAGGAACTTTCACGTCATGAACATGATGAAAATAGAACAATTCGGTATGATTTATTTCAGTATTCTTCTAACTTTTTTCATGACGACCCACTTGGTTTGAGGTTTTCGTTATAAAATGTTTAAATGTGCTAAAATAAACATCGAGAAAAAAAATCATGACTAGCTGTATCAAGCATTTAGTCTTCTTCACTCAATACTCATTTTTTCTTTGTTTGCAACAATTTTTGCCTTAATTTTTTTAGTTGTTTGTGTTGTATTTTCAGTTCTCCGCGGTCAAGAAATAGTCACGGTCGAGGTAGTGGAATACATTTTGATAAATATCATCGTTATACAATGCCTGTGAGATCTGGGAAAAGTCTTGGATTTCCAATTAAAAGAGCTTCAAAGCATGGTTACCTTGGAAGAATAGGAAAGGTAATATATTTATAATGTTTATTCCAATATAACATAAAAATTACCAAACTTTTTCTTTTGTGAAAGCTACCTCTTCCAAGCCAATTTCTCACTTTTTTTGTCAGTGTAAAAATTTGATGGCAAAATTTTCCAAATATTCATAGGAATTTTCTACAATTGAGGTTAATGTAGGTAATAATACCCTGTTACATATGGCGTGTTGCGTAGCTATATAATTATGATCTCTAATTACTGTTGAAAATTAAAATTCTAATTCTTATAAATACTAAATAGATATTAGAACATTTGATTCTCTGTGGCTTTTCTCGGCTAGTAAAATTTTGTTCAATTTTTTTGTCCTAATTTTGCAGCTTTTTACTACCTGAAAAAATATATTTGACTACAACTATGGAAATCGTATAAAGGACTATTGTCATTAATAGGTTGAATTTGTACCGTAATAAAATTGGTACAAAAACTTTTTTTGCATCGTTTTTATATTTTGTATTTTTACAGAATCAGAAAAAGGGAAGATTTCATTCACCTAAACCGTCGAACCCCAGTTCAAAATTTTCTTCTGTAAACAGCCCCAGTTTTAGTCCCCACCCTCCATCAATTACTCGATCACCTGTACAACGATCACCTAGGAACATATCAAGTAATAATAACTACGCTAAAACTTGGTGAGTACATCTGGATAATGGGTTTCTAAGCATCCATTGTATGGCCCTACTAATTTAAATTGGCTTACTTTTAATTAGTTTTGAAATTTTCTCAAGCGAAAATTTTGGTTGGTTGTTTGGCAAGTATTGTGGTTGTTGGTTTTTACTGGCGTTCAATGTAACCCCATAGTTCTGTATAGTTTTAAACGTTTGGCAATGCACTCACAATACAACTAATTGGGTAGCCCAGGGGTGTGCAACCTTTAATACAGGAGGGCCAGATGCAAATAAACGAGTAAACCGCAGGCTGCACCTTCATCTAACATAGGCTTTCTAGTAGTTGTAGGAACCAAAATTTTGGTTATTGATCTTATGATATTTGTTGTTTGTCTACAAACTAGCTGTTAGGGCATTGTAATGCCATAGGCCAGACCTGCACAACATACGGCCCGCGGCCCGCTAGATACTTCTGTGCGGCCCGCGGCTGATTTGGAGACACGCCACTTCTCGGGTCTAACAATCAGAGCCGACATTGTTATGCAAGTGCGCCGCTACTCTGATCATATTCGAAATCGTGATATTTATGTTTTTCACTAGTTTCAATAAATATCGAACGTTGTGTGAAATTGGTGTGCCCTTCGCGACCCCTAAAATTCGTCGCTCGACCCCTCGCCCCCCAGTTTGGTGAACCCTGATTTAGATATCTCAGTATTCAGACTGAATCACGCTTAAAACAATATCGGTATACAATCTCACACCTATTAGTGCATATTAGCAACCTATTAATAACCCCATTATTTCTTAATAGCAGTTTATGAAACTGAGTTTATTTTTTGATTCAAATTTAGAACTTAAAACAATTCCTTTATCTATGAATGGTGCAGAAATTCTCGCACGGAAGATTTTGCTATTTACTGTAAAATTTCAAATAAATTGGAGCAAATTTTGTAGAAAAATGTAATTTAACAGTCAAAATAGTACAACAGAGGAAGATCTATTGCTACTAAACGGATTGTTTGTCCATCCTACAATGGAAATATCCAATAATGGTAGATATGACTAAATAAATTGTCATACAAATATTTGGGACGATTTTACAAAACTGAACCTGAGTAAAATATTTTCCTGCAGTCAGTTTATACTGCAAAACGCAATACCTAATTCTAATGAAAAAAAAATATCAAAAATGAAGGGTGGGTTTTCAAGGTAGATGAACCACTAAATACATATTTGCCATCTTATATGCAAAAATACTGTACCTTGGTTTTACTCAAGAAAATAAGATTTTTCAAATTTTTAAGCTCCCCAGTAATGAAAGTGTTCCATTAAAGTTAACTGTTTCACAATATTATTTTGATTTGTAGTTCATCTTGTGAAATATGTATGTTGCAAAGTTTGCGGCCCGCCGGGCCTTCAGATCCATGCTTGCGGCCCCCGTGGTAATTTGAGTTGTGCAGACCTGCCGTAGGCATAGATAATAAATTGAACTCTGGTATATGCTTTGCAACGCAAATTAAATTAGAAACTCGTTTCGTAGGCCACACACCATTCAAAATTGGCACTTCTCTGCGGGTGGCAGGTTGCACACCCCGTGAGAGCCAATGTCGAATTGGAGCGATTCCACTTCTTTGAAAAATGATAGAACCTTATGTATCTGTGACTTTTTGACAGAGCCCGACTTAAGAGAGACAAAATAGTACATTCCAGGAATAAAAATTTTAAACTCTAAAATTCTATTCAATTTCTGACTTTTTCAAAAATTCTTCATTTCCTTTCAGCCCGCTTGTATTGTCTGGTCTTGATGGTCCGGATTTCTCGTCTCCATTTCTACCTGACGTTGTTAGCGAAAATATGAATTCTGGCTTCTTGGGTGCCACTGGTGGTGGTTTTTCATCAACCAATCGAAATGATGAACATGTCAGCGCATTGCTTCACTTCTTGAGTATTGAACAAGAAAATGGTTTGGTAAGAGTTTTTATTTCTTGAAAAGAACAACTTACTTGGGATATTGAATTCGTACCACCTTGATTAAATAGAATAATGGTAAAAGTTGTCATTTGACTTAAAAATGCTTTTTTTTAGACTTGTTTCGAACCTAAATTAGAAAAAATTAACTTTTGTTATTTTTTTAATTATATTTTCCAGCAATCAGGAGAAAGCACAATAGGATCCTCAACATCCTCATCTGGAATCTCACTCCCTTTCTCTCTCCAGGAGAAAGAAACCTCCTCATCTTCCTCCTCTTCTCTCGTACAATCAGAAATTTTATCTCCAAGAAACATTGATTCTGAAATTTCTGGCAAATCTTTTCCGAATAAAAAGTCTATATTTCCCTCAGCAAGGTTCGGTCACACTGAGGATAGAGACATAGCCTCGACTTCTAAAGATACAAAATCAGGTTTTTTTCCAAATTCTTATTTTTTTTCAACATTTTTTTTTCTAAAATATTTTTTATTTTTATTTTATTTTTTCAAAATATTTTATATAGTCTTAGCGGTTAGCATATCATGCTAAGCATTAGGACCACCATCTTCCTCGAACCTCTGTCTGTGTTTGCAGGTTTGAATCCCACAGGTGTCAATTATGTGCAAGAAAATTGCTGGATTTTTCAGCGTTGTATGCTTGTTTCACATAACCACTGGTATGTTACCACTTCCACACCATCAAGTCCACGGCATCTAAAACAAATAATTGATCAACTCTGCCCATACCCGACGTGGACTCATTATTAAACATCGTATGCTCAAATTTAGAATGCATTCAATATTATATACTTCAATATTATTTTCGAATGCATCTGCGATATTAAATTGTCCAACTTTGGCCAAAACTTGTTGCTTCAGGCAGTAAACTTGATTTCAATATACGGCACCTAATTCCTAACGTAAACCCATTTAACAAAACATGATTCTCTCGGCAAGCTACTTGTTGCAATCAGCTGCCACAGTTTTGACTATTTTCAACCCCTACTATGATACAACTTCTATTTTTCAACATTTTTTAGAAAACACAATTAAAAAATCTGTAGAAGAATGGGCAAATTGGTCACCAAAAAGTTCAGTTTTTAAAGATTTGAAGGTATTCTTTATTTTCTGCCGAATTTTTCAAGTTGTAAGACACTTTTTTCAACCCTTTTTATTGTTTTTATGTTTGTATTTCATATTTTTTTCAGTACCAATTGAAGGAATTGGCAAATACAATGGCTCAGGCAAACAGTCACATTCATTCTTCATCTGCGGATGATACTAACACCAGTGAGTTTGTATTACTATTAGAGATGGAAATTTTAATAAATATTAAACGGAAATAAGCTTGTGAATATTTTATTCGAAACAATCAGACTATCAAGAACTTTTCTCTGTTCTGAATTCCTAGCCAATTTAGTTGTTCATGTCATGTTGTGTGTTAATCACTTTTCGTTGGCTTTTTTTGGAAAAGGACCTTCCCCAATATTCTCGCATATAGCCAAAACGGTGAATTTATAAAAATTCTCATTTAAGTCGATCACAGACTGTTATTGCTGTCATAGTGTACCAAGCGCTGGTTTGCGTGTTAGTACACGCTCATATCGTGAGAACTTGGCATCGTTCGAGTTATAGCTGTTGAAATTAAGTTTGCATAATGTCATTTTGTTTCAGTGCGTCAGTCAGTCAGTTATTCACGTATAAGCTAACCCTTTAGTACGATCAGAGTTATGCGCCTATAAGCTGAATTTTCTGTGCGATCGGAGTTAAGCGCGTATTTGCCGACCCCTTAGTTTCGACAACGTTGTTTTTGAGTTGTAACCTCAAGCTTATATGCGAGGATATACGTTACAAATCCTGTATTTATATGGCCTTCAATCCAACATATAGGCGGCCCTTTTTCGATCAGTTTTTTTTCCACCTTTATATTGGAGTCTCTTAGAATCTTCAATAACAATATAAATACTTTAAAAATATTTTTCTAACCTCCTGCCCACTCAAAAATAAGTTCACAACTAGCTGTTTCAAAGATGTTTAATTCTAGATGGTTAAATTTCTTGTGGCAAAACATTATCAGAAGCCATATTATTATTGTAAATATTCATTTGAGATGGATATAGTTGTCAATTGGGATAAATTAGGCCATTGGCCAGTCTTATCTAGCTTGAAATTATAAAGGGTCATCTGTGGCTCATGCTTGATAAAGATGAATTTTTTATTTGAATATTTTGTTTAATAAAATATGGTGAGAAACAACCTTTTATCTTTCAGCACAATCTACTGATAACTGTCCATCATCATCAAGAAACTCTGATATTGCTACTGGAGACACAAATGTGCGTTTGTAAATTTTTATGCTGTGTTGTACACTTTTGCTTTGAACAAAAATGCGTATAGTCATTCCAAAACCAGAATGACACAGGGTTGAGATATATTTTAAACCAGTGGTTCTCAACCTGCGGTCTCCGGCGCCGGTCACCGTCGACCTTCCTGCCGGTCTGTCAAATATATTCCAATATTATAACTCAATTGCAAAATCCAAGGTATTGATGGCCTGCCCATTATTTGAGTTTTAACTCCTATTGATGCACGAGCCAAACTTGGTCAGAGGTCCTACGCTTATTTAAGCCCTGAATGGCTGGATGTTTTGTTAGAACCGTGTTTCACATGTAGGTTATCAAAAAGACAGCGGAAAATTTCCCATTGAATTGAATTGTCTGCATTTGAAATGCATACTTTTGCCGTAATTACAATTGTTCAATTATGATTCATGTTTTTCGGATTTTCGGTTAATTTTGAATATCACCAGTCTGCAAAATTAGTTTCAATGATTTCACTGATCCGCAAAATAAAAAAGGTTGAGAACCACTGTTTTAAATTTAAAATGCCTAATCAAATATCTGATTTTCACTATTTCAGGACTTGGTATCAACAAGCCAGGATACTCAAACTTCAAATTCTGATGAACCAAATCCAGGTAATTTTGACATGTAGTTTCTGAGTTGAGCCAAATTGGTAAACTTTTTCATGAAGTATTTTTCCATTTTATACTTGCTTGTCCTACCAGTCTTAGCTTCTTAGTACTGTTGTGTCACATTTTCTTTGTTTTGTTTTGAATAATGGCCACCTCTCATTGAAAATATTTATTAAAAATCATAACAATGTCGTTACACACAGATTTTCAAACAACTTCAACGTCTTTGTCAGAGCCTAATACAAACTCTATTGGCAACAATGGTGGGGCTCGTCGTAAAACCATTCGCCCCCGACCAGCAGAATCAAATCAACACAGTGTGGAAATGCCAAGTTTAAGTGCTGGGAATAGTCCATACACTCTTGCCGGTGGGTTCTTGAGAGAGAGGAAATGCCGGTCTCATGAAGGTAAGGTCTCCCAAATTTTACAGATGCTGAACATATGTTTTCTTCATTTTTTTTTATATTGTCTTAGTTTGATGGTCTGTGGAATTTGTTAACCATAAGTTTGAATTCTGTTAAGGACCTGGAATTCCTGAACCTGCTGGTCCTGGAATGCTTGTCTGCTGGTGTAGTATTCTTCAAATTTTTTTTATCATGACCCAGTTGGCAAGGCCAGCTTATTTTGTTTCCTCCAGGAACTAAAATAAATGAGGTAAAATTTAATAACACAGGAAACAATAAAAAAAAATGATAAATTTGATGATACATTTAATGAGGCTGATATGCTTGCATATTCTTAGACAAAATATTAAATCTTGGCTTGGTGGGTCTCAGTACTCTTTCCAAATCTTTCAAATTTGATCGATATTTTGTTTTAACATAAGTTAGTATTGAAAAAGATTTTACCGCAACCCCCATTGAGCTCCTAAGTGACCCACCGGGGGGAGTCAGGATCCCCAGTTTGTAGAGCCCTGTCCTAGTGGTTGAATGGTAGTTCTCAAAATTGAGCCTATCGAATCGGAGTTGGTATTATTATATTCATAGTAGGCCAAAGTTATCATTCCAAAGTCTTTTGAAATTGTGAATTCTTCCATGTTGGAAGTCAGAATGTCAATGGTAATAATTGTAATCAAAGACACTCAAAGTGTACAATACATACACAAAACCTCTATATCAAACTGAGTCGTTTATTTTTCAAATGGGTTTGGAATTGGTTTCAGCTGCTTAAGTCAGAGACTGTGATATTCTTAACGAGTTTTCACTTCTTATCAGCATTCCCCTTTTCCTAGATAAATCGTTATCAATGTTTATGATTAGATTATCGATGACATAATATTTGCATAAAATTTGCAACAAAAATATTTTGAAATGTGATTCTAGGTTCTCCAAGTATGAACAGAAAGCATTATCATCATTATTCTAAATCTGCATCAAATCCGAGAAAACCGATCATAACTGCTGCTCAACTTGAATCCGTTCTTTCGTCAATGTCTGCGCTAACGTAAGCAATATTTTATCTTGTGTTTCTTGGGTCAAAGGTTAAGCTTGTGTTATAATACTTTAGTATAGACAGCCTGGCGGTGTGCACATCGCGCTAAGCGTTAGGAATGCGTTCGCTACCACACCTCTGATTTCGCTGCATGGGTTCGCAGGTTCGAATACCGTGGGGAATAATTATGTGCTAAAGGATTGCTGGACTCCTCGCCTCGTAGGGTGGTTCACGTAACCGCAGTTACGGCTTCCTTCATCATCAAGTCCATGCATCTGGAACAAATAACTGGCTAACTAATCCTTCACCTGACATAGACTGGTAGTGGCGTTGTTTGTCATATGATTAAGTTGTCTTAATCTGTGTTTCCCCAAATTATCGAAACCTGTTTTTTTTTCCAGTGGCATATCTTCAAGAAAGAAGGGAGACATAAAACCAGGAAAAAGAATGTCAGGTTGGTACTTTTTCAATATCATATTAAAACGACTCTGCTTTAGGGTTGAAGTTCAATTTGAGCCATTTTGGGGTTTTACCTAACATTTTTGGTTGGGTATTGAGTTCATTTCAATTGTTTCAGTGGTGTTAATATGTCCTGTTCATAATCCCCTTTTTTTCTTGGTGTATAATTATGGTTTAGTCCCATTAGAGTCTAAAAGCAAGCAATTGAGATGGGTCACAGCACTGTTCCAGTCATTGCACAGGTCATGACAATTATTAAAATGATCTATTAAACCTTTTCTTTTTAAAATTTTTCAAAATTTAATTTTTGATCGAAGTTTAGTCGGCACTCCAGAAGTATGTGTACCAGTATGAAGGTAACTAATTTTGTTCGCCTATTTTACATCAAGTTGTGGAAAGGGACTGAAACCTATGGGCAGGGGGTATATTCGGCGGTGTGGCTCAACGGGCTAAGCGTTAGGAATACGCTCGCCACCGCACCTCTAATTACTCTGCGTGGGTTCGCAGGTTCGAATCCCATGCAGGGATGGTTATGTGCGAGAGGATTGCTGGACTCCTCGCCGTCGTTGGGTGGTTCACGTAACCGCTGGTCGGTTACGGCTTCCTCCACCACCAAGTCCATGCTTCCGAAAACAAACAATATAACTAATCCCATACCCGACTTGGAATGGTAACCGGACGAGAGGCCGTGGTTCGCCATATGGATAAGCCGTCTTATCGGCTTTCCTCTCCCCCGGGATAAATATGTAAATCCTATCCTATCCACTTGGATAACACAGACAGTCCCCGAACTTTTAATAGAAATGAAATAAGGAAAATCTGAATAAAATTATGGCCAAACCCTAACTTGGTATACACACTATGGGAGTACCCTTGACTGAAGTTTGAAGTGTTTCATCCCTGAATCTTACTTTGCTTTGTTTATTTTTAGAATCAATGTCCTTCAATGATGATCCTTTTACGAGACTTACCAGCAATAATGCTCAAACAAATCGCATATCCTTGTCCAACATGAAAAATTCCACGAAGAAAAAATCTATTTCAAATGAAATACTCGAAGAACATCCACTCTTGAATGACTCAACTGTAGCAGGAGGAATTGAGGAATTTCCTCTCTGTGATTTAGCAAATGTTGGAATGAGAAATGATAAAAAAGAATCTCCCGAAACATCAAGGTAAAAAACGTCTTCGTACATTTTGAAATTATACTTTTGATATTCTAAATTTTACAAAACATTGGTAATTTAAACCGGTTTTATTCAACATGCTGAATGTTCACTGGTATTAGGGTAACAGCTGAGGAATAAGTCCTATTAACCTCATGACCATGGCTTCTTTTTTAGATGTGCAACATCATCTATTCTTTGGCCTATGTTTTTTAATTACCATCACAGACTATATATGGTGGGCAACGACCACCTTATTTTTGAAGTGTTAAATTAATATTTGTGTTAGGCTTATATAATACTTTGTAACCTAATTTTTATCAAAAGCAAATCTCCAACAACATTGCCAATTATGAAGACCGAAATTAAAACTGGATTTTCACAGCAGCCTGAAGGTTTGTCATACTTCAATATTTTCCGTTTTAATTGAGCTAATCAATAACTGCACACACATTCATGGGGTATATTTAAAATTAATTGATCATTATAATCAGTAATGAAGTAAACTGATACTGAACCATAATTTATCATGTTTGATGATGAAACGGTACTAGTTTTGTTTGTTTCATGGTTTATTGCATTGACGTTCGGCATGGTGCAATAATATCAGAGATGATTTATTTGTTTGCGAATACAATTTGAAAAAAAAACAATCGCATTGTAGTGAGAGATAATGACAATGCCAAAACTGTATTCGACTAGCGTTCAATTAAAATTATGACTGGTATGTTTAATTGAAATGCAAAACCCGTGACAGAAAGCACATTTGCACTCGTAAACTGCACCCAGGACATTTGCACCTGCATACTTTTGCACCCATAGATTTTAGCACCTGCATGTAGATTGCCCCCACGGACATTTGCACCCACAAACTTTTGCCAGGACATTTTCACCTGCATACTTTTGCACCCATAGATTTTAGCACCTGCATGTAGATTACCCCCGCGGACATTTGCACCCACAAACTTTTGCACCCATAGACATTTGAACCCACGTGCAGTTTCACCCCTGTACATTTTCACCCAGGACACTTTCACCAAGGACATTTTTACCCTCGGACATTCACACCCATGACCATTCGCACCCGCGGTTAGTTGCACCCATGTCCATTAGTAGAAATGTACATGGGTGCGATTGTACGTGAGTGCAAAGATAATGGAATCGCAGCCCCTAATTGAGCAAAGAGAAAATAGTATTTCATAACTTAATTTGATAAAAACTAAAAGAAAAAAGATCAAATTTTTCAAAAACATTGTATTTTGTTATGCTATTAGTGGAAGCATATTAGGAGCCTTTTTCCGAGTAAACAATGTATTCTATATTATATATATATTCAAGTTATAACTTCCTTTTACAGTTGACATTGGTGAGTCTTCGAATTTCCTCGATGGCATAAAACCATATAGCAGTATCAAATACTCTCCAACAAAAAAATCAAGTGGATTTTCTTTTCCTTCTTCCACTGTTAATAACACTCAACTGCTGATGTCTTCAGACAATGAAGATGAAGACAACAATACAATAAATATAGAATCTCCAGCTCACGAAAACGAACGCCCAGATAATGGAGATAGAAGCAATGAATGATATTATTGCTTGATCTTCGTGAAATATTCTACCGAATTATAACAATAACGAAAACAATTTGTCATTTTTATATAGAACAACATGGAGTATACACATACATTTTATAAGAGACCACGAAATTACTATAATTATTGCATTATATACATATTATATAATAGCTTATACTAAAAAAAGGATGTTAAATAGATAATAATCCTTTTTACACAACCATCTCAGTAGACGCAGCAGCCATTCCTTACATCACATTCGACTATTTTTGAAACGTTCAAGTGTCTTTTATTCGATTAGAATTTGTCATCAAAATATATTACGGTACATATTACCATTTATTCAAAATTTGAAAAAAGAAATTTTGCATATGTGCCATTAGATGTCAACATTCTTAGACAATTGCTATTTTTATTATTTATTTTTGCCATATAATTTTATTTTTCCTATTTTTGTATTTTCCCTATAAGCAACATTAGTTTGTTTCATTTATTGATTACCACCTGTCCAGCACAGCACTGTAATGATGCTTTAAAAATCGCATTGTTAAAATTTATAAAATTGTGTATACTGTATCTGGTTATTGTCTCTTAACAATCTGATACTGTGAATGGCTTAACAACTGTGGATTTTGTTTGGTGCTGCTACAATTAAAAATTTTATTATTTGTGCAGACTTATATGTAGCGATGTTTTGGGTGATACCTAGTAGGCTAGTTAAATACTTGTGGTTGATTTAGCTGGTATACCAGAGTTTAAAAGAAAGTTGTCGTTACAAACTTGTCACCGGTTTCAAACTGGCGTGAAATAATTCCGGTATTCAACTGGTCAGGAGGGTGTGGGCCAGGTATTCAACTGGTCAGGAGGGTGTGGGTCACCACCAGAAATTGGAGACTCTCGAAGTATGTGAACCAAGATGGCGGACACCGGGTACCAGGCTAGGCCGTAATTTCAGGTACAAATACTACGGGAGTCACTTGGCTAGTCCCCGAACTCGTAATAGGACTAAAATATGGAAAATTTGAACAAAATTATGGCCTAACCCGAACGTGGTACACATACTACGTTCCGGTGACAGCCATCTTGGTTCACATACTTCGGGAGAACCGAAAATTGAGTACAAAGCGTTCACAACTTTGCTTATCGCATTTTCCGCCTGCCCAACTAAGAGCAATCGTGATAGTCATGTATGCGCTTTACGGCTTAAATATGTGCACTTTGTGTGACGCGAAACACATAATAGCGTGTTGTGTGAATATATTATACCGCTTTGAACGGAAATCCTGCGTCTATCGCTAATTATATCGTAATCGGAAAGGCAGTTGTTAAGAGGAATGCGTAATGTGTTCGATAGTATATATTTACGGTTCGATCGCCCGGTGACGAGACGAAAGTGTTTTGAAAACGTCAATTTGTGCGAGGGTTGCTGCATTTTGACTGAAAAAAAAAATACGTTATATACTAGCGGTATAATTGCTTGACTACCAATGTTTTCAATTTTTTTTTAAAAGAAATAATACCATATTGTACCGATATGTGTTATCTCAGTGTAAAGTGAAGCCATATTTCTTACAGAATTGTTGAATTTTTGGTGTCGCTAGGGTGTATGGACCTTTCCCCGAGCATCGACTTCCTTGTTTACTTTGTGACATTGGCCAATCAGCAAGATGCAAAAAGTGACGTAACAATGCCCCCTTTTCGCATTCGCTCAGACACTTTTCTCACTCAGACAGATTTTCAAGCGCGGTTGTAAACATTACCTCGTTTTCGCGTTTTTGAACTCTATTCGTCAGTTTTCAGTTGTGTTTCGGAAACTTAAATATAAATCAGATAATTCAATGATCACTCTGTCTTCCTAGGAGTTTTAATTAAATTGCAGTAATAAAAATTAGTTTGGAAATAGCTGTGATAGACTAGCCTGAAATTCTTTACCGGTACTTTTAAAAAACAAATCGTTGTATGCGATGAATCATAATGATGGTTTAAAACACCTACTCCATTTTACAAGCGCCAACTCGCAAAAGCACTCCTAAAATAGCCTCGGAAATTTTGCAATGGTAAAGTATAGGAAGAATTTTTCGGGGGTTAAAGGTCGGGGAAAGGTCCATTCAGGAAATTTCCTTGGCAGCTGAGGTGTCTTTGTTCATTTTGCAGTTTCGCGGGTTCGCGTATGAAGTCTCAAATTCCCAGGCTCTAACGACTGAAGGATTGTGTTCATTATATACGATAGTTATTGAGCCATGGCGTCAGCATAGGTGTTTTATGCATACCGTGAGTTATTTATCTATCCAGATTTTCTTTCTAACGTTATAACTGTATACCGGTAAGTTACGGTAGCAAAGATTGAGAATCTACGGTATCACTTATCGTACTGACTTAGGTACCGTAACTTGCGTGTTTCTAATACCAGATTACTAAAATAAATCATTGCCATATTTTAATACTGATATGCTATATGCAGATATGCTCATTCACACCCTGGTGTTACTGTGGTAGTTGATTTCATTCACTGTCTGACTGTACAAAACTTCAATTTCTAGTTATTCTTTAACTTGACTTAGGATATTAACAATGTGTGTGTTCTGGTCATACAGTTATACCGAAAATTGTTTTGCAAAGCTGGTATGTAATTTCTCATTTGCCTGTCATGACGTTACCGGTAGATTTAATTAAGATTGAGGCTATACCGGTACCAGTATACAGGTATACTCAGTATCCCTATCATAGCCAGGGCCAAGTCGATTAGCTTGCGATTTCACAATTTACGGTATTGTGTTTGAATTTCCCCAATTATGCTGTTAGGAATACGCTCGCCACCGCACCTCTAATTACTCTGCGTGGGTTCGCAGGTTCGAATCCCATGCAGGGATGGTTATGTGCGAGAGGAGGTTATGTGCTGGACTCCTCGCTGTCGTTGGGTGGTTCACGTAACCGCTGGTCGGTTACGGCAGTGCGGCTTCCTCCACCACCAAGTCCATGCTTCCGAAAAACAAACAATATAACTAATCCCATACCTGACTTGGAATGGTAACCGGACGAGAGGCCGTGGTTCGCCATATGGATAAGCCGTCTTATCGGCTTTCCTTTCCCCTGGGATAAATATGTAAATCCTATCCTATACTATAATATGTTTTTCATTAGTTTTCTTATCAGTATGTAGTCTAATAATCTTAATATGATTTTAATATTACCAGTAATCAGTTATTTCACTATTTGTAATTACGTAATAGGCATTCTATATTGTGTGAACACTGTGTAATATTCATTAGCTAAATTTATTGATTATTTTATTTTGAATGCAACAAATTACTGGGATTAAGGTTATTAAATTTTCCGTGGAGTGTTGCAACAGATCAATTTCAGAGAGAATGTTATTAGTTATTACTGGTACTAATTGATTTGTTGTAGATTATGTCATACAAATTATGATATGAACACTGAACAGTATCCTGTGCCTTGAAAATGACTTACCTAGATGGGCAGGTTTTAAGGTATTAGAATACTAAAATATAACTTCGTATTATGATAGGACTGGTATGCTGTAAACATATATCATACCTAGTTAGCATTTGTGAAACATTTCTGAACGATTATCCTATATATATATATATACATGTACATTTTTGTTTCAATCCAGTATATTAGTGTGCATGCATCCTATCTCCACCACTGTTAATGTTGTCAACTTGTCTTTATATCTTATCATTTCGAGAATAATGAAGAAACCTAAAAATATACAAGCAAGTCCTCATCTTCCCTTGAAAAGTGTTAGATTTTTCATGCATAACCTATTTATATAACACCCATTTGTGCTGTCCGTTCTTTTACTTTTTTTTTCGGTTCTATACAAAATATCTGCAAGGCATTGTTTTTCCCACTTGTGAAACAACTATCCTCACTTGAACAAAAAAAACAGGTTTATGACCAAATTTGTCCACATGGTACGACTTCTTTATTCATGATGGGTATTCCCATTGACTGTGGTCTATTTACTTGATTTTTTATAGTGTTTGCACATCTGAGACACCTATTTGTCTGTTCAGCACATTGCTTGTCTTTACGAGAAGTGCGACGACTATAAATTTATCTGTCAACAAGTACTCCATGATTGCGTAACAATAGTTTTGAACATATAAAATTCCGCAATACTATTTGAAAATCTTTCATGTCAGACCAAGTATGAGCCATGGATACCTCTTTGTAATTCGATATATATTTGAATCGAATCGAGCCTAATCCTATGATAACGTATTTATTCTTCCACAGTAAATGTATGATCTAGTTTTGAAATAAAAATTGAGTCATGTATCGTATATGATTTCGGTTTCGTAGTCATATTAAGCGTCAGTTTAGACTTTAGACTGATGTGAGTATTTTTATTTTCATCATAGGTCATAAGATTATTGCATAAGTGTTGTCTTATCTTCAAATGTTCTTATCTGTGCCGTTATCTTGTTTTTGTCTTTCTGTAGGCATTTATGTTGTCTTATCTTTACATGTTCTTATTGCGCTGTAATCTTGTTTTTGTCTCTATGGAGGTATTTTTTAATTCTTGCTTTATGGGTTAAAATCGTGTTTTCGATTTTCTAACAACATCATTTTAGCAAATTGCATTTCTGCTTGTGGTTAGATCATTTTAAAATAAATAAATATCAATCATCTTATTTTGCAATTTGACCATATTATTATGTATCTCACTTGGAAGTGCTATGTTAAATAATTCATATATTTGCAGTGCATTTCAATAAAGCAGTAATCTAAATCTGGAATCATTTATGGTAGCACTATCAATGTAACAAAGTAATATAGTATCTTTAATTCACAATGAATTATTTCCACATCTAAATTTGTCTTTCAAAACAGGGCAAGGGTTAAAAATAGGCGATATCTGTTAAGAATAAAAAATTGAATAGTAGACCTAATGCTATAATACTAGCTTGAGGTAGATCTCATGTTCTGGAAGGGCCTTCCCAGAAGTGTGTGTACTAATATAGAGGTAACTAATTTTGTTTTCATACTTTACATCAAGTTTTGTGAAGGGACTGATTACTATGGGCAGGGTATATTCACTTGTCTAACACAGACAGTCCTCGAACTCATAATAGAACTAAAATAAGGAAAATAGGAATAAAATTATGGCCTAACCCTAACCTGGTACACACACTACGGGAGTGCCTATAGAAGCACTGGAAATTCCTAGTAAATTTTACCCATAGTATCATTTTATATCACTTGTTAACTTATAAGCATTAGTTGATTTCAGTTTATCAAATAAAATCGAGTAATATGAGTTTGTTATGAAAGAATCCATCAATGTTGCTTATGAGAGTTACATCATCTCAAGTCTGCATTCTAACATGCCAATCACAATTCCCAAGGGAGGTATCATACAGTCCTTTCATGTATCGGCGTATTACGCACTTGTGAGGTGATTGCCGGCTCTTCGTTTTATCATTTTATTGGTGTTTAAATCCGTGTGACAAATCCGTTCACATGTTCGATTGCGTGATTGTGTAATCTAGCATGCAGTGTGAATGTGTAATGTACAACGCATGCAAAATGCATGGATTCGGAATTCAGATGTTGGTTATAGTTTGTAATGTAATGTGTTGTAATGCTGGCATGGTTTCTTAGAAAATATATTTGAAATAAATCACTTTCGAATAATATGTGCATGGCTTTAAGTTTAACTATCATGCCATCGCAAGTGAAAAACTTGGGTTAAAATCCTGTGCCCACCTCATCCAGGGTGTAATAAATGGACAATGGCGAACCATTGAGCTTTTAGCCTTCCAAACTATTGTAGCTTCTTATATGGTAAGGCTGCTTGTGCAAAGACATGTACCTAGTGAAAGACTGTATGTGCTTGAAAGTAATACTGCGAAAAAGTGTAGCTATCTTTAGTCTTGCAACCTTTTTCAAAGAGTTAAAATTAGATATGCTATGCTAAAAACTAAAACATTCATTGCCTTCCAAACACCCCAACCTAAACTTTTGAGAAACCTCTTATGGAAAGCCCTTCTCGGGATGAGAAATCTCATACACTGTATTGCAATAAGTTTATTTTTTTTTTTTGTGTAATTTGACAAAGTGAAAGTGGCATTTAGTAGAATAATAAATGTATCGCTTTTGACTATTACGCTTTGTTTAAACATGAGTTTATTGCACTGTTTTGTTGGCATTAAGTCTGCATTGTTATATAACATATTTGCCAACTTTCAAAAATTGTCTGTGTAAAGGGCATCATCAATAGGTTGATGGGTTGACATTGAAAAAGAGGAAAAGTTCAACTTTATTTGTCTCGAATGATAACATGCTTTACATAACTTTAGTTGTGTACCCAGACAGTAAAATTAATTATCAGCAGGAGTCACTTTTAGGGCGCTCCAGAAGTGTGTGTACCAATATGGAGGTAACTAATTTTGTTTGCGTACCTCATGGCCACATGAGTACTACTTTTAGTACTCTGATCTTTTTTAATGCAAGGTTTTATAGGCTTTTCGCACTGAATAAAGCTCTGTAAAGCAGCCGCTGCTAGGCAAAGAGTTATCGTATTTTGAAAATAATTTTTGGAATTTTTTTGTCGGTTTTACAACAACTTAATTTATCATACTCTGGGAAAGGTCATATCTGGGGCATGAGGTTTGAACCAAAGTTTTTCAACCCCTAATACCAACATGGTAAAGTTCAGTTGTTTACTTGACATTGAAACTATTTAATGAGAATGGGAAATGAGTTGGTAAGGAAATCGCAAATAGGCTGAAAAATTTATTAATTTTCCGTAATAATAATGAAAATTGCAAGAAAGGCAATTTGCATTTTATTAGCTGCAATTGCTACCATGGAAACATGGTTTGCATCGTTTATAGTTTTTGATTATAATTATGTGTTCAATAAAAATTAATTTTACTGGTTTTTTAAAATTTAATAAAATATTTGAACTAGACTTGTTTTTGAAAGTTGAAACAAGTTGCGAAGTCATCCACGGTTACTGTGGTTTTAATGAACCTCACTCGTGACGACTCGTGCTATATATATTTCAGCAGCTTTTCCTCTTTTGCAGTTTGTCTGCTTGTTTTGCTGCAGGCGTCTAGTTGTTTTTTATCTCAATGAGCCAGTTTTTTATTTTGTATAATATTTAAAAGAAATACGATTGAGGATGTTCGGAAAAAACGAATATTCTAGTTTTTCTGTTTTAACTTGCTCTTAGATATTTCGATAACTTTAAAATTAAATAAAAACATTACTTTCGAAACATTCTAAAAACAAATTATTTTCAATGTTCTATTTTTGTCATAAAAACTGTAATTCAGGGTAACATTAAAATTTCATTAGTATTTACTTGAGTTGATTTGAAAATCCATGTTTAAAAATCAGGTCAAGTACCAGTAGTTGTAAACAAAATTTTTTATTTAATTCGCTGAAAAGGTTATTTTACCGTTGATTATTTTATTTATTTAGTTGCTTAGAAGGATTCAAATCATTTTCATTTATGTCATATATCATTCTATTTAAAATCTATGAGTGAATTTTAAAAATTATTCTGTACTTACAAGATAGGCATTGTTATTGATTACCAGTTATAATTCTGTTTATTTATTTTGCGTCAATTTTTGACAATAAATTTTTTGCTAAAAAGAAGCCCTTTCCCCTATGGAGGTATTTTGACCAAAATAACTTGCATGCTTTACTAAGCCTATACGGAAACTTTTAAGACTTAGCACATATTTATAAACAGTGTTTGCAGAATATTTGCAACTTGTTAACGTGCCAGAGTGCTCAACGAGGCACGTAATTTGATTCTAAAGTGAAACCGCCAATGAGGAAAAAGGGGTGGTGTGGCTTTGCTAATAAAGTATATAAGTTATTATCATACTAACGTTTGTATAGTAAATTGTGGCTTTCAGTTCCAAGGAATATTACCTACTTTAAACAAAAATAGAAATAATTACAGGAAATTCTTAGTATTAATTTTTAATTTTACAATATGTTGCTCATAAATTTCAGTAATTTATCACTCAATTGAACCTAATGATGAGATCTAATAACGAGCGTAAATTAGTTTTAATTAACATTGTAAAATTTGAGTTCTTTGCAACAATCAGGTAATAAAGTCACCCAATCTCATAAAAATTAGTGCTCTTTGTTAGTGTTAATTTTATAATGCTTTATGGTTTGAATCTTGTCATTTATGGCCATGTGTGACCCATACATGAAATAACTGAGCCTTTTTTTTCCAATTCAAGGGCAACAGTTGATGGTGCAAATATGATATTCTAATTTATAGCCTAACTACTAAATCTTCATTAATTGAAACATGGATATATATGTACAAATTGCAACAAAAAAGAAGCAATTAGATATTTTTAAATCATTGCTAAATTGTTGCGTGGGCTATTATATTTTAAATGCTGTACATCGACATATTCTAATGTAGCTTATGTCTCCAAAAAATTATGAATTATATTTTAGCAATCAAGGATGTAGTTGAATTATTCTGTATAATTTTACAACTTTCACTGAATGAAGCTCTGTTCAAGCAGCACTGAAAGGTACGTAAGGCAAGCCTACAGTCTGGCATTGCTCACCCAATTTATTCTACCCTTGGTGAGGTGGTAGGCAATTTTTTAACCTACCGGTAATATTTTAACTGCTGTACCATGGTGCCCATTCACAGTTATTATGTAATGTCATTTATTTCCTAATCTTTTTATTGCAATTTTTTTTTTCTTTCCAATATTAGGGGACAATTGGTACTAGGTAATTTATTATGATGCTTACTAAACATTTTCGGAGTTTTATTTTTAGAGTGATAAAAAGTAAGAACTGTCATATTGGATTCCAAATTCATGAAATATTACGTTTTGCACTGAATTCTCAATCTACTGGTTTACTTATTTTTTATATCAAACATCAATCACATTGCTGTTCCAGGTTGGAAACCTATCTGTCTTGTCAAACTCGCATTTTACTATATATCATCCCAAAATTTTATAATATAATGATTATTTTTAAAAAAAATTATTTCTAAGTATTGTCTATCTTGAGATATGTTCGGTCTTAGGTACAGAAATTAATGTGAAAGAAGATTATGATTTTCGGTTTTTATAATATATGTGTATTGATTTATATTTCCGATTTTCAAGTGTTTGTTTCCATAAATTTTGCCTTTTTTGCACTAAATTTTGATTTAGGTTGGTAACTTTATCGGTTAAAATTTGGAATTGTCATGAATATAAAATACTTTTATTAATATTTGCATACAAAAGTATTCAGGTATGGACGTTTCATAGGAGACTTTTTTATTTTAATTTAATTAAGCTATGTAGTCATTTAATCTTAGTATTATATTTAAAAAGTGTTATTAATCAATTTATTCATACACAGTAAATTTATCATTATTTCAAATGACAGGAACAGTTAGCACGAAGCCAGTAAAGGTGAACCAACATTTAAAGTTTATGTTCCGTTCAATAGAACTCGAACATTCCATGTTTGCAGATTGTTTGTTGCGCATATTTGGTCATTATTTTTTGTCAAGTACTTAGAATATGCCCTACGATTATGAGAATATATTATTGACAGTAGTAGTCCCTCGAGTACCCATCTCGTGATTCATTATTATTGTATGACGCAAGTGGTTATCAAAGTGAATAATATAAGTCAATAAATGATTACTAGTAGTACGGCTTATATAGAGTGGACACTTGTCGTAGGATTATTTTTGTTCCTTTGTTCGCGCATCGTTACGGGTCTGTGATGCGACAATACTGAATAATAAAGTAGGCAATGCCCACAGTTAACTGTTTTCATCTCTTTGTAGTATACTTGGTCTTTATTCAGGGGGAAAAACATTAGGTTTCTCATTGTGTGTAGTGAAATGATTTTCTTTTATGTTCGTATTGGGTATCTGTCTAGATAAGAATACCTACAGAGCCCTATATGGGGTTTTCAATACAAGGCTTGTTCACAAAATAAATACAGATCTTATAGTACTAGTACAGGTATATGAGGATGGTTTTTATTTAGTTGTGGTTACCGTATTTTCATTAGATATGCACTATGGATATTCAGTTTGTGATATTTTTTAAACATAAAGCAGGTCTGCGAATCGTTTTGCATACGTCATTTTATTATTGTTTTTATTGGAATTTTTAGGGTTGTATTTCTGTTCTATTCAATAATTTTGTCATTTTTTTCTGATTTTTCAGTTTCACTATTTCACACAAAAAATAATAATTATTAAAATAGAATTGTAAATATCCTTTATATATAAGTAGTGTTATTTAATATTTTGTAAAAAATCGTAAATTCGTCGTCAAATTTTTCATACAAGTTGCAACGCGTTATTACGCTTCTTTCGATAATGGTGATTATGAACAATGCTCAACTACAAGGACAGGATTATGATTCAATTTATCCACCAGATGGTGTCTCATTACAGCCGTTTCTACATCAGGTATGATAACTGTTGTCTTTAAACAAAATTGAAATTTTGAAAATAATTCTTCGGATCAAAAAAAATGCTTGATTTTCTACAGAATTTTTGATACTAATCAAATAGCCGGCTTATATTCATAACATCTTTTCTCAGTGGCATTACTGTTTAATTCTATTAAAACTTATAATACTTCTTTGATTTCCCATATTGGAAGCACAAATTAATATGGAAAGTACCAATTTGTTAGTATTGATATCCTGACAAATCTATATTATTATAGTATGTTATCTTATACTGTTTTATTTAAAATTATATTAAAGCACTTCTATTACTTGAAGGAAATAAAAATGAAATTTCTTCCTTCCTTTCCGAAATTTTTGGAACTGATTAAAAAATATTTTAAAGTCTAAACTTAAATTTTTTTGTATTTATCTCTGAAAATTCGAGAATTGAGTAACAAAATTTTAAAATTGGCACGTATTCCAATTGTACTTTTTGTACTCTCACCTACATCTGCAGCGCGATTCTTGTTTATTGATTTTCCCAATGGGGTTTAGTAAGTGCTTCATTTCTGTTTATCAATAAATGCATTTACTGTTTTAAAATGAGTTATGGTGAATATTGATCTTCTTAAATTTGATGAAAATACAGTTTTTATGTCTTTAACAAATTGACATATGAGAATTTCAATTGATTTTTTTAGGAAATTAACTCAATAAAATGAATTGCTATGTGTTAGTCAATCATTTGGCCCATTTTAACCAAAACTCAGTCCAGGGAGAAAAAAGAGTTTTTGAATATGGTATTTTCTAAATTGGGTAATGTTCAACAGAGACCTGTAATATTCAATGAGAAATACAAGAAAATTACAGTAATATAAACAGTGATTTTATGGTTATTGTTATTAATAGTTTGCAGAAATTAAATGAAAGCTTTTTTGGTCATACCATTATACTGCAATTGATTATGAAAAGGATAATTTTTCAATGAAATTATTTTGACTTATTTCTAAAATCAAGATTCTAAAATATTGAATAATTTTATGTTAATTTAAATATTTGATTCAGTTTTTTACATCCTCATTACATAAAACTTTTACTAAGAGATAGTCTATATAGATTTTCTGTTTTAACATTCCAAAATGGGAATAAACTATTACATTATTTCATATTTGATTGATATAGGAAGGAAGAGTATTGGTTTGTGTCTATACTCAATTTCTATTCTGGCCTTTCATCTATACATTTCCTATGAGCTATGACAATTTCCTCAGACGTGAAATGACTTTTATTGAACATGTCTGGATCAATGAAGTTTGATGATCCCTTCGTTATCTACCATTGTCATGACCATCCGCCATGCTATGATTGATCTGTTGTGTATACAATTATGATATAATAATTAATTTTTTTTTTAAAGAAAGGCGATAATTTGAATTTTTGAAATCCCATTTTATGCTTGCTAAAAGACTTACTCTGAGACATTTTTTTGTGTTTAGGTTTCTGGTCGAGCAATCATGATGTGTTTAAATGAAACAACAGTCTGTAAACCACTCAATTTCAGAGAATATTATTTTTATCAATCACTTCCAACAGATATTCTTCAATATACTCCACAATATAAAGGTATCAAGCTAAATCATCATTTTTAATTTTTTTTCGTGACGATTTTCAAATACTAACTTGTTACAAGGCCATCGGGAGCAGACACTGTAAATATAAAAAAAATTTTTTTGAAGGAACAGGATCAGTCTGGTATGACTCCTTGTGAAGACCTTTGCTGTAGCCCCCAGAGAACTACTTCATGGCCCACTAGGTGTCTGAGGGCCCAGTTTACTAGGACAGCGACCTCTAACCATATTTTTTCCCTATTTCATCTTGACAAAGGCATCATTGCCAGCAAACTCGCGAGATGTCAAAATAATGATATCTGCGTACTTTATTGACATAATGAAACAGTGTTATATTATTGTTTCTATTAAAACAAGGTTGATTCCGGTTTCATGAGAATTTTACATCTCATTCTACATAACAAAAGCTCTGTTCTGAAGCATAATACCTTTTTCATTCTTTAAACAATGACTAATTTAATTGAAATATAACCAATTGTCTGGTAGTTGCTCATTGTGCAAACTGATTCAGTATTTTTGAATGCCATTGTATGAAATTCAATTCACCTTTTGATTTAGTTCAATTGAGTTCACCAATTAATATGGTAGAATAGGGCCTGAGCTTTTATATTAATTCCTATGAATTTGTATTAATAAAATGAAATGACAAAAATTCATATGTAAAATGAGGTAATGCGTTTCAACTTTGTACTTCATCACATATAGTTTGATCCAGTGGTTTCCAAAGTTGATTGATCGGGGGCCAAACTATAACCAGAAGAATATTCGTGGCCCGTGGGCCAGTAAAGGGGAGCACCCGCAAGAGGCAGATATATGCATTAGTTCGTATACTTAAGATACCGGTATTATTGAATTGTCACGAATATACACATGTTTAATAAACTGTGATAATAGCATAACAATTGGCGGTATCTAGAACGGAAAGAAAAAACATCGAATGTCAAACTATTTCACTCGAGTTTGGCGGGCCATATTAAATCGTTATGCTGGGCACGGTTTGGGAACCACTGGTTTAATAAAGTATGTTCTTGAGAATTCTAGTTCAATAAATTGCAATATTTGTTTGCCTTCATTGGAATCCAACGGACTCATTATATTAATTCTTATTAATATTCCCAAGTATCGCTTGTTACTAATGTCATATTAATGAGTACCTTCGCGAAACTAGTTTCTTGACATATGGTGTTGCTGAGTTATATCGTATTTAGGACGTTGTGTAGGAGTTGATAGTTGAGTCATTTAATTTAGGTCTATTATTATGTTATTTAGGTTTTCATTACTCTTCGAATCTGTGTGACTAAATGACAGTTACTGCCTTTTTATGGTATTATTATTAAAATATTCTGTAATTTTTTTTTGCTTTTTTGCTTTTGAGTAAAATCCATATGGAAAAGATAGTCTGAAACGTGACAATTGCTTCCTTTTCTGTTTCATGTGCCCCGGCATATGATACTTATATTGAGTCATGATGGCTTAATTGGTTCTGAGTAGAATGCCCATACATGAATTTTTATGTATGATAGAAGTTTATACTAAATTTATTAAAAATTGAGGCTTTGGGAAGTACGATTTCACCATGTGATAAATATTATACTAAGTGATTTTTGGATCACTTATGATAGTTATCTGCACTCTTGTCATAGCATCCTTGTATTATATATATACATATCCACCAGCGCAAAAGCATCGAAGAAGAATAAGTGGTTGATCCCATAGAAATCTAATTAACATCACATGCTAAAGATTAATACATCAATTTAATTAAAATGATTAATGTTTGTTTTTTCCATACTGACAAATTTTATGAAAAATAGATTTTTTGATTTATTTTGCTAAAATAAATCTTTCGTATATCATTAATTAAATCTTTAATTCACAGGGTTACACGTAAATTTCTTCTCTTGTATGATTAGACCTAAAAGTTTAAGTAATCGAGGACACTTTGCACAAAAGTTACAAATGAATTGGGTTTTGTTTTGTCTGGGTCACCCCTTATTTACAAACCACCGTACACGATTTACGTTACTACTATATTTTTATGTAAAGTTCAATTCGGATTAGTCGAAGTAATATTACAATATATTTCGCACAGGTGTGGTCAATGTTAACATAGAAGAAACCAAAGATGGAACAATTGCACTCACAGCATTCCCTTCTCATAATGATGAAAATGACCAAATTGATAAAAAAGAAGAAAATTCTCAACTTTCGTTAAGCCAAATAACAACGACAAATAAAAATAATAAAAACGTATCCAATGATTCATGTAAAAGATTAATTACGCAAGTACATTCTGCGGGAGAACGAAGTTCACGAAAAAGGTGTGTATATTATTAACGAAGGAATGAATTTTTTCTTACATATTCAAATAGTAAATATGACATTCTATATTCAGATTCCCTATTTAATAAAAAAAAAAATTGCAAATTAGACTGTTACGATCTGAGAAACTCAAACTTTTGTCCAAGACTATGCAGCCTTGCTAGTAATCAAAGTATTGAAATAAATTTTGATTTGTGATTCTTCATGTCTAGAATTCTTGTAGAATTAAACAAAAGCAAACTCTTCATTTGTGTTTCAAGCCCCGGGCAAAAAATTATACTTTCGATTCTGATTTTATAGAAGATTATTTTTTATTATTATTATAGAATTCGACTAAAACGTACTGGAAGTCTCTGCATTGAACGTAGTGATGGAAGTCTTGATAACGATATTGAAAAATCAACACAAAAACCAAGATTTAACCCATGGACGTTAAAAGTATATAAAGAAGGCCTGACAAGACATCTGCATAGCACAAATAAAGTAGTACAAAGTACGGACCAGATTGTTTTTTTCATCTGACGTAGTCTTATGAACTGTTTTTTTTATAAGCACTGTACCAAGACAATGGCTAATTGGCAGTTACACTAATTGGATAGAATACATGTCTGTTAATGTTCAGGTTAATTATAGATAAATTGCCTGTTAAAACAAAGTAAGTTTATCTGCCCCGGATACATGTAAAATTATATCCTTTTAAAATACCAGGGTGTCACTCACAAATTATTTTTCTACATAATACAGAATAGTTTTGTTAAAAATATAGAATCTGATTTCTATAATCAATACCTTGGCAGTGGAAAGATAACTAAATCATGTGGCAAACCACAGATTACAGTTGGTAACAGCTTATTAGTTCTGGTATAGGAATACCATGTAATTGTTAAGTTGATTGTACCTGGTTGCTAGAGAAATGAACCAAGAATCCTCTCACACATGGGATTCAAACCTGCAAATCCTCGCAGGATAGAAAATAGTGTGATGAAAAATATAAACTCAATGCTTAATGTCAAATAATTTCTCATTTTCAGAATGTATATTACTGGAAAATGTGGCAAGTCGGTTCAAATGTCCATGTATTTTGGATTTGAAGATGGGAACGAGGGTGCATGGTGATTTTGATGATGATGCCAAACGACAAAGACATCTGGAAAAATGTGCAAAAAGTACAACACAATCTCTAGGTGTCAGGCTTGCAGGAATGCAGGTACGATAATTATCATATGAGTAGCATTTAAATATATGAACCAATGGACGCATAGGTGGTGACATTATTACATACCGTTCACTGGGCTGTAGCTCAATGTAATTGTCCTGTAAAATCTGAATGTTTCTGAAATCAGAAAACTTTTGGATAAGCTTAGTACCCCCTTTCATCTTTAACTATTGGAAATTTAAAAGCATTTGGTAAGTATCTAAAAAAGCAGCTATTTGTACCAACGAATTGAACAACATTGATTTAGCAAGGTGATTCATAGGTCTTCTCCAGGGGTCGGCAACCTTTTGTCACTCGCAGGCCAAAACAAGGGTTGCAAGTCATTGACGGGCCGCACATATTTTTAGAAAGTTGCAAACCGAACGGATGATACTTTTTATAATGAAAATCAAGCAGTGATACATCTCTCAAATAGAATTATTTCCTCATTGCATTGCATCTCAAAAAATTCCTTTTGAATATTTTCTGCGCCATTGAACCCTTTGCACTTAGTATCAACTTTTCTGCGTTTTGTTGCCATTTGTCTAATTATGATTAAATTATTGGCTCATTAATTGTGAATTATATACTTGTTGGGTTATAATATAATTTAGTCTACACGTGTCTCACAATAAATTCTGTTAAGTAAAGAATCTAATCGTTAAAACAGCTGTTTTGTTACTATAATTCAGTGAAGCGTCATGGGCCAGATTACATTACTCCGGATCCGGGCCGTAGGTTGCCGACCCCTGGTCTACTCTCTGTCTGATAATTAGTGTCAAGTACAATTTGGCAAGTCAAAAGTCCATGAATTCCAAATTCTCAGCCATTCAGCACTAACTACCTCAAATTTTGTGCCATTCTGATTTTACTGATGACCACCATGCAGAGGTGAATCCTTGTGTTTATCTTTGAGTAATATCTACACCTTTAATAATAATGGTTTTTGTCTGACCAATGTTCTACCATGCTTGTAGTTGTGTTGGTGTTTCTGGATTAGATTGTTTCAGTTAGCTAAAAGTAGAAATGCAGTTAAATTTTTCGGATTTCACAGCCCTGTCAATTAGTCTTCAATGGTTTCTCATACATATCTCTTCCATCAATAATATTAATTTTTATACAAAGGTAAGTAGTGCTTTATGCATTTCTTCTGAATAAGAACTGTTGTATTATCCAGTTTCGGTTTCAGAACACAATATTATGTTTCCTCATTAATTCTTCCAATTTCATTTCCAGGTTTACAGACATGAATCTGGAACTTTCCTTTGTCGGAACAAATATTTTGGCCGATCTTTGACTGTCGAAGGTTTTGGAAAAACTTTACGAGAATTTTTTTACAACGGATATAAGATGCGAATCGACCTTATTCAGCCAATTATTAACAATTTACGTTCCCTCATCAAAAAATTGAATAAACTTCCGTCCTATCGTTTCTATTCAAGCTCTCTCTTGGTAATGTATGATGGAATGAGTGAAGATGTGCAAAATTGTGGTAGCGATAAAATATCAGAAAAATCAAACAAAGATTTCAGCACCAAAGTAAGCATCGTAGATGTATGTGACATTAACATAAACTTTTTCCAAAGAAATTAAGCCATATGGAGCTCACTATAGCTTATCTGTTTTCCTGATGCTATCGACTCTTACTGGTTTGAATCTTGAGTCAATCTCTATTTGCTGGCGAGTACCAGTGTTGGATGCAAGTCATGAAACGTCAATCACAGGTCAAAGGTTATTTGAGACCACTTGTTCAAGTCGATCATTCACTCATAAGTCAAATCGAGTTGCTGTTCTTTAGAGTACGGGTAATTGTAACAATCGAAAACAATAAGGAAAGGATAAATATGAATGATATGACACTAAGAAATCAACCTTGTGTTATACCAATGTTATTTTGAAAGTCAAACTAGGATTTAATATTTTATTTATAATATTTACTTTACATTGGCATCAACACGGCCTATTTTGAGGTATTGACTTGAGGAGACTCAAACCAATTGACTGACTCGTCATGAGTATAAATCTGTATATGTAAGTAGCTCTTACAGTGATGGGTGTATTTTTACTATTGAGTGAGTATTCGTAGCTTTGCTTTGGGCAAAAAAGTTGATTGTCATCTGTTCATTTTTAAATTTTTCCTCCAGGCTTCTGACCAAGATGAAACTCTATCATCTAGAGAAGATGATGATAATATACAATCAACAGAAAACGAAGAAATTGTTTCAGGATCAGAATCTGTAGACGTTCGGATGATAGATTTTGCAAAATCGACGCATGGGAACATGGATGCCAGTATCATCCACAAAGGACCAGACAAAGGATACATATTTGGACTAGAGAGCCTCATAGAAGTTTTAAACAACATAATAATTGAAGATTTGCAGTAAATTATGTTCGCTTGCCATAGTACTTTAGACATTTTTGGTTGAACAAGTGTATAGAATGGTGTGCAACCTTTCTTGCTTGGTTGATCTGTTGCCTAAAATTGAAATATCTATATTATTATATTTGTATTGCATTCGTTTAAGCATGTAGTCAAGTGCAATATACGTTTCTGACCAAATTTGTGTGTTCCATCTAATAACTGAGTTTTGAGGGAGATTTTATATTAAAATCTTATTTGCTATTATAACTGATATTATGCATGTTATATTGTAGTTACTGCGAGTGAGGAAGGAATGATTTTAAGGAAGGTTACCGAGCTATCAAAAGAACATCATGCATCCAGGACCATGTAATGCATCTGAGCATACCAGTTCGCTGATTTCCCATATGGTTAAGTAATCTGAAAATCCTGTCCCACTGGTAATTTGGCTTTTGTGTGCTCGTGGCACTCTCATCCTTGATTTGATGCCATTGCGCTTAGTGTTCGGTACTCGTTTTCAATCGATCGGATGAGATTTCATATTCATCCCGGGTAAATGGAAAGCTCGTAACCACGGCGTCTCGTCCGGTTACCAGTTCGTGTCGGATATTGGATTAGTTAGCCAGTTATCTGTATCAGGTGGAACTGATGATATGGTTTAGTTGGAAGCATCAGCTTTGTTGGAAAGTATTTTTCTAGTTTCTGTAATGTAGTTTTGGTATTTTCCATTTCCGACTGTTTTGTAAGTTTATACCGTGAAAACGGAATTAACTGCTTGGTTAAATTGTTGATACAGAGCGTGTTCATCTACAAAAAGCTATAAAAATTTATTTACTGAACACAGTAATTTTATATAGGCGGAGGATGAGGTTAATCAAAGAATGATGAATACCTTACAGCAACTGATCTTACTCAAAAAAAGCTCATTTTAGCCGTTCAAGATCCAGCTTCGGTGCGCCATTTCATCATCTCTTGATTACATGCGGGTCCATGGCCCCCTCTCAAAAATTTCAACGTATTTTTGAGTGCAATATTGCGGCATTTGCAGTAAGACATATATTTTTATGCCTTTTCCAACACCATTTTGCTCTATTTTTGAACGATTTACTGACTGAAAACCGAAGTTTCCTGGCTTGCTAGCAATATTCCTTTCATCAAATAAACCAACGGAGAAAGGTAAACATGCGCGCTTTTATAGCTTGAATCAGTGATTTCCCTACACCCCCCCTATAGGGGGTGAACACCCCCCCTAAAATTTCAAACACCCCCCCCCCCTAATTTTGAGGTGCGATTCCACACTGTATTCCCTAACTCAAGTATAATTGTATTCAAATATAACGACTGTGGCATATTTATCAGTGTAGATGAGGGGTTCTAAACCGCAGTCTGCGGGCCAATTACGCCGAACTTGAGTGAAATAGTTTAACCCTTCATGTAGTACCTTTTGAGTTTTAGATACCGTCTATTGTTACATCATTATCACAGTTTAAGCACCTTTATTTCGTAACAATTGGATTATACCGGTATCTTATGTATACGTATGGGTATTAGGATTACACACTGCAGTATTTTAGATATCAGCCGTATATTAGGAAAGCTTAAAGATGTCACAAAACGAAAACTAGGCACTGAAAACAGACGTTTTTTATATGAATGACAGCGTTTTTATTTCTTTATTGAAAAGAATCAAACTTCAGCGATTTGTCTTCTTACCAAAAAATATTTCAGTTCTGAAGGAATACAACATTATGATCAGTTGACGCGCGTATTTCAAAATTTAATTCATTGCTTAATTCATACAAAAGTCAAACAAACCTTCAGTTGCAAATTACTTGTTGAAACGTAGTAGTATATATTTACGGTTGAAAGCCGTGCTTGTTTTCTATTTCCCGGGAATTCTATCAGTTAAATATTATAATTATTAGTTTCATTACATAACAAACTGCGATGCTAGGTGTATCTAAAATCAAGCTTAGAGCCTATTTTGGTGCCTATTTCTCAAAATTTTCTCAGGCCGCTTGAGCGCGCCCTGAACCCCAGCCCTGACGTCCCGTACTTTTCCTCGCTCCCCTTTTATGGCCCTAGAAATTTATTCTGCTGTGGATTTTGGTTCGCCGTCAATCAACATGGGGGCCCCTCATGTACTACGTTTCTTAAATACATACCATTTTTTAAAGAATACAAATAGCCTAGTTTTATCTCTAATAGCAAATTATTCACCACCCCCTAAATTTCGAAACACCCCCCCTAAAAAGCAAAGCTGGGGAACATACTGGCTTGAATAACTTCGGAGTCTGAAGAGAGATTCTTTAAGATATTATTAGATTTTCTATCTGGCTTTGTTCGGAGCAGAAGGCACGAGTAAGCGTCGTATTACGTTATTATACAAAAAAAAATTTTGGAGGGTTGGATACGCTTTTGGTTCGCGCCAACCCCCAAATTCCACCACTGTGGAAAATTTTGACACTGGTAGAAGGAGTCCAAATGGAATTACGAGACAATGTTTGCAATTTCAATTGCCTGAATTATCTTGCAACATATGGTCATGTTTATGTTACATTTGAATAATTTCTCTATTCAGTAGTCGTCAGAAGCAAATATATAATTGTTGAAACGTTTCGAACCGGCGACCTTGGCCGTTGTCATCTTGCCCGGCCATAGCGTTTCATCCTTTTTCATGAAGAACACGATTAGTACATCTTATATTGAAATTTCAGTTCCGATACATTATCCTAGGCCAGGGGTTGCCCGCGGGCACCAAGTCGCCCGTGAAGACCAGATAAGTCGTCCGCAGGTATTTTCCAAAAAAAGGTCAATAACGGCACCTATAAATAAGCTACATCAATTTAATTTTTTGGAAACTGGGAATGACACTATGTTAATTATTGTAACGATCATCCTGATTTGTATTTGACCTCAGTAATGTGAGGGTGACATATGAGGATTATTTATTACTCTCCCAATTATGACATCACACAGATGTCACCTTTCACGAACCCGCGTTTTTTTTTGTCCGTTAGTTTGTGGAGCCGCAATAATACAATTATTGATACCAAAGAAAAATGACAGAAAAACGAAAGGAAACCTACCATTTTCAGGTGTATAGGTGATGGATTTAGAAAAACGAAAGAAAACCTACCATATTCACGATGAATAGGAGATGGATTTATTTTTACCATCGTGAAAACAGCCTGCGTATGTCTCATTTGCAGGGCGATTGTAGCGACGACAAAGCGGAGAGATATTTCACATCTTACCACACAATCTATTACGCTAACTATTCATTGGTCAGCGCAGTACAGGTAAGCACAAAAAGCTCGCGGTTTAAATCAAACTGCAATCCTATTTTACGAGATCAGTTTTTGGTTCAACCTATCTTTGTGAATCAACATTTTTTGACATGAACTTCACCAGGAACAAACACGGAACACGCCTCACTGATGAAAATCTGCAAGACTCGCTCAGAGTTACAATGTCAAGTTACACGCCAGAGTACAACGCACTGGCGAAGAGCATTAGACCATATTTGTCCGATTTTGGATTGCTCCCATTTAAAAATAAGACATTCATAATTTGTTAAATGTGTTTGTAAATGTAACATTTGATAGTACAAGTCAAGTTCATTTTTTCTTAGGCTTGTGCAGGGTGTTTGTAAAAAAGCTTGTACATTGTGTACCTGTGGTTTCCTAGGATAATATTGTAGTGATAACTACATTTGAATCATTTGAAAATCAATTCGTAAAATGGAAGTGCCATAGATAGTAGGTAATTTATTTGCTACGTTTGATTTTCTGAATAATCCTAAAGTTTATCTCAGTGTTTCTAATTGACTAAATACCAGTAATGATCAATATTTGAAGCTTAATTGGGCTAATTGACTTTTTTTAGAAATGTGCATTGAACTGGTGGCCCTCGGCTTAATCTGTACCCAGAAAGTAACCTCGGCTTTGAAAAGGATTGTGACCTTTATCCTAGGCCATGTGTTTTTTGATTGATGAAAGAATAAATTCTATTTATATCTCTGTATTATATAATTTATCATTTTAAGTATATGCAACAGATTTATACGTAGTTTCATTTAATTAAATTATGCCTTGATTAGGGCGAAAACCGCAGAAAAATGGATATACTATTTTCAAATTTAGATCAGCGGTTATGGAACCGAGGTTCAACTTTGAGCAAAGTGGCTACTGTATTTTTGATTAGAATGACGTCTGGGACCTGCCCCTCCTGTGACATTCGGAAATACAACAAAAAAAAATTACTTTTGCGTGCTCAGTTTGATATTAACAGAAGTTGTATAATATGAAATCATGTGTGTATTTTCAACTATATTTAATTAAATATAAAAAAGAATATAAAAATTATGTGAAATAATGTTCTGATACTGGTGGTGAATTCTCCAAAATGTATTTACCCGAGTGTCATGATCATTTTTTCACCTCTATGAAAATTGAACCTATCGATTAGGGGATTTGGCTTCGGCTTGCGATTGCAGGGCCTCGCGGTGTTGAATTACAAAATTAGAATGTTTTCTTTGCGCTTTTCAGCTTTTGATCGGTCAGATGATTTATATATTTACGTATTAGTGTAGAATTCGACGATAGGACTGATATAGTTTAGTTGACTTATCATTTCGATGTTTGTGCAGACACACGAGATAGGTTTCCTTCTTCTATTTGCCGACATTACCGTATCTGCCCATACCGGCACCGGTAAAATTTTTATTATCCCGTATTTCGGTATTTACCGCAAGGTTAATAAGAAACTTACATTTTGGCAGAAGTTAGGGAAATAAGTGAATACATGAATATATTTACATATGTTATCAGGTTATCACCAAATCTTGAAATCAACAAAATTCGGTCTTTTTAAAAGATATTTTTTATAGATGAACCTTCATGAACATTGTCATTTGTTTCTTAAATTTGCTTCATTTTTTTTTATATCAGTTATCAAGATAAGAGTGAGTAGATATGAAATAATTTATCACAAGGTTATCTTTTGTTTGTAAAACGGAGAAGATACATTTTTGTATCGAAACATATACCGGTACCGGGTATCGATTTCTGGATTTCTAGTCTTTGTTAGACTACCGGTACATAACAAAATATTAAATTAATCATATTAAAATGTATTTTTAGTCGATGCTAAAATCTGAAATTGGTTATTACCTACAGACATAGCTGCATCTGTGCATAGACTTGTTGATTCAAATTCATACTGTCATAGGGTCATTGCTTGAATAAAGATAGAAATTA